CACGGAAATAGAACATTTCCCTTTATTGCAGCAGAGAACCAACTATGTGTACCTGTCACAGAGTTCAGTGAACTGGATTATTAAATAACAGAGATCTGTATTCATTTTGACAAATCAGTTCATAAACCACACTGGCAGGGTTTTGCTCATCTTTGCTTACATGGGTAATAAAACATTTTCATGCTAATGCGTTGATAAAGCATATACATAATTGACCAGGCATTTCCCCTGAGTGACAAAAGTAACACTTGTGAATACTAAAAGACTTCATAGAAAAACAAAGTTGTTTATTGTATGATAATTGTTTGCCGCTGCTTTCTTTCTCTTTAGATCAAATCCACTCACGTCTGTTACCTCTCTTTCTTTTAACAAGGCCCAAATAGTCAAGGTTTGACTCTTCTCTCACGGTTATTTGCCATGGTGACTGGCTCATCTTAAGTATTAATAAATGTATAATGTTGAAAAAAAATCATAGTTTTGCATTTAAATATATTTTGACTAATCACATAATTATTTTACAAGTTGAATGACATAAAAGAAATGTACTAACCACAGAAAATTAGATGTTATAAGCACATAACTGCGAGCATTTGGACTTTAGACTTTATGCCCGGTACAATACCTTCATAATGAGCCTACGGCACACACCTATACAAACACCACAATATCCATTCATAGAACAGCTTTCAGACGTCTCATGTTGAAGACAGAAGGCTCTAAATGTATACATAACACACACATTCATATGTTCATTGCCGTTTTATAACCCCCAACGTGCAACTGTAGCAACCCCCCAAATGTACTCCACTACATCTCCTGAGTACACAGACACACCTATATATTTTTTGCGAAGGTTAAAGGCCTGATTCAATTCCTGCCAATTTCAGTTTCAATTATGGGATTTTGACAAAGTGGTCGTATTTCAGGGCATTTTAAATATTTATTTCAGTAATTACTCTATAAATGAATACAATTTGCAGAAGTAAACACCCCAAGGTATTTGATGTGGTATATTTTGAACATGACTGTGGGGCAATTTTTTCACCGAATTCTTTCAAAGTCTGTGTTATTTTTTTTCACATTTTTACATGCACATTGCAATTCAGTATTTTGTAAATCTCATGTGACCTGTATATGTTTTAACAATGTTTAAATTGTGGTTTCAAGAGTAGTAGTATATATAGGATAAGCTTGATTAAATATAGTAATAGTTTTAAAATAAATATGACATAATGTGAATATTGTGTATGTAAGGAGGAGTGTATTAACTATTAATCTGAAATGTAAATGACACTGACAAACACACATATTTACACCCAGAAGACACTGACACACATTTACATACAGAGGACACTGAGGCACACACTCACTGACAGACGCACACTCACTCACTGCATTGACACATGCTGACAGACATCCACAATTTTAAAACATTTTTTATTACTTTTATTTAAGTCTTCCTAACCTACCTTTGCAAGAGCTGGAGTAGATCCTCTCCCTGGTGTCCAGTGGGGATCCTTTCCCGGGAGTCCAATGTGTGGCTGTAATCTACATGCTCTTCCAGCACTGCTCCCTAAAACACTGTTTAGTGATGCTGGGGCTTGACATCATAACCTGGCTCCTGGCATCATCACAGGGCACGTGAGGGAGCAATTCTGAAAGATCATGAAGAGTACAGCTCCCTTGCTGCTGCATTCTCCCCTGCATTCTCCCCCAGCTGACTGTTTCCTGGGGGGATGCTAATGTGGTCAACCAGCCACCTCTTGTGTACCAGCTGGAGAATGCGTACCCAAGATTTAGATACTAGGATTTAGTGGACCTGAAGTATATTATGCCTGTTTGGCTTGTGATACTGAGAATGTTTCTACAATAGATGGTCAAGTGAATGCAATAAGGAAAAATACATGATGCCTTTCCCTATGTCCCACAAAAATGCTTTGATGTCCTCTTTGGAGGTTGGCATTTGGTTTTCCTCTTTGGAACTACCACTACGAAGGCAGCTATTTTGCAGTAGATCTGTCAGTCTAGAGATGGGCCCTGCCAATGAAAAATATCTCTGTTAACTTGAAGCCCCATATTGGATAGCTGAGTGGAAGAGAGCTTCATAAAATGATATGTATACAATTTGAATCTAAGGTCAGCATCAAACCATGATACCAGCATCTGGAATCTACTGTGCTCAGCAGTTAGCCCTGTCCCTGAAGTATTATAAAATGAAACAATTAGAAGATTTGAAAACATATGTGATAGCACTCAAGAAGTTTACAAGTTTCTACTTATTTGGTGAGTATCTTGCAATAGCCTTGAGCAATATTAGTTGTATGACTCAAATGAAATCATACTGAAGTATCTGGTGATTAAAAAAAAAAAAATAGGATTTAAAGGAACACACCAAGTGAAACACTACAATGTGCTGTAATGGTTATGAAGCAAGGAGTGCTTCAGCGACCCTTCCTTTTTAAGTAGTCAAACAATTTGGCTTCCTATCCGAGGCCTGCCAGCGATGCAGAGCTTAGTTCATTGTCTGAGAGAATTTAACTTGTCAATTTACTACAACTTGTTAAAAGCATCATAACCAAGCTATGTCAGGAATCCCCCAGCACCATTAGACTGTAAAATGTCATACCGTATATACTCGAGTATAGGCAGAGTTTTTCAGCACATTTTTTGTGCTGAAAAAGCCCCACTCGGCTTATACTCGAGTCAAGGTCTGTATTATGGCAACTTACATTGCCATAATACAGACCAGGACCGCCGGGCTAATTACAAGCCTGGCGGTCCTGTTGGGGGCCAGGAGCAAGCTGTTACTTACCTGTGCAGCAGCTCCGTTCAGCTCCCTGTGTAAATCTCGCTGTTTGCGTGCTGCGCGGAGCGTTGCCACAGTAAACCGTGGTAACGCTCTGACGGCCGCGGGTCTCAAGAGATGGAGGTGAACGGAGCTGCTGCACAGGTAAGTAACAGCTTGCTCCCGGCCTCCCTCCTGCACAGCCCATGCCACTAGACCACCAGGGATTGAGATAGCCCCCCTCCCTGGACAAAAAAAAAAAGAAAAAAATATTAAAATAAAAATAAAATAAAATATTAACAATATTAAAATAATTCAAATAAAATAATAACAATATTAAAATAAAAATGCCCTCCCCCACCCAGTTTACACACACACTACACAAACACACACTCTGCATTCATTATATATACAGGGAGTGCAGAATTATTAGGCAAATGAGTATTTTGACCACATCATCCTCTTTATGCATGTTGTCTTACTCCAAGCTGTATAGGCTTGAAAGCCTACTACCAATTAAGCATATTAGGTGATGTGCATCTCTGTAATGAGAAGGGGTGTGGTCTAATGACATCAACACCCTATATCAGGTGTGCATAATTATTAGGCAACTTCCTTTCCTTTGGCAAAATGGGTCAAAAGAAGGACTTGACAGGCTCAGAAAAGTCAAAAATAGTGAGATATCTTGCAGAGGGATGCAGCACTCTTAAAATTGCAAAGCTTCTGAAGCGTGATCATCGAACAATCAAGCGTTTCATTCAAATAGTCAACAGGGTCGCAAGAAGCGTGTGGAAAAACCAAAGCGCAAAATAACTGCCCATGAACTGAGAAAAGTCAAGCGTGCAGCTGCCACGATGCCACTTGCCACCAGTTTGGCCATATTTCAGAGCTGCAACATCACTGGAGTTCCCAAAAGCACAAGGTGTGCAATACTCAGAGACATGGCCAAGGTAAGAAAGGCTGAAAGACGACCACCACTGAACAAGACACACAAGCTGAAACGTCAAGACTGGGCCAAGAAATATCTCAAGACTGATTTTTCTAAGGTTTTATGGACTGATGAAATGAGAGTGAGTCTTGATGGGCCAGATGGATGGGCCCGTGGCTGGATTGGTAAAGGGCAGAGAGCTCCAGTCCGACTCAGACGCCAGCAAGGTGGAGGTGGAGTACTGGTTTGGGCTGGTATCATCAAAGATGAGCTTGTGGGGCCTTTTTGGGTTGAGGATGGAGTCAAGCTCAACTCCCAGTCCTACTGCCAGTTCCTGGAAGACACCTTCTTCAAGCAGTGGTACAGGAAGAAGTCTGCATCCTTCAAGAAAAACATGATTTTCATGCAGGACAATGCTCCATCACACGCGTCCAAGTACTCCACAGCGTGGCTGGCAAGAAAGGGTATAAAAGAAGAAAATCTAATGACATAGCCTCCTTGTTCACCTGATCTGAACCCCATTGAGAACCTGTGGTCCATCATCAAATGTGAGATTTACAAGGAGGGAAAACAGTACACCTCTCTGAACAGTGTCTGGGAGGCTGTGGTTGCTGCTGCACGCAATGTTGATGGTGAACAGATCAAAACACTGACAGAATCCATGGATGGCAGGCTTTTGAGTGTCCTTGCAAAGAAAGGTGGCTATATTAGTCACTGATTTGTTTTTGTTTTGTTTTTGAATGTCAGAAATGTATATTTGTGAATGTTGAGATGTTATATTGGTTTCACTGGTAATAATAAATAATTGAAATGGGTATATATTTGTTTTTTGTTAAGTTGCCTAATAATTATGCACAGTAATAGTCACCTGCACACACAGATATCCCCCTAACATAGCTAAAACTAAAAACAAACTAAAAACTACTTCCAAAAATATTCAGCTTTGATATTAATGAGTTTTTTGGGTTCATTGAGAACATGGTTGTTGTTCAATAATAAAATTAATCCTCAAAAATACAACTTGCCTAATAATTCTGCACTCCCTGTATATATATATACACACACACACACACACACACACTAACACACACATTCTGCATTCATTATACACACACTGCATTCATCATACACACACTACACAAACACACACACTGCATTCATTATATACACACACTACACAAACACACACTGCACAAACACACACTGCATTCATTATATCCACACACTGTAAATAAATATTCAATTAATGTAATTTTTTGGGGATCTAATTTTATTTAGAAATTTACCAGTAGCTGCTGCATTTCCCACCCTATGCTTATACTCGAGTCAATACGTTTTCCCAGTTTTTTTGTGGTAAAATTATGGGCCTCAGCTTATATTTGGGTCGGCTTATAGTCGAGTATATATGGTAAGTTGGTTCGATACTGTGAAAGTATGAACTTCTGCATTACTAGACCAGTTCGAACTGGAAGCAACATGGGATGAATTTGATTTGAACCAATTTTTGTACTGAAAAACCAGGCTGCGACCAGTCCACGGTGGCGACTATTATGCTGTGAAATACAGGATTTAAAATTCTTCTTCTCCAGAACTGCTAATATTATAGAGGTACAACTTGTATGTGGTGACTCCAATTCAGATTTGTATAAGAGAAGATGATTGGTCGACTTATTAGATTTTAAATATCAACACTTGAACCTTTTATCAAAATGGTCCTCTACCACAGTTGTTAATATGAAGCCACATTAAAAAGTCACTATAGTCACCATCCACCAATGACCTCACAGTGTCCTAGGAAGGCATACAATTGTATTTATTTTACGATTATACTTGCTACAACTTATTCAAACTATTTGTACATGTGATGATGCTCCTGTGGTTGCCAACCTATGTCACATGGTCTGGCAGCCATTTTGTTTTTTTAAACACATATATATATATATATATATATATATATATATATATGCTAGAGATTTGCAGTATCAAGTTATGTTAAATTCCTCTATATCAATTCTTTTTTTTTTAATTCATGAAATCTTGTGGAGTATTAGATGTCTATGGTAAGCTGTTATAAATTAAATATGGAGACTGTGTGTCATGGTGAGGTGACCATTTTGATTTTAGGCAGCATTTTGAAATATTAAGATATTAGATTTTCAACTAACTGTTCTGAGAAATCTTAGGTGACAAAATAATAATTTATGCAATTAAAAAGTAATTTAGAACAAGAACAATGTATCTTCTTTACAAAGACTGATTTCTAAACATGTTTATAGTAGATTAAAAACACATTAAAGTGAGTATTATTGCTATGGAGCTCTGTGATAACACTTAAAAACCAACAATATTGAGTTCCTCGAAAAGAGATATTAGGATACAAAAAGCAGAAAAATCCGAACACCCAGACAGGGTCTGAACCCACAGCCACCACACCGATCTTGTGCTTGTAGTCTCAACTCCTTTGGTTCATTTATTGTTATTAGTAATGTTTACATCATTTTCTAACTACCTGAATGTAACTTGGACGAACATCACTTGTACCGCACTATGTATGTAAATACCTATTACTGTATCGGAACGAATGCATATAAGCTACGTTTTTCATTAATTGTTAATGCATTGAATTCTGAAAAAACAACAACAACCAAAAACTTACAAATAAAGAATGTTAAATAATAAATATATATTTTTTTTTTTTTTAAATAGCGGGACAGAGGGATTTGGGTCGAAAATATGGACGGTCCGTCCTAAATAGGGACACGTGGGATGAATGTTGACATGTAAATTATTTTCAAATTATGAAAAATGCATTAATTATATTTTGATATTTGAAATGCAAAATCTAAACTTCAACATGCTTTTCTACCTCATAATTCTTTTCAAATACATTTGGTCTGTTTTTCTCTCTCACACTCCAGTTGTTGCAGACTACATGTCCCTTGATGCTTTAAAGGACCACTCTAGGCACCCAGACCACTTCAGCTTAATGAAGTGGTCTGGGTGCCAGATCCCTCTAAGATTAACCCTTTTTTTTTATAAACATAGCAGTTTCAGAGAAACTGCTATGTTTATAAATAGGTTAATCCAGCCTCTAAAGCCTCTAGTGGCTGTCTCATTCACAGCCGCTAGAGGCGTTTGTGTGCTTCTCACTGTGAAAAGCACAGTGAGAAGACGCCAGCGTCCATAGGAAAGCATTATGAATGCTTTCCTATGAGACAGGCTGAATGCGTGCGCAGCTCCTGCCGCGCATGCGCATTCAGCCGAAGAGGAGGATTGGAGGCGGAGAGAAGAGCTCCCTGCCCGGCGCTGGAAAAAAGGTAAGTTTAACCCCTTTCCTTGCCATCCAGCCTGGCGGGAGTGGGACCCTGAGGGTGGGGGCAGGAAAACTAGTATGTTTTCCTGGCACTATAGTGGTCCTTTAACAGCATTATAGCTTCAGGAGTATTATGGGAGCTGTAGTCTACAACATCTGGCTACCCCTGTCTGCACTATTTAAGATATAGTCGTAGAAAATTTACATCTGACTTAACTATAGGACAAAACTTTGCATGAGCATACGTGACTACTACATAATATTATAATTATCTAATTTATCTTTATAATTTTCTCACTTTTTTAACTATTTTATTAAAATGTTTGGATTTTTAATTTAGTCCTGTGCAGGTTATTTACTTTATCAAATTATTTCACACAAAAGGCTTTTTTTTTTCCCCAAGCAGTGAGCGCTGCCAGCATCTGTTATATTTTATAAATATATTATATAAATGGTTATACACCCATGTTTACAGTATTTATATAAACCAGCAATAATAGGCCTTGCATTGCCATGATCTTGATTCAATTTTGGGCTACAAACAAAAACAGCAATTTTCACAACTAAAATGGTCAAAATACATCTTATTGCAAGCATGTCCAAAAAAAAAAAAAATTAAAATAAAAATTACACAGATTTTGATAAAAATATGAATACATAGAGTACATTTGGCTACTTATTTCACATTGGCTGAAATTTTTTTTTTTTTTTTAAATATGGACATACAACAAATATGTTAAAGAAATCCAGTTGATTATTAAAAATATCCAATTACATAGATACCCCATGAAATCATGCAATGGAATATTCGAGATGAAGTGTGGAAGAATTTTACAAAATATATTACAAAAAATACACACATTATGTGTAAAAGCAGACATTCTTCACTGTAAATATTTAAGATTGGTCATCATTTCATATGTCACAATTGGTCCATTTCAAAGATTCTTAAATCTTACTATAACAACAGACAAAATGGTATAGCAATAATAATAATAATAGAAAAAAAGGAAAATGTTGAAGGCAAAACATATAAATGCCACAATGGCAGTAAAAAAATGTAAAACATGACAAATACAATATTGCACATTATTACAAAACATTTCTATTTTTTTAGGTTTTTCCTTGGATTAACTTACAAAATATTTTCTTAAACCTACTGTTATATCTTATGTACATTCACTTTACACCCATTTGTCAAATATTACAAATGGTATAATTTGGGTCAAATAGAGTATTTACATTGTTGCAGTGATTTGAAGGGTTTTATTAAAAAAATAAATACAAATAAATCTGCATTCTGGGTGTCGATTGTATTCAGAAATTAGACCGACTAAATTCTCCCTGCGCGTTTGGTATACAAGTTGGTTTCTTCTTCCGGAATAGCCATTTTCTCGATCTTCATGGCTATTTTATATAATCTGTGGACAATAATCTAAAGAAGTTCTGGGTATTCAGTTTATCCACTTTTACTCCATCACAAATGACAAAGACTACAAAGAAGATTCCAGTTAATCCATCTAAATAGGTCACTTACGTACCACTTAATTACAAAGTGATCTGCAATAAATAATACCAGTAGTCCAGCTTTCCATTAAATTATGAAATCGATCCGTTGCCCTGCTAAACAAGAACAAGGTCTTCACGATCGTCTCTATCAATGTCTCTGATAAGTGCAGAATGTTCTTAAGATGTTCCATCACTTGTTTCTCTGTAACAACTCATCAGGCATATGTCCATCACTGTGTTAAATTTCGGTCAACGTGATTTTGAAACCTTGCTCGGTTATACTTTCCACATTCAGTATGAAGGTGTCCTCATTGGAGTAATGCTCGATTATGTTATCATCCATGTTTACCAAGATTCTAATAAGTAAAAGAAAAAAAGAAAGCTAAAATTAAAATTTCAAACATTGTTTCATCCTAATTTTATTTCTGTATTTGTATTTTGTCTTTTTCCTAACTATATACAGGTCAGCTTATACTTTAACAGTGATGTCCCGAACGGTTCGCCACGGACTCATCATTGAGTAAACTTTGACCCTGTACCTCACAGTCAGCAGACACATTCCAGCCAATCAGCAGCAGACCCTCCCTCCCAGACCCTCTCACCTCCTGGACAGCTCACTAAGAATGCAGCTTCAAAATGGATGCTGTCCAGGAAGTGGGAGGGTCTGGGAGGGAGGGTCTGCTGCTGACATCACTATTTAACAGCCATTGAAGTAATACTTAAAAAAACAAAACCTCTAGTTATTTAAATGTGCATAGGGATTAGGCATAGTGTGCAGGTAACCTCTAGTTATTTAAATGTGAATAGGAATTTGGTATAGTGTGCAGGTATAGGCAACCTTCGGCACTCTAGATGTTTTGGACTACACCTCCCATGATGCTTTGTCAGTATTATGGGTGTAAAAGCATTATGGGGGATGTAGTCCACAACATCTGGAGTGCCGACGGTTGCCTACCCCTGCGTCTAGTTATTTGAATGCACATAGGAATGTGGTATAGTGTGCAGGTAACCTCTACTCTAGTTATTTAAATGTACATAAGGATTTGTATAGTGTGCAGGTAACTTTGTGTGTTCTATGTATCGGGGTTGATATATACTGTAGCGATTGCTGCCACCCAGTTTGCGGTGTTTGCTTTTGTATTACACACTCACACTCATGTTACAGTGCTGCCTCCCAGCACATGTTGGCCTATTAGGGGTTAATAAGTGTGTAAGGGGTCAACAAAATACCGATTTTCTGTCTCATTTTAGCTATAAAAAAAACAGCAAGCCTTGACGTGGCAGGTGAGCTTACACTTTAATGCCCATTAGAGTGGTGCTATAAAACCTCCCGTTATTTAAATTATGTAGTGATTTGGGATAGTGTGCGGGTTAACTTTTTGTTCTATGTACGTATATGCCGGAGGTTAACCCAAGAAACTTGCCTGAAAACCAAACCTTTGGCATGATAGCTTGTAATAAGTCCCTCTTTTGCTAACTAATAAAAGGATCACTTATACAGTTTTGTTTTTTTATTTTCCATTAGTAAACTGTCTAATACAGTACGAATAAGACAAGTCGTACACTGCAATCTAAATTAGCTAAACTGTAACCAATATCCAGCAAAGCGATTTTTGTAGTTCTGCTATTTTGGGCAGAATTTTACAGTTCACTAGTCAACTGCCACTTACATGGAAACGGTCACTTCTTTGTATAAATTATTGAAAATCACTTGAAACATGTTAACCATTTTTTGCATCAGATAATCCATTTTATTTTAAACCTAAATTAAATATTTTTAAAAATGGCACCAGAATCCAGTTCAAACATGTCAAAGACAGGGCCTACATTGTAAATGAAGAGGAGAAACTGAAAAACTGTTACATTTTTCCTTGTCTTTTTGTGCTAATTGCCAGGTGCAACTGACAGAGCATACAGCAATGAGTGACAGGGAGCTAAAATGGAGGTGCACAGAAGCATGATAAACAGGTGTGCATTCCCACATTTAAATTTACCTTTTCACACTCCACAAATACTTATTTGTTAAATATAGGGATAATTAAACATAGTAAATAAAAGTCCTGAGAAATGGCCCTTAAAATGAATAACCAAGAGATAATATATAAAATGTAAAAAGATGTAAGATATACCAATTCATGTGTACTTCTCACATTACTGCTGTAAATATAAGTGGAATTCTAAAACGTTTTCTTCTCAAACATTATTTTACCAGAAAAGATAAATTAAATCGCTGTAGTTTTCAAGTACACACACTGGGGATTACTTGCGTCTGTGTAAATGAAATATATAAGCACACATACGAATAGAATGCCGGTGAGTTATATAGCTGCAACTCAACGTGCTAAAGAGAACCAATAGACCTGAGAAAACCAAAACCAGTCTCCCCCACCCCCCTCGTCTTTAAAGACGCAAGAGTAAGTTATGGGTTGAAAATAGTCAACGTGGCCAAATCGCCACATTCTTCCAATCAAATGTCGCTTTCAGTATCACTGAGTTCTGGAGGAGGAAGACAGCCACTTTAAGTATATTTAACCCTAGAATGTAAATAGTTTCTACAAAATTGTAATGTTTTGCAATGAAGGGTTAAAACGACAGGATGACTGCACGGAGATGAAGGGGTCTGGTTGACTTTAGTGGCCCTTTAAACATGCAAGCACAGTCAAAACGTTTGCTCATTGTATGGCCAAATATTATGATATGGTAGATGTGAATTTGTCTTTGTCCATGGCACAATTGTCAAGATACACATAACTTATTCAACAGTCTGTGAAGTTCACAGAAAAAAAAAGCCCAAAAGTCAGATGAAAACAGAAGAGACAAAAGTGGTAAATCACTTGATATCCTGAGACGGGGATTATACCGTCTAGGCGCTATACGGCAGAGCTCTGAGTAGCTCTGCAAAGTGTGAGTGAGTCTTTTATAAGCTTTTATATACTCTTATTTCACTTGACATATTGCACTATTATTGTTCTGTACTTTTTTGTCTTGAAGGTTTTATACATTCCTAATTAGAGGACTCTCTGTATGTATATATTTTAATTATTATTTGCACTGTTTGGGCGCGGTTTACCACTTTTGTCTCTTCTGTTTTACTACTGTGAGCAGGTATTGGGAATTCCTGCTTGGTTCACTGCTGCCCACCTTTAGTTTATTTAGTGAGCGCCTAACTCCTCTTTGTTGCAAAAGTCAGATGAGAAGGGCCAAATGTGTGCAAACGGATAACGAGATGACACATATTCTATACAGAAATTGCATCTCTTAATAAATAGCTTATTGCAAATTGTTTGGGATACTACAGCAGAAGATCATGCCACGTTCAATTGCGGTCATCTACAGTGTTGGTGGTGTGAACATGTGGGAATATTTTTCTCTTTGCCCTCATTAGGTCCAAGAGATTTGAATGTCAAAGCAAATCTGAGTGCTTCTAGTGATTGTGTGCATTCCTTCATGGTTTGCAAAAGAATACAGAAAGCATAAATTTTAAAAATAAAAAATAAGATAAATGAGAGAGACAATTGAAAAACCTGTATATGCTGCAAATCCCCAAGCTTTGTAGCTTCTGCACCAAGATCCCACTAAATAAAAAATGACTCAGGAAGCCAAGATGCTCACTTGACTTCCTACAACATGGCTGAGTATATCAGATAAGAAGTCCTTTATTGGCACAGCGAAGGTTTTTGCGAGAGTTACTTTAATTGGCTCTGTCTACTTTAGTCTTAGCTTTGGAGCAATAAGCGAAACCCTGCAATGTAGTAGTGACGAAGGATAAAATCTATGGGTATATGAAGCACACCTGGGTAGAGGCAGAACTGCAGACTCACATCATGATTGTGTGTAAAAAAAAAAACAAAAACAAAAAACCAAACACCAGGAACTGTGTTGTGATTTTTAAGATAACAAATACCAAAATACCAATAGTATTTTTCTAGCACCTTATCGAACCCAAGCAGTAGGAAATTCAAGTTGTTCTGTGGTGAAGAGGCACACAGAGGGGCTGGAGGCGAAGAGGCACACAGAGGGGCTAGAGGCGCAGAGGCACACAGAGGAGCTATGGGTGAAAAGGCACACAGAGGGGCTATGGGCGAAGAGGCACACAGAGGGGCTATGGGCGAAGAGGCACACAGAGGGGCTATGGGCGAAGAGGCACACAGAGGGGCTATGGGCGAAGAGGCACACAGAGGGACTGGGAAGGGGGAAAACACAAAGGGGTTGGGGAGAAAGAGACACAAAGTTGGCGATTTTTGTTTTGGGTCGAGTTGGGGTGCACGTAGCTAATCTGACTTAGGGTGCAAAATAGTCTGCCACTGTCCCTGCCTGAAGGTTACCTTATATTACTCGCCATCCATGTCTATGCAAAGCTAAAGCTCATTATATCTTATTTCATAAGTGTGCAAATATCTGTAATTATCCTAATATATGTTTCTTTACATATAGTTATCTGTCTGTGAGGATAAAGACAATACATAAAATATGACCATTTTTAAATTGACTGTAAGGAGATCCCTCCGTAGTATGTGGTTACACTTGTCATACCATATTGAGAATACTTTTTAATAAAAGCTAATGCTTATTCAGTATTACGGCACAAGCAGTCTCATTCAGCAACGTAATGAAAAAGCACAAAAAGATTTCTACTGGCAGAATGCATGAGAATTCTTGGGCTCATATTCCTGCACTATTTACACAGTTTCTGAGCAGTGCTTCAGAAAAGCCACGGTGGTGGTGGCCAAAACATTGTATTACAGGAAAAAACAAAGAATTGCTCATTTTAAAAGCCGTTGTGTTCATTATCCACTTAATCTGTGTGATTCACTGCACACTGCAACAACAGATGCTACAAAGCTTTGAAAATTGGTTTATTTTATTTAAAAAGATCTTATGGCATAGTTTACAAACACAATCAGTTCCTAAAATTGTACAAAGGGATGCATTTTTTTTTATTGCCTGGTTCTCTATATATATATTTGTACTCTCATTTAGAGAATAGCAGGTGTATCTTGTAACCTTAATCTGTATAAGGGTAGGTGCACTAGGACCTTAAAACATGATCCACTTCTAAAAGGGAAGATGCAGTAACGAACGCAATGTTTTTTGAAAATTATTTTTGCAATATGTGCTGCAGATTATGGTTATATAACAGCATTTAAAAAAAAAAAAAAAAAAATTAGGGCCTGGCCTGGACGTGTTTGCCTAGAGCTCCGCTCCGACCACACCACTAGAAAGCCTATACACGCGTGCTAAACTCATAAAAATATACAAAACAAGCTCATCAAGATGGAGAAGAGACCGGCCAAAAAACAACCAAAGAAGGGCCAGGAATTGGGAGCCTCCGTAGCAGAATATTTCTCGGGCCCACGCGCAGGACCCGCGGGCCCACAATATGGCGGCGACGCTGATGTGGAAACCGTGGGATCACAGGGATCGCCGACAAAAACTGCAGCCGCAACTGGGGGGAACACCAAATGCTACAGCAGAGACCGCAACGATTCTGGCAACCCTGACGGAGGTAAAAAAAAATTACCTGGCAGGGGAGATAGAGCACTCCACACGCGTTCTGAGAGGAGAAATACAGGCCATAGGCGACCGCACCACGAGGTTGGAAAATCGCCTGGAAGACACTACAGCCGCTCACAATACAGCGATCCTCCAGATTAATCAACTGACCACCAGGATGGCTGCAGCTGAACTTGCCATAGAGAACATGGTGAACAGATCGCGTCGGAACAACATGCGCCTCAGGGGCTCACCAGAGGTGACAGGGGAAGGCCCGGTGATCGATATAGTGACAGCAATCCTCAAGCCTCTGCTCCCAGGCCTACCAGATCATCTCTGGCACATAGAGCAAGCACACAGAGCCCTGCGCACCAGGAGGATGGACGCGAAGACCCCGCGGGATATCATCATCCGCTTCCTACACTTTCAGACCAAAGAAGCGCTAATCAAAAGAGGCAGAGACGGTACAATCTCATACCAAGAATCCGACCTGACTCTATATCAAGACCTGGCACCGGCCACCTTACAAAGAAGGCGGGAGTGGAAACCTATTATAGAAGCCTTAAGAGCAGCGAACATTCGCTACGCATGGGGTTACCCCTTTAAACTACTGGCCTTCCAAAATGGCAGAACACACGTCTTACAACCAGGAGATAACGCCTCAGCACTATTCGCAGACCTGGGACTCCAGACTCCAGCGCAGGTGCCTGCCATGCTAACGGGAACAGGAGAACTCCCACCTCTTCCAAGAGAATAGCAGACCGTCAGAGAGTGAGGTACCGGGGGTACATTACACCGTAGGGCCAACTGGGCCTATGCTCACTCATGGAGCCAACCGGCCAGTGATAAAAGGAAGGGCATAACAGACACTGTGGGGAGGGGGTTTTTCTTTGAAAAAACAGACTGGGATCAGACATTCCACACAATGGGCACAATATTTTCCCTTTCCAACAGCTATTAAGCCCCGGACTTCCCCGGGTACCGGGAACTTGGTAGGGGGGTCGGGGGGACGGGGGAAGGGCCATGGACATGGACAGGGACTAGAGCCCCAAGCCGGAAAAACATATAACCCAAACTGGAAAGTACATGCAGACAACCAGCTAGAAGAAGGTCTTTATGTAGCCACGCTGGCAACCTAGCACCGAGGTCTTGGGGAACACACTAAGGATGAGAATCGCTGACTTTATTACACGCCTGAACGGCAAGCATCCTCCTCCACGAGGGGCCTCCCGGCAATTATAGTTATCTCTCAGTTATGTACCTTTCATGTTTATTGTAACTGCTTAAAACTAAGGTTCAACATTTACTCTAACACTGGGATATAGTTAGGGAGACTCAGGAACCCCCCAAGGCACTGACATACTAAAGCCCTAGCAAACGACGGACACACGGGTCACGGGTCCAATACAGAAGGACCAGACACTGACACACTAACGCCAATTAGCTACGCAATTTCTTAAAAACCACTTCCCGATGTTAAATATACCCAGACTACAGGATAACCCAGGTCCTACTCCAATATCCCCTACATTAATACGATAGCATTAAATATCAGAGCAGACTGGACATTACGAGCAAATAGAGGGGTAAATGAAAAGCCCACAGAGACAAGGGCACACCTGAGCCCCAGCCACAAATAGGGGGTCGCATATTCACCACACCAAAACTACTTACCCCCACACTAATCAATCCAAGTAAACCTGACCGGGACATGACATGGCATCCGACATAGGGAAGTGTAACGGAAAAGCCCACGAACACCCAAACGACAGTTACCGAACTTCTACAACGGCATCCGCTAGCCCACCTATATCGCCCCAGACCCCCATCCTCAATATATACCCTGATCCTCTGCCTACAACCTCACCAAAGGTTGGTGTCACCCTAGGGGGCACCCGACAGGCCGCTGCTCCAAAACGGGCGACAGAGCCAACTCAGAATAGCACGGCCTGGACTGTGTGGCGGGCTCAACACCCGAGTTCGCTAGACTACACCCTCTATTCTGCCCCGCACAGGACGTACTCCAGGATAGATCATTTCTTGGTGAATAATGTTAGTATGGCCAGAGTGGTTGATTCGACGATAGGTTCCATTAAGTGGTCAGACCATGCTGACATATCGTTGACATTGGGAAATCTAAGTACGGCTTCACCATGGAACTGGAGATTGAGCCCCCACCTGTTGAGAGACCGTGAATCCCAGGGAGCAATCCGAAAAGAACTTCAAGATTACTTCACCACAAACGAAATGGAGGACATGTCCCCAGGCATTATATGGGCCGCACACAAGGCCATAATTAGGGGCAAATGCATCAATTTGGCCACACGGAAAAAAAGCTCAAAAGACGCAGAGACTTGCCCAACTACTAGAATCACTAAGAGATCTTATTATGAGAAAACAAATAAGATGGACACTCGATTGGCTAGGACACTACATACACGACAGGACAGGGCACACATCACCTCGATCAAACAAAGATGGTTCCATCAAAAATACCCCCTCAGACATAGCTCAGGTCTTCACAGACTACTACGAGAAGCTCTACAATCACACACCCAGAGACCCTACGGCACAGGAAGAGACGGAATCGGGAATGAGAGCCTTACTGAAAAATCTCGACCTACCAAAACTCCCAACAGCAGCAGCTCAACTATTGAACGATAACATTACAGGAGAAGACATAGATAAGGCAATTGCAGGCCTCAAAGGCAATAAAGCCCCGGGACCAGACGGATTAGACGGAGTGTATTACAAAACCTTCAGAGAAGAACTCTCACCCCGCTTGGAAAGGCTCTTCAACGACTTTATGGAAGGTGGGAACCCAAAGAGGGAGATGTCAATGGCTAACATAATACTACTCCACAAACCTGGGAGAGACCCTTTACTCCCAGACAACTACAGACCCATCTCCCTTATCAATCACAATATAAAGATCCTAGCGAAAATTCTGGCAGACCGTCTCAACACCTTTTTAAAAACCCTAATCCACCCGGACCAAGTGGGTTTCATACCCGACCGACAACTACTTGAGAACACCAGAAGAAACATCGACCTCATTTGGCGACAAACGACCACGGACACACCTACCGTAATAGTATTGATAGATGCGGAGAAAGCCTTTGATAGGGTAGAATGGCCCTATCTTTTTAATCTCCTGACGTTTTTGTGATTCCTGGAAAAATACGTGTCCACCATTAAAGCCATTTATAACCAGGTGTACGCACAAGTGAAAATCGCTGGCGCCAGGCCTAAACCCTTTAAGCTGGGGAACGGAACAAGGCAGGGGTGCCCCCTATTCCTGCTCACTCTGGAACCACTTTAACAAGCTCTACGTCAACACCCTCTCATACAAGTGATTACGGTGGGAGGACAGGAATTCTTCGTATCCGTTTATGCGGACGACGTCCTCCTGACACTCACAAACCCGAAAGAATCCAGGGGCGCCCTACAGGAAGTCCTCACACAATTCGGAGCTTTCTCGGGTTACAAGACCAATTTAGAAAAATCCAGCGCTCTGCCGATGGGCCAGTCTGCGACAGACACGGCGGCACTACGAGCAAATCATAGCATCCCCATTGCAAAGGGCCACATAAAATATCTAGGGATCCAATTACCGAGCGATCCGACCAAAATATACCAACTGAATTACGCGGCGCTCATACGAACACTGATGCAGGATATGGAAAAATGGCTAGATAAACCCATTTCTTGGATCAGACATATTCATGCGGTAAAAATTAATGTATTGCCCCGTATATTGTTCCTCTTCCAGGCACTACCCATTAAGCTCCTAAAATCAGATCTAGCCCCACTACAAAAAGCTATTGGAGATTTCGTATGGCAGAACAGACGCCATAGAATATCTCGAAACATCCTATACAGACAGAAACAGAGAGGGGGACTGGGACTACCACATTTATATTTTAATTATTTAGCAGCACAACTTGCCCAGGTGACCATGTGGCACGCTCCACTGGAAATAAGAAGATGGGTAGACTTAGAGTCCCTCCTAACTGGACCAGACCTACCCCAATACCACATGTGGGTACCCAAAGAAGATAGGCCAATTTTGAGAACAAACTGCCCGGCAATATTAAACTCCCTAAGAATACGGGATACTTCGGCACACAAATACAAACTGGCGACCTTTGCCATCCCCATTAACACCCCTACTGAGAAATAGAGCCCTTCCTCTCAGGTATGGCACCTAGAGAGTTCGCAAACATAGAAAAAGTGGGATTGTAAAGAATCTGCCACATGTTTGAGGACAATGATGTAGTGTCATTTGAACACCTCAAACAGAAAGCACATCTCACGCCCGCAGATTTCTTTCGGTATCTACAACTAAAAGACTTCCCACAACACCCCCAAATACAAAAAGCGGGGAAGGGACCTTTGACCTTCTTCAAGAAAATGTGCCTTAAGGAAACAACACCAGAGGGATTAATAACCATGATGTACGCACACATCTGTTCCGAAATAGAGGAGTGGGGTGCACTGACATACACAGACACATGGGAAAGAGAACTGGGGGAGGTACTAGAAGGTGTGGAATAGAGGGACATATGGGAGGCAAATAATTTGGTATCTATATGTGTATCTCTCCAGGAACAATCCCTCAAAACAATGTTCAGATGGTACACCACCCCGGTCAAACTGTATCACATGAAACAAACACCATCTGACTGTTGGAGAGGATGCGGCCACAGGGGCACATACCTCCATATGTGGTGGGAATGCCCACAGGTACAAATCTATTGGAAGAAAGTATACAATATAGTCAAGAAGCTTTTTCAGAGCGCTCCAGAGCTTAACCCTTGGACATACTTACTAAACAGACAACTAGATGACTGGACAAAAAGAGAACAGAAATTGATCCATAAAATCACATTAGCAGCTAGGAGAGCCCTAGTTCAGCCTTGGCTAAAGGTAGATATGCCACCCATTAAGAGGGTCATCTCCAACATAAAAGAGGTATACCTAATGGATAACCTAACAGCAAGGGTGAGAGGATCCACGACTAAATTTGAAATAATGTGGGATCCCTGGACAAGTAGTGAGTATGTCTGACACAGCATTACCCATCCCTCATAGGAGCAGAGAATCGACAGGAGGGCCCCCATAAAGACCGTGCACACAGGGAGGAACTCTGGTCCCCCCTCCTCTCTCTTTCTTCTTAACTATTTCTCTTTCTTATAGATTTTCTTTATTTTCTACCTTCCACATGGGAGGCGACACAGGTGCAGAGTCCTATACCCTAACTTACACTGTGACCCTCTGACACCTACAGGGCTACACAAAAAAGGGCCAAGTCACTAAGTCCCAACCCAAATACCAAGCAATACTACAGGCACCGAAAACTACTCACCTTAGAAGGTTTTTCGAATTGCTTACCGCTGGTTTTTCTCCAAGTTATACAAAACAAAAAAATGTGAAAGTTGTAACTAGTAATAGACTTGTTTAATTTAAAAATGAATGAACAATGGTGATGTAACAGAGGCAATGTTAACATGTACGTCAAGTATCACATGTCTGACACATACTGTTTGTAATATTTAAGACAAGATTTTTCACACAGAAATAAAATTTAAAAAAAAAAAAAATAAATAAAAACTAAATCTTTGACCAAAATATCAGCCTCATACTCGTGCTGGGTTCATATATGTAATTTGCATTTTTGGTATGATAGTGGCCCTGATAAATATGTAGTGAAATACAGAAATAATCAGTCCCCTATTTAATCTAGGTGTTGTGATATTATATTAGAATAATTAGTGGCAGTGGTGTGAGGTTCTCCATTCAGCCTATTGAAAACTCTTAGAGCAAGTGATATACATGCAAAGAGACACTTAGAGTGCTTAGTCTAGTGATGGCCAAAAATGTTACTCTGAATTCTCCAGAATTTGTTCTGTTCTGGAATTTCAACAATGGATAGAATTAAAGCGGATGTAGTATCTATAACATAAGAAGATGGTAAAATCTCAGATGGTTAATTATGTACCATGTGAGCCGGACATCTGTGGTAGGAAAATAATCTGATCTGTTAAAATTTAGAAATATTAAATATATCTGGAACAACATCTTCATTAGTAGTAAGAATATGAAACAGATTATGCCACAGCAGCATGACTGTGCTTTATGCTATATCTAGTAAATATACACCATGGTGTGCCGGTGTGTGTGATCCTGTACTGTTTAAGAATATGACAAGGTTACCACACACATTAAAAAAATATATATCTGGGGAAAACAGTTTATATCTGGTTTGAAAGCTGGTGTAAAGATAGAGAGCAGGGGATTTTTGTTAACAAAAAATTCTCAAATAACATTTTGATAAGAGTTTTCATACAGATCCTTTAAACTGATTTTTTTTTTTTTTTTAAGGTCTTATGTGAACATTTGAAGTGTTTGTCAGTGACAAAATTAAGTAAGGTCGGAACATGGCGTTAATTCTGGAGAACCGGGCAGAGAAGTAGCATACGTGATTAAATAAAGGGACATTAAATTTAGATTTCTTATTCAGATTAAAACTGATTTATAGTCAATAGGAATTTTTTTGACAGATAATTCAATTGAAACCATTAGTATTCCTGTTTGCGTATGGACTTCATCACTGTAGGGTCACTGGAGGAACATTAGACAATGTGAGATGGATACAATTGCTTGACGAATACAAACAGATCCTTTCTACATCTCCCAATGGCATATTCCAGATTATGCTAGAATCTGATTCTAGTCCAAAGTACCAAGAGGAGAACTGAAGATTTGTAAGACTGCAGAGTTTATGAATAGAGATTATATCCCTAATTATGATTAGTTTTCCATATTTAAATTAGGTAAGCCTAGAAGAAACTGTACAAGGGGACAACAAAACAAACCGTAATCCCTGAGAATTCTAGTGTTGTTAGAGTATAAGAAGGGTTATTACTAATTGGAGCCTTTATCCACTATAAAATACCTTAAAAGTCTATGAGTGTTGAATAGTTTTGTTTATCCCTCACACTGGATTACTTGGAAGTAAAATGAATGGTGGGCTCACACTGTAGCCAAGAACACCCGACCATGATATCAGCAACCCCCTGTAGTGTACTGTGAACTGGCTGGTCAGACAATAGCTGTAGGACAACAGACACCAGGGGATCACTTCTGTTGTAGTTCAGCACCATTTATAAAGAGAATTTGAGTTTTCTCCACTTTGGCTAAGTCTGATTTTGGTAGATCTACTTTTTAGATGTTTACTTACCCTTTCTTGCTTTTCTTATATATTTTTATGATCTTTTCCACTTGAATGCCATATTTCTCAGATATCTGGGAGGCAAAGGAAAAAACAAAACAAGGTTGAGAAGTCACACTTCAATAGAAATGTTTAATTATTATCAACATTTATTGATAAAATGGCGACAAATTCTAAGAGTACTATGGACACATTATTTATGAATAAAGGAGAGGAACGTAGTTTGATAGCCAGAATGAAACCAGATGACTAATTATGGTGTTCTTTCCCTCAAGCTTACAGTCTACCAAACTTTTATCATCCCATTTAGACTAGAAAGTGGAATATTTGACTTCAAATGAGGTTCCTCATCGTTAAATAAACCATTCGATTTTCAGTCTCTACAAATGTGTCAATCTGAAAATCTAGGAGCGAACAAGTGCTAAAAACATTTATACACCTTACCACAGAGCTCTACATCACCAACTGTGCAGTGGTAACATTTATACAATTCTCCCAGTCAAAAGTCCGACTATTGTAGAATGATGTGTCCTACGATATTGTGTTCCATTACATGATGCATGTGTCTTTTTCCACTACTTACACTGTTCTGATTTGTTTTCATTTGCAGCATAACTGACACTATTTGTGTGTGTGTGTAGATCGGAGTGTGTTTGGGAGTATGAACCTGTGTGTGTAAATGTAGCTCTTGGTATCTAGAACTGCACTACCATAGGAGAAAACATCATAAGGGTTTCGAGACCCCTTCCCTTAAACTTGACAAAACACTTACTCAGTCCTTGTTAGAACTAACAAATCTCCATGTTGATTAGTAGCCTAGAACAGTTGGGATAAATGCCATATCGCATTCCCTTCACCAATTACATTGTGTTGGAGAAATGTATGTGTTAAAACTATTAGATTCAATTATTAAAGAAAGACATATGGGAAATTAGCAAGAGAATTAAAAATTTTAGGTCATAAAAAACAAATTGACAAATTTTCCATTTTTCCATTTTGTCTCTTTTAGTCTAAAACCTTGCAATCCCCTCATACATACTCTATAATTCCAGTTTAGTAAATAGTCTCCAATAACTTACAACATTATTTTTGCACAGCTAATGTAGGGTCCAAACCTGACCCTCAACAATGCTATTCATCAATTAAACTGCTATCTGTAGATGTTTCTTGCTGGTAAAATAGTTCATCTTGTGGTCAATCAAGAAACTGGTACAGGTGTACAATAATGGAAGTTTCCGACAACCACTAACATACAAATATACGCTGGAAACCATTTGTATTCTTGAGAGCTATTGCACAAGCGTCATTCAGTAATTTCCATGCAATCGAAAAACCACAGAGTGCATTTCCTATGCTACAATTAGTCTAAGGGCTAATGAACTATATGGCCAAACCATTGACATGCACATTTGCATCGAAGATATACAGCCTTAACCCACGTAATTTACAACGCAGGAAGTCATTAAAATGAAGCAGGGTTTTCAGGTAGAATGACCACATAATGTATACATCTTTGGTTGCCTTCTACCTCAACAACAATGAGCATATGCATATCGTAGCATAGAATTTCACAGCACAAAGTAGACTTCTAAAGGAAATAGATTCTGATTTACTGTCAAAATGTAGAGTACAAACCATCTGTGAGCACTGTAATAGCACAGCACTCAGAGTTGTTATATCATCATTTACTAAAGTACATCATCGCATATATTTTGGTACTTTCAAAGCTATAAACTATTGCTGAACAGAGCCATCAGGGAATTTTATTTTGCTAAACTTTTAGTTAAAAAAAACAAAAAAAACATAAAAATCTTTTATATTGGACTTAATAGAAGGCGAGTGGGGAACCTCATGTCTTGTTGAGGGGTTTAGTCACAAGGAAGCAGTTAATTGTTAAGTTTTGGTCACTTTACACCAAGATATGGATCACTAAGAAAGTTTACTAGAATATGTAGAATTTAAAATGAACGTTCTGAAACAAGTGGTACCAATTTCATAGACAAAAAAAAGCTTTGATGATGATGATGGCAATGGGAACAAGCAGATAAACACTCATGATTTCTAAATATATAAACAAACTTGTTTGGAAAAGCACATAGCAATGATGCATTGTACTATTTTCTATTTATGATGCAACAGCTGCATAACTAATCCTATTGAGTGCTTGTAAAGAAAACGAGAAACATGTATTTTTTTTATTCTACGTGGCAAAGGTCAGAAATATCCATCTTTATTAGAAGAAAGCTGGTTACCAAGTTTGCCTGAAAAAATCTAAGTTTATGCATCTACTTACAGCTTCCAGCAGACCTTTCACAGTTGGATACTTTAACATCAGGGCATCAAATACTTCATCCGACTCCTTCCTCACATAGAGAAGCACTGGAAAACACGAAGAGAGATATTTAGCACTTTATACGATAAATAGAACCAAACATTTTCTTCTATTGGAGAAGATAGTGTTAGATTTATATTATCTTCTAGATTTGCAGATCAAATAAAAAGTGTTTACTAGTCTGTTTTCCGTGACAGCAGAATCCATTTATTATTTCGATATTTTGGTAAATGAAACTGCTAGTGATATAAAACTGATGTTTCCTTAAGTCGCTGTTGATAGGAAAGTCTCATCATTTAGAATTAGACAATAAAATGCCATACATTTTTACTAACGGTGAAAATTATACGAATTTTAGAAAATGTCAGGGAAACTACATTATCTTCAATATTTTTAAACTATTTTGAGCGATTTGCTCATTATTTGCTCATTATTCCTAGAACAAAACTTCTAACACGTAAGAGGTATGTAATTTGCTAAAGTGACACTAGAGCAACATTTGTAGACATCAGGATGATTCGCATCATTTTAAAATGTCTCTGTTATTTCACCACAGTTTCCAGTCCACAATTTCTAAGACTGGGTAGTTTGTCAGGGAATCCAAGAACTACTCTGCCAGTCATTATTTTAAAACGTTAAATATTTTTCAAGTATATTTTACTCTGCCCCTTCCAAATAAATTTAATTAAACAAACCTGATTTAATGTAATGTAATATAATTTTATACCATGGGTATCTACCATAAACAGATGTGACAGTATACTGTGTTTAATTTGAATATTCTGATTAATGCCACTTTATTTTGATAACTTTTCCAAGATTACAAACATATCGATATCCTAGGATAATTTTGATGTTTTACAGATTTTGCACGGTTTCATTTTGAGTAAATAACTGTTTAGTGGGGGTTTTTATGATTTTTTTTTATCTTCTGATGAGAGAGAGAGGTCTGATTAGTTAATATTCCCGATCTTCATTCAGACTAGATTACATTTTTTGCATTTTATATAGCATAATGCATAAAGTATGTTATAGATTTCTGTAATCTTCATTATTATTGTACTTATGCTTTCTTTACCATCTACATTTTGTGTGTTTACAATTAAACAATGACACAACACATGAATGACCACAGTATATTGCAAAATATTAATATGTAAAGGGTTGTTAACAGGGCTCAAGTCCTGCAGGAACACGTGGGAACGGCGTTCCTGCACTTTTTTTCACAGCAGGAACGTCGTTGCCGTTGCTCCTTCAGGGACTAACCAGGGATCTTGGCTGAGTTCCCACACTTTTTTCCCCCCAAGACCTGACCCCTGGTTGTTAAAACAGAAAGTCCATCTCAGCAGTGCACATGGTCCAGAGTTTAGATGTGCATATTTACCCTCGTCGCAATACAGTTGCAGAACCATTCATTATAATGTGCCTGGTCTGATACTGTAAATTCAGACAAAACTGTGGATTCTAAAAACACACAAGTCTAGCACTACATGCAAAATCCACTTCACACGGGTCCTGACTTTGAATTTAGTTGATAGTGACAGTTATTTGAGTGTAGTTAAATGCACAGATCTATCGTTAAAGGTACAATGTACAATCACATGACTGCTCTTCTTGATTTGTCCTGGTGTATTGTTTAGTTCTCCCTACATCAGCAGGAATAATTCTGGAGAGTAGTTTAATCTGATAACCACTCTCGAGGTCACTAGGTCAAGGATGTACATGTGTCACAATTGATATGAAGAAGAATCTGTAATCTCTGGGATGAGGATAGTATTTATCACATTCCAGTATATAATTACACAATAAAGCATTTGTTTCCTATCATTAGTGATGTACAGCAAGGCATATATATTAAATGGGCCATCCAAGCACCATACTCATTACATGCTTGGTGTGATTATGGTAAAAAGTATTGAAGCCTTGCCCCATTTTCATACCATAATTGCACTTCTGGGCCTTGTAATTCCCATGCCCCTAAAGGGTATTATATCAGTCTTTTAATTTCTGTTGGGCTAAACCTGGAATGAAGTATTTTGGAATTTATAAGGCAAGAACAGCTAAAGAAAGCTACAATGCAAATGTATCCACCCTTCACCTCTGTGTTGATGGGACGGGTAAACATCATTAAGGTGATGGCCCTCCCAAAATATTGTATCCATTTCAGACTCTACACATTTTGGGGACTTTTTATTTTAAACGGAAAGTAGTTCTACCCAAATTTAATCTGGGCACACAGACACCTTAATGATGCCTTTCACACTTTGACTAGAAAGAGTCTAGACCTGCCCTATCTATATGATTATTACCTATTGGCTGAGTCTCTTAGCATCTCCACCTTCAGAATATATTAAAGATGTCATTACTGCCCCAGTGGGAACCAAGGAATCTGAACCCCATTAAGAAAATTTGTCATACAGCAGAGAAGGAGTATGGGCTCACATCTAACAGGAATCTTCCATTAAAAAAATAAAAAAAATAAAAAAATCACTGGATGGTATAGACACTCCCTCTTCCCCTCTGTTAGTGATAAATGTTGGAGGTGCATGGTGGATGTGGGCAACGTTAAGCATTCATGGTGGAGCTGCCCCTCCATACGCGCAGTCGGTCCTAAAGTTTTCCCATAGCCTATCTCAGTCCCAGATCCCGTTAGGATGGCCAAACTTCTTTATAGATAAACACAAACAAAATGTATGTGGATATTGCTAGGCGATGCTAATGCCTTAACCCTCTCATTCTGGAAGCGCCCCCAAATTTCTAAACTAGAACAAGAGCCTCCAGAGCAAACTAGATCCATGGATGAACTCGAATAGACATCTTTGTGGGAAAAACAAACACTTACAAACATGGGATGATTTCTCTACATCTTTCTGCTGAGTCGTGCCCCTTAAGACATCAGACCTGGAGATGGACTCTTTCTCTTTATTTACTTCCTACTGATACTTACCTGAGGGCAAGAGCCAAATGCATACAAATCCATAATATCGGCATAATGTAAGAACCCAAGTCTCTAATCAACCAAATGCTATTCCTTGACCAAGCAGATGACCCCAATACATTATATTCCTAACCTTCAGTTTGTTAAATATTTGTTGTCCTTTTTGTTTGTTTCTTTATAATGCAAACCTTGGCACTCAGACTCCTGTGCTTCTGCTATGCTGAACTTGTTCTTGCATCTCCGATATATGCTACATATGATATGGTGCAGTGATGACATTCTCTTTTGAGAATAAAATAAAGAATGATTTTACCAGGTCAACAGAAAAGTATGAGGTCTTATGATCACATTACCAATATCAGTTTTGTCCATATTTAAACAGCGGTGATGGGCTGGCATACCATCTGATGTTCTCAGACAATCAATTACATCCAAATATCAATGTAATTGCTATTGAAAATGTGGATATTCCACTTGACGAGTGAGGGACTACGTTAGCAAGGGAAGTTTGACACAGAATCAATGGATGACACCCATAGCCAAACGGCATAATAACCACTACATCTGCATGTAGTTGGTGTCATGCTTAGAGTGCCCTTTAATGGGGACTTATGTGGCATCAGTTGATTAATCAGTTTACCTTTTTTGTGTGCTTCTTTACTTTGCTTTGGTGCAGGCGGACCATAATCTTCTTCCATGGGACGTAGCATTCTTTTTACCAACACACTGCTCCTGTTAATAAAGGACCCAACCTATTAACTACAATCAATTTAGGCTTAAAGAATTATGCCTAAATTTCCGATAAACTAGTTAAAAAATTATAATATATATTATAACATATTACAATCAAGATATCCAATCCTAGTACTTCATTAGACTCTCTAATGTTAGAAATTAAAAGTTATAGTCAAATATCTAATTATAAATTAAATACAAATAAATCCATGGTTTTAGATATCAATCTGGATAAGAAAACTCAAAATGAGATTAAAGATAGATATAATTTTCTATGGGTTGAAAATAGTATGGATTATTTGGGAGTCAAATTGACCAGAGATGTAAATAAAATTATGGAGACAAATTTCTTAGATTTATTACAAAATCTTAATAAATGGCTAAAAGATCGTAGAAATTTAGAAATAACTTTCTGGGGAAGAATAAATGTGATTAATTCATATGTTCCAAAATGGAACTATATGTTCCAGATGTTGCCATTATATATTTCCAATTATTGGTTGGAGCAGATACAGAAAGGCTTCACCCAATATATTTGGAAAGGTAAGAAACCAAGACTGAGTCACTCAACAATAATACAGAAAATTAAGTAGAGGAGGATTAGCCGATCCCTTAATATTAAATAATTATAGAGCAACTACAATTTTACACATTTACAGGATGCAAATAGAAGATAATAAAAACGAAGGATGGTAGAAGATGGAACATACTGCAGGAGTAGTCCCCAGTTTGGACTGTTTAATCTGGAACACTACTAAATCTCATAAAAGAGAATACTCCAATACAAATTTTAACACATTTATTAAATAGTCGGTTTAAAATAAAAAAAAATATTAAAAATTGAAAATAGAGTCCCAAGCTATCTAGAGCTGAATTTTGTTGAACAACAGGTTGAAGATATAAATCTTAATAATTGGAAACAGGCAGGAATTGTACAGCTGGCTCAGCTATTGGTAGAGGGAACAATCAAAACCTTCATTTAATTAATACAGGAGTATAGCCTACCATCAAAGGAGCTGTTTAATTTTTTTGAGACAAACATTTTTTGACGACTCATTTAATTGTATCAAAATCTAGTTTAAGCAACATAATCAACATATGATTTAGTTCATATGGAATAACTAAACCGCTCTCTAAAGCTTTGCTATTAAGTAAAATGTGCAATAAAGAAAAAATACCAATAGCTATGGCTGCCTGGAAGGAAGAACTAAACACAGACATAGATATCAAGCACTGGGGTTCTTCACTGGTGGAAGTTCCGAAGACTATACACTCACTAAATCTACTAGAAACCCACTTCAAGGTTTTAAATAGATGGTACTTATTACCAGACAAATTGAACAAAATGTACCCCACAATAAATCACCTATGTTGGAGATGCGGCTTAGTTACAGGCACTTTTAAGAATATATGGTGGGAGTGCCATAAATTGAACAACCTGTGGTCTAAAATCCAAAGGTTTATATCTGCAGATCTGAACATTGGGTTGAGGTTCTCCCCAGAAGTTGTTCTGCTTCACTTAAACTGGCCGGCAATGGCGTATGAGCTGAAAATTATTCTTACTCATCTCTTTTTAGCTGCCAAAATTGTGATTGCGAGATGTTGGAAAAAACGATATGGACGTCCCGTGGGAGAAAGTTAGAGCTTAAGTTCCAGATCAAAATGGAATTAATAATGATAAACAAAAATTAAGTAAAAAAGTAACTGTTTGGATGAAGTGTTGGGAGCGGATAAATAAATAGAGCTTCCAGTAAATAAAGTGTCTGTCAAAACTAATTTCTTTATAAATTTAAAGTGAAACATTGCTAGATCGTTTATACTTTGGATAATATAAGACACACACTCTTGTTTGACCTATATCTTCTCCTTCCCACCCCGACAAGCAGATTTAGCTTATTTCCTTTTTTTTTTTTCTTCTACTTCTCTCCCCTGTTGCATTGTCTTGTATCTGTAGATATGCAAGTTAAATATATTGTGTTGTTTTTGGTTAGTGAAATGTGTAAGGAAAATTTACACTGCTATATTCCTCAAATTGAAGAAATGTTTCCTTGCATTAGTATGTAAATTATAGTTCTGTATTGTTTTTTTATAGAAACATTTTCAAATAAAGATCAAAAATAATCAAGATATACAACTATAAAAAATGACATGGAAATCAGAAATTAGATTAGTGATAATAATAAAGGGAATTTATAAAAAACTTACCCTTCTATGTCGTCGTCAGTGTTATAGTAGACCTGTGGGATCAAATAAATGTGAAAGTAGGTTACTATAGAGCGTAAACATGCTAAAATGTATACACATTTGCTATACTTTAATTGCATCATCAATCCAAATCTGTAAATGTGGTTAGATAGAAATTGAATAAACGTTGATAAAAGTACCAGATGTGTGTCTACTGCAAACTTTAATTCCATTAGCATCTGATGCAAAGTGTTTTTCTTCAATTAAGAATAAACAGGATTTAAAAACAATGATTAACAGTGTAAATAAAAAGAGAAAGACGATGAGTATTGGAAAATCAAATTGGTATCCCGTGTTCATCTCGTGCGTTCGAAGACATGTTCTTAAAGCAGCTCCCTTGGTCTGAGGCTTTCAAAGCAAATTATAACATATTATTCTTGTTTTATTTATTTAATGTGTTGCTATATAAACCTTAATGCATTTCGAAGAATGGATTAGAATGTGGATTAATGGGACTTTCCTTTGTGGGTCTCCTAGAGACAATGACCCATTGATGGTGTCAAGTAAAATGTGAGATTTTTTTTTTTTTTTTATAAAATGAGGAATGTTTGCAACTGAAATTAATTAACCTCATATGTTACAATCAGGAAAGATACAGATAGGACTGCTACTGTGAGTAACATGAATGCCTAGTGCAAAAGGAACACCTATCTGTACAAAACAGAGTGAGCTAAGCAGTACACGGTTAAATGTAAGCTTTTGGGAATGGCTAGCAAAAAGTCCAGCAATTTCTTTAAGTTGTGTGGCTTTTGCAGCACTGGATTGTGATGAGTTTATTTTTATAGTTATGAAAATTATAGTAGACCAAATGTATCTAGAATTGTCATCCAGTGTAAAGTCCCCATTCCCTGAAAATATATACACCCTATTTTGTATGTAAACTCAAAATGCAACTGTATGTTATAGGTAGTTGTATTTATAATTTTTCCTATTTATGACAACAGCTTGTTCCTCTTGTGAATGGACCCCTGGGATGTTTAATAATTTATGGCACAACCTTGCAGCTACAAATACGCAGCTGCTCGATGTTACAATGCTGTTCAAATATTCACATCAGTATTTTAAAAAGGTATATTTTTATATATATGTGGAAAGGTTATACATCTAGACCCATCACATGGTTTCCAACCAAAAAGTCCTTTAATCTGGGTTTAATAATTCTAATAGATCATTTGACAGCCTACAAGGTACTCCTATTGATTGACCTTTGAGATGAACCTTTTAGAAAATTAGATCGTTCTATCAAAGCATACATCTGGAGCTATGAAAGACCCATGGGCTAACCGTTTCTTTCCAACACAGATTTTGTGGTGTAAAATATAGATGCAGAAAGGTGCCTAATTAGGTGTCTGATAACTATCAGCAAATCTTCTTGTATGAAGAACATTTCCAGGGCATAACGTTAAAAGTAGAGCAAACAGAAGGGGGCAGCAGGAACATTCTATTGGTTTCTATGGTGTCTGCATCAATTTAAGAACTTTGCCCCCCCCCCCCCACTGCTTAATTCCAACTTCCAAAAGTATGTCAGTTGTTTTAGTATACTGTTGGATTGATGGTGCAATGATGATGTCAAAATAAACCAAGCCATAAAAATACATTTCTGGAGCTCTCTGAATTATAAATCCATGCAGTATTTTTATTGCACAGCTTCATTGCCCACCTAACCAAACAAAAGAGGGAGATATAACCTACGAAGATGGCATTAAGGACTTTAGACTCAATATTTAGACATGAAGTTCAGGTTTTTTTTGTTTTTTTTTTACCAATTAATAATTGGTAGATATCTCCAGTAATCTGCAAATGACTGAAGGACGCAGTTTATTGAAAATGTTTAAAATGTTAGTACCTGTCCAGTCCTCTGCAGATTTCCAAAATGAACATCTGGGATAAAAAGAACAGGCTGGGAGACTAAGTCAACCATGGTCTTGAAGAACGTGGCGTCACTTTTCTTCTGAAGAGATAAAGCTGATAGCTTCCCGTCAGCTGCTAAAATACCAAAAGTACAATCGATTAAAAAGTTTCCTCTAACAAGGCAAAAACTCCAGTTCAACCAAAATGGATTATAAGGTCAAAACGGCCTTATGTTACGATCCTTCTTTCACAAGACAATATGATTAAGGAAGTATCTAGTTAGACGTCAAACGTGTATCCTTTGTCTTATTTTTTTTACGTTTTCCGTTCCCCCTGTTTGTTGCAGTGTGAATGCAGTGTGAATGTAGAGCTATATTCTAACTTTTTCATCTGCGTTGTGGTTGTATTACAATTTAGAAGAAATAAATCAGCACATGGATTTAAAGTGATTTGCTATCTACTTTATTATTATTATTTTTTTTATTTTTTTTAAAGAGTCTTCATGAGTGTGGGGAAGGGATTTTGTCTATTATATTTACATAATTTTTTTTCTTGTATTTTTTTCTTTTTTTTTTTTTTTTTAATGTCAAAGAGACCTGAAAAGCCATTTCTGGATGTCAGGTCTGCTTAAAAAAGTTATCTGTATCTATATTATAATTTTTTATATAGTCTGTGTTCATATAATGCACCAGCGAAGTCTGAGATAATGTACAAAAAAATACATAAACACATAAATACATAGCATATAACCGGTGCATAGAAACATATCAGTGGTCTTATTTGAGATATTACTTTTAATTCACCATCATTGTTTTACTCACAATTATTGCCTTGAGATTGCGCGTTTTGGCCTTTTACTTTTTTCCGATTTTGTTTCCTTTCTTCATCACGGATTTTCCTTTCAGCTCCCTAAAAATGTTTTAAATAAATAGACAATAAAAAAAAAAAAGAAATGACATTCTGTGCTTCCAACCTTTCCGTACCTCCTCTCCTGCCTTACATTTTTACACCCCATGTTTTATGTTTTCATCCTTTTATCAGTTTTTACTGAAAGGACTTTTTGTTGGAGACCTTGATTGCCTGTCATGCAGAAATGTTTCCGGGGATCTATTTTGCTGTAGATTCAATTAATGTACTTCAATCTTTTAGAAGTTAATTGATAGTCTTTATACTTCTACTATAGTAAATATTGGGGAAAAAAACTGTGTAACATTGTGTTATGCTGTATAAAGTATGCAAAATCATGATCTATTTGCACAAAATATGTGAAATCATACAAAGTCTTTACTACACATGCTAAATCATGATATATTCCACAAAATGGATTGGAACAATACAGTTACTGAGCAAAACACATGATCATGCTGTGCATGTATAAAATGCATTATAACAGGATGCATTCAAGCACTGTCTATTTTAATGTGTTACATCATGTTGGTCCTTCTGGAATTTGTTACATCAAACATCACTTTATCATTTTATCACTTTTCTCATTATGGCTTTTAAAAACAATGATATGCCTCATTAGTATAATTTTTTTTAATAAAAATTCATTGTCCCCCTATTAATAAAAAAAAACCTATTATAACAAGCCAACGCTTAGACTGGTTCGAGTGTCAATACATCCATTTTTATTTATTATCCTATGAGTCAAGCTTTCAATTATTATTACCCAATTCTGCTCAATAATTACAGCAATTGGAGAGATATCCAAGACTGTATTTGACAGATAGATAAACAAATAAATAACCATTCAATCAACTGGAGGGTTCTGTCCCATTAATTTCAACTGAACTGTGTTGTAAGTGGAACAAATAATGAAATTTGTTTACAGTTGTGATTACCAAGTCTGCTCTACCGTTTTAAATAGCTAAAACCTTGGGTTTATTGAATAGAACCCCAAGTATCACACAGACAACAGACGTATGTACACGGGTTTCAGCTTTCATTTCAGAAGGTCTATTGGAAACCTACGTATCAGAATTAGATAAGAACAGCAAAACAAGCAATCACCACCTGCTTCTTTTAGGTTTTTAAAATAATGCCTTGTCTGTTTTCAATGAAAGGCTTTAATGGGCTAATTTCACCCATTCAGTAATCATGAGGTGTCGCTAATGAGTACTTATGCTTCTTACTGTGCTGAATCTTCTGTTTTTATATTTTTTTTATACCCTGTCTTTGGCACTAGGTGGCTCTCTTGTATTAAAAGTGAACCTAGAAAATGGTAGGGAAAGAGATGATATTTTATAATCTTCCTCTGTTTACTAAGAGAAAAATGGCCAATTAAATATTCCCTGGTTTAAAAGACTACTTTTCTAAGCAAGTTCACCTCCACATGAATAGATCAGTATGTTAATTCTACTAATAAGTGGTATTTATATGAGTTGTCAATGAAAGGTCATATATATATATATATATATATATATATATATATATATATATATATACACACACACACACACACACACACACACACACACACACCTGTCTCACTAGCTCGGAGATAAAGGTTTGAATAGCTTATGTGAGAGAATGGATTCCTCTTTTTTAGAAATGCGTTAGACCAATTGTGATATAGTTCACAATGTCTGTCCTACAAACTGATGCTTCCACCATTTACTTACGTTTTGGAAACATCAGATTTGGTCATTAAACATTCCCTCATTTCGGGCTACATAAGCTAATTCCTTTTGATCTATGCAGAGAGCAGAGATGCTGAATGTAGGTCCTGCGCACAAGGCAGCACTGAAATAGGAAGTACCTCTAGTGGCGGTCCAAGTGACAGCACTTAGAGGTGTTACTAGGCATCAATGTAAACACTGCCTTTTCTCTGAAAAGGCAGTATTTACATTGCGGAGCATGCTGGGACATGCTATAGACACCACTGGTTCTGGTGACTATAATGTCCCTTTTAATTTGAAATTCACTTTGAATTCCCAATAATTTTCACTTTTGAATGAACTCTGTGAGAGGAAGAAAGTAAGGCAATGTTGAAAAAATACCAATGCACATAAAGACAGAACAGAGAGAAAGAAAAGTGGAAAAAAGGAAAGTGCAAAGGGAAAAGTGAAGGATAATTTTAGAGGTAGTTTGGGTGAGAATTCGACTTCAACTTTTGACTTTGCAGTTCCATGTGGACGTATCACCAAACAAAAAAACAACACGGATAATGGCCAAATAGATTTCTTTGCTTTGTAATTCGATGTTCTGTCCGCACCACCAAAATAAAAATACATTAAAAAAAAAATAATAATGATTGATGGTTAGGGGACAGCTACTGAAACACATAAATAAGTAATACAGAATTAAACCAGGGATCATCTGGCCTAAATATTTAAATTTTAGCAACTGAATGCTCAAAAGTAACTGAACTAAAATCTCTAATATTGATCGAATGAGGACCAAATTTGAATGATAAAATACCATTCTATTCAGTCGTAATTCAATCAACCAAATTACAAACAGAACTATTCCTGCACTGGATGATTATATTATTACAGTGGAACCTTGGAACTCGAGCGGTCCTGTTCTCTGACAATTCTGAAGTCTAACAAAAATTTTGAGTAAAAAAAAATGTCTCGGTATGCGAATGATCTTCGGTACCCGAACAAATCATCTTCGATTAGACACACTTTCGACATATTTTAAATGCCAGAATAACAGTTCCGTATCTCCATTCAAACAATAATATCTCTTCTCCTTTCCACCTTGCACAACTCTAGTGACAACAGTCTAGAGGCTATTGTGCAATTTGCTGGTAAGTGGGGCAAGGGAGCATGGTAGTGTTGTTCACTGGGAGAATGTCAACAGGATCCAAAATAATTTTTTTCCAGAGATACTACAATTAAACTGGTAAATCCAGTTCATACAAGGACTCCAGTAGGAACAGCAACTGGCAGAAGGGTCCTGGGCCACTTGTTATCCGGGACAGATTTAGTGGTCTATGCATGTGTACTTTCTTTTTTCCTACAACTGTATGTATCCAAACTATTCCACACAATAAAAAAAAATTTAAGGGTTAAACCTGAAAAACCAAACAACTGATAATGAACACGTTTAGGCTAGCATATCACGCCTCCATAGAGGAGTCATGTGGTTACTTCACCATTAATGTCTGGAGCGGACTATCATGGAGCAAATGTGGTGACATTCAAGTATCCTTTTCTGATTTTGACCCTGGAAAAAAATTTGTTTTCTTTTCTAAGAAAATATCAGTGGGAAATTACTGCAGTAAGTAGTGTTTATAGTGTTGAATTCCTGTGGTTCTCAGGGCAGCTGTAAAACTCATCTGTAAAAGTTCATTTTAATCATGAAGGAACTGCAGTAAGTTATTCATTGTATGACAACCCATTTCAGAATTGCTATCAACACTGACACTTGTTTTCTTAATATGCGCATCTGTGTGTCACCTAGTTTGTTGTTGGTTTGAACAATAAGAATAATAAAACACAAGTTTGACAAATAATCGCAATGTTTGAACTGGCTGAAACCGAGTAAAAGATCTTAAATTCATCGAAAGCTTTAGAATCATTCTCTGTAACATTTAAATATCAATTTTATATCAGAAGTAAGTTTTTGCACCTTTGTAGATATTTTATACTCAAAACTATTATTAATCCAACCACAATCCCGGCAATATACACTGACTATTCATTCAAAAGGACAGATTAACTTACTTTATCACAGAACACTTTGATCTGGCAATATGCCCGGTGGATTGGTTTGTTGCTGCGATTATTGTAGCTGTAGGTGTCAATCTGAATCATTAGGGGAAGTCCTTTGACCCCTTTCTGTGAGGAAAAGTCTGTACTCAAGCAATTCACTGTGATGAAAATCTGTGGAAATAAAATAAAAATCATGCTTACATCCAAGGTATCACAAATCACACACTTGTCATGCTAAGAAACACATATATTTCACTTTCATACACACTTATGGTAACAAAATGACTATGATTGGAATATATAGTATTTATTACTGCACAAAGCTTAGGACAACAATATTTACCTTGTTGTGCCCACTTCAAAAAAAATAAAATATAGAAAAGAGGGTCCCTTTTTTTAAGTCATAATTTTTTTCCTCTGGGTTAAGTCAAAATATAACCAATAAGTAATAGAATAAAAACATAGTTTGACATCTTGTCAAAGCGGGAGGCTTAGAAGCCAGCCAATCACAGTGCTCTGATGGGCAAGCATTGCTTCACAGTAAAGGACAATTGTTTGGAGAAGCAAAAATTGCCTGGTGATGCTGGTTGGCTTCCAAAACAACCAATCACAGAGCTCTGACTGAGCATTTAAAGCAAGGAAAGGGGTTTATAAAAATATTTATTTTTTTAAATTTCAAAAAACAAAGGCAAAATGCTCTCACTATGGCTACTCTGGCCTTAAAATTCAAAATTCACTTAGAATTCTTACTTTGGTAAAAAAACCCTGCAAAATAAATAAATAGATAAATACATAAAAATATAAGATCAGTATGGTTGTTGATTTGCCCACATGAACAAATAGTAGTCAGTTTTTGTTTTACTGACATTCTGACTAACATCACAAGTTCACGGATATTTTTTTGCCTACATATATACTTAGCAGAAATTATACTTATTTGATCTCTAATTCGAAGATTACTTAGTCGAAAACTATGTATATGTTATCGGTTTCTCTTTTCTTTTTCACTTTTCCTTTATATTAAATTGATTATATTAGGTTCATTCTTATTTGGGTTTACTTTTCACACTTTTTTACTTTGTGACAAATTTTTTTTAACTAATATATTAAATGACATTTTAGAGATTATTATATCATAGGGCAAGTTCCTCTCCATAATATACAGTTCACCTAGGGTTAATCCGTTTTGTGCCCTATTGATTTAAGACCTTCAACGCTCCAGTTTTCTCCCTTATACCACATGAACAAATAGTATGTTCCATACAAGATTTTGCAACGTAACAGGTAAACCTAATTAGTGTGCTTTTTTTTAATACCTTGCAGCTAATTCTCTGTTCTTGCGGCACACTCACAGCTGCTTAGAAAACACCCTAATATAAATGCATAGCATTGTTTAATTAGCATGTTAATGGCCTATGACATTATGACACTATTTTTTTTAAAATTAAAAGCAACCAGAATACTTTATTAAACATTAACCACACAAATACCAATGAACACCTATTGTAAATATATTAACATATAATTGGAGCTCATAATAAGGTGCATGGCAGTGTCGTTTTAATTAAATATGTCATATAAGCATACTAGTGTCCCTATTTAGGAGAGAGAGTCCCTATTTCGGGCTCCCTGTCTTTTGTTCGTGTGCCTTAATGTATAACAGAGCTCCACAGCAATATTCACAGTAACGTGACTGCAATAAATGTGTTTAGAAATCAGTCTGTAAATAAGATACATTGTTCTTGTTTTAGATTACATTTTAGTTGCATAAATTGTTATTAGTAAATCACCTCAACTTTCTCAGAACAGACCCTATCCCCACCACTAGTCATACCCCTAAAATGAAAGTGTCCCTCTTTGTCCATTTAATGTTAGGAGATATAGATAAGCAGACATATTAAGGATGCAAAGCATTTCAAGAGACATGCAGACTTGCTTGCATACAGAAGTTGTACATTAGTCTCAGGGAAAGCTAAATGGGATTATCAGACTCAAACCCAGTTAGCATGATACAAATGTATCTTATATGGAATATTTATTTATTTAAGAATAAAAATTACATGCAATCTTTTCAATGTAAATGCTGCCTTTTCAGAGAAAGGGCAATTTTTACAGCATTCCCTAATAACAAATCTAGGTGCCATCACTCAGACAGCCACTAGAGGCCTTTCCATATTTTAGTCTTGCAATCTATGCAAGCATCTCTGCGAGTTGATTCTGATTGGTGCAGTGTGTCATTTTTGCTGCACGTGTGCACAATCCTACCAAAGGGGAAGCATTGAATTGGCTGAGATCTTAAAGCTTGATGAGCTCACCAAGGGCGGCAAGGGAGAAAAGGTAATGAAATCTTTCTACGGCACTATAGCATTAGGAATATATGTTTGTATTCCTAATGCAATAGTGTTCCTTTCAGAATAAAATAATCAATAAGGCAAAAAAGAAAGAAAGTTTAGATAGTAACGCAATTGGTTTGATATTAAACCATATTTCAGCTTGAGGGTGGGGATCCTATGCTTGGAAAACACTTTATAACTAACCATTTATTAGATAGTGGGTAATATAATGCAACGCTATATGATTGGCCAAAATGTATAATTTCTCACAGTTATACTCTTTTTATTTATTTTTTATTCCACTCTATGCTCCTTTAGTACATAGAACGTAAAACAACATACACACAATTATAGGACCGTTAGGGACTTGCCATTTTAAAACAAACAGAACCAAAAATATATTTATATAACTTCTGAAGAAGCCTACCGGGACGAAACGCGTTAAGTGGGACTCTCCTTTATATTTTTATATATTTTTTATGTTCTATAATATGTTTTGTTTATATTAAAGTATACTTTTTAATAGATACTTTTATCCATCCCTTCTTTACTTCCTGGATCCTGTATATCCTTGGTGGGGATTATACCACCTAAACTGTCTGTACTAGAGCAAGTTGTATGCTCAAAAAATTGTAAGTACATTACTATTTATTACCAGCTTCACCATTAGGATGTACTTCACTATTGGCTGCTATTTTTCTCTCTACTATGCATACTACACTTTGAAATATTTGGATCAACCTGAACAACACATCCTGATACAGGGATCGTACCGTCCAAGCGCACTACAGCAGAGCTCTGTTATAGCTCATACGAATGTGAGTGGATTGAGTTACAGTCAAAATCAGCACTTAATATATTTGTACTGTATCGCACTATTATTTTTCTTTATTTTATTCCAAGGTTCTTTTGACTCATTGGAAGTATCTACTATTTATATTTATAACAGCGCGGTTTACATTTTTCTTCTTTTTTTCTATTCAATCACAAGGTGTCACGTATTCGTCCGCTTATAGAAATGTGGTTAATGACATTTACTGTCCACACAGGAAAAGTTGTGCCGAGCAGCAACCTAATCCACAGAAGGGTTAATGCTGAGCAGCAATTATGCAAATGAAACCTGGTAACTGACTTTGGGTCAAAGGCCGGTTACAGCCTATCAGAACTAAAGGAGGGGTATTTAGGCCCAGTTCTCAGCCTGCTCAGTGCCTGTCGTGGTTTCCCTTGTGGTTGTCTGAGAGCGCGTTCCTGTTTATAGTTTTCTACCTGGTTTTTGACTTTGGCTTTGTTTATTGACTTCTCTATATTCTGATATCCTGACTCCTGGCTTTCCTCATCGCTGTGTCCCTTTCTGTGTTCCCTGACCTCGGCTAGTATTTTTGACTATTCTTTGTACGTTAAATCCGGCCATTCTAAGGACCGGTAATACGTTACTTATTTGTCATCCGTGCTGTACAGTTCTACGTGCTGAATCAAACAGTAATCCTGACACCAGGTTCTGGGAATCCTTGCTCTGTATACTGCTGCTTATTCATCATTTTCTATAGTGAGCGCCTATTACTTTCTCTCTTTCCCAAAAATTTATTCATGTTTGAATTGTATAAGACACTCAGTTTCAACTATGTGCTGATCCATAAATTTAGGACTATGAAAAATGTCATTAGGACAACTCACAGATCATACTTTAATTACTATTTGAGCTAGGCCGGTTACAGAGAGCAATTTGATTAGGAAAAACGACTGGGATACTGCAAACATGACAATCTATTTAAAGCTTTGTAAATAAACTTGCATCTTTGAACTGGTAGTTAATATAAACCATTTTGCTCCTCGACAAGATAGCCTCTTGTTTAGCCTCAACAGAGCAGCTCTAGGCTGTACTTTATTTACGAGTTAACAGCCCAGTTTTATAAGCACTCTTGGGGTCTATAAAACTCACCCAAGAAGCAAGTTATTTGGTTTTATAACAATGTCAATGCCTCTAACAGATGTTTACATTCCTTTATTGAATCGTTTAATCTACGCCACTCCCTGATAACTACACATAAAGAAGCCAGTTACTATGGATAGAGTGCAATCTAGAGCAGGTTTACACAGATTCCATTACAGCCTTGTATTGGTTAGGACGGCACTTTGTACAGAAAGTTTTACCTGTAACCTGGGCGAATAGTAATCACACACGTGTGCATCTGTACTTATCAGACATTGTAACAAATAATACATAAAAAAATAATAATACATTATAAAAAATAAACAGCTTAACCCCCTTATGTCAGATGACTTTCCAGGTTTGATACAAATGTCTTCCTTCCACCTTGGTGGTGAATGAATTAAAACAGATCTTGGATGACACACGGAGGTGCTAAATACACATGAGCAAGTGAAATCCCTACTACATCATGATATAATCAGGTCCTTATCTTAGAATTACACAGACTATGTTAGGACAGTCACATTTTACCTGTCTCCTTGGACACTTTTTTTTTTTTTTTTTTAAATATACAGAATAAGAACAGCGCACATACACACACAAAAATAATTAAAGGGACACTATAGTCACCTGAACAACTTTAGCTTAATGAAGCAGTTTTGGTGTATAGAACATGCCCCTGCAGCCTCACTGCTCAATCCTCTGCCATTTAGGAGTTAAATCCCTTTGTTTATGAACCTAGTCACACCTCCCTGCATGTGACTTGCACAGCCTTCCATAAACACTTCCTGTAAAGAGAGCCCTATTTAGGCTTTCTTTATTGCAAGTTCTGTTTAATTAAGATTTTCTTATCCCCTGCTATGTTAATAGCTTGCTAGACCCTGCAAGAGCCTCCTGTATGTGATTAAAGTTCAATTTAGAGATTGAGATACAATTATTTAAGGTAAATTACATCTGTTTGAAAGTGAAACCAGTTTTTTATTCATGCAGGCTCTGTCAATCATAGCCAGGGGAGGTGTGGCTAGGGCTGCATAAACAGAAACAAAGTGATTTAACTCCTAAATGTCAGTGTATTGAGCAGTGAAATTGCAGGGGAATGATCTATACACTAAAACTGCTTAATTTAGCTAAAGTAATTTAGGTGACTATAGTGTTCCTTTAAATAAGTACTGTTTTACATTTTACAAGGCTACCTAAAATCACTTATCTTGGGGATTCGGTTATATTGTGTTAAGCTAACCCTTTATGGATTGAATCCCCACCTTCCACTATGCCCCTTTGCAGGTGAACACAGGAAAGCATACATTTGAGGAGAATCTCTAGAAGCAGTTTAAGCAGCAAGTATTGCAGTTAGCATTTTAATCTCTCATGTTAAAATTAGTGTAGAACCACTGATGTAACCAGAGTTACAGTCACTAGGGGCAGAAATCAATGTTGCACCCCACCATTAACTACCACCCCAGTTCCCAACCATTCTATTCCTCTTGTTGTAAGGCTAATTCAACACATGTAAAAACTCACTATAGTATTTGTTGATAAAGTGCATTGTAATGTTAATGAATAAACATTTCTTAATGCAAAGAAAAGAAAAAGCTGGTGACGAATTTAAGCATGTTTTGTGTGTTTGAATGTATGTATGTATTTGTGTGTAGGAGTTGGCATTTGAACGTGGTTGTATGTTTGTAAGTACTGTTGCTATTTACAAGCATTGGTGTTCTTGTGTTTAGTATTTGTGTTTGTATGTACATTGGCATTTGATTGCGGGGTGCACATACACTGCCCCTCACATACATACACTGACATATACAAACACATATACACACACTGAAAGACACACTCACTGACAGACACACTCAATTACAGACCCACACATACACACCAACAGAAACACTCTCAGTGACAGGTGATTTCACTGTTTTGAAACAAACTCACTCACCGACACAATGACACACACATACTCTTAAAGATTTGAAACACACACACACACATTCACACTGACTGACACACTGACACACTATCAATGACAGATACACAATCTCATTGATTTGAAACATAATCACTGACAGACATTCACCAACAAACACACACACTGATGGACATTCTCGCTGACAGACACAAACGCATAAACTGACAGGCACACTCACACATTTACACATTCTTGCACACAGTCACAAATTAATTTTATTTCTTGTGGTTTTATTTTGTTAGGTCCATCCACCCTCCCTAGCTTTTGGAGAGCTGGTGTGGGTCCTCTCCCGGGAATCCAAAGGCTCCTGCAATCTTCTAGTTCGTCAGAGCTCCCTCGCGCGCGGTTTAGTGATGCCAGAGTGACATCATATTCTGGCCCCCGGCATCACATCAGGGATGAAGGGAGCAGTGAGGAACTGGAAGAAAACCAGTGCTCCCTCAATGCTGCCGCCTGTCTCCGCTCTCCTCCCCAGCATATTTTGGCAGAGAAGGCATGTCCCATCCAGATGATAATATATAATCTCTCTAATCAGGTTTCATTTGATAGTGGTTACGAATGGAAATTATTACCCCTCACCCCCTTTTTTTTTTTTTTTACTATGTTTCAAGAATGAAGCCTGTTTTGTCTACAAACTCCACCATTCTTATGGAATCTATATGTACAAGACACTGATGGAGTCATTTTACAGTACTTGGCTCAACTTTGTGTTAGAGATATAACTAAAATAAACATGTCAGATTGGTGCGTGCCTTAAATTTTGCTTTATATTTCTATCTATAAAAACGTTGCAGGTGAATTAAAGGTCATAGTTCGAGTCTTTAAACATCGTAATAGTTAATCTGTAAATACAAAGTATTTTATATGCTGGTTTAGTTTAAACAGAAGTATCAGGTTTCCGTGCTACACACACACACACACACACACACACACACAACGTCAATGAAATAAAAAAACACACACAAAAAACTAAATAACTTGTGCGTGTATGATGAGTAAACATTAGCCTTGTTTACACAATAAAAAAAGCTGTGTCGCATCATCACAGGGTGGAGTTCAATACAACCACCTCAAAACACATACACCGAACACACTGTTATAAAAAGTATGTTTTTCAAGAGTCTGAAGTACAGAATTTAATGAGTGTTTGCAAGGGACTATTATAAAGCATGCTGGTGGGACCCATTAGCGATGACTGTGTGTTTGCAGAGTGGATGTATATACTTTACATTATGGCTAGTATAAAAAAATATTCTTGGAAACTCAAGCTACGTATGTAACAGACAGAATTTTTTTTTTTTAATCGCTAAACCCTTTCTCTATAACCAAAGGGCATGTGGTCTGCATCTTGGATGAGTGCAGGTCGAGGTCAGGGCAACGTACTTCTGCAGCCATATTACCCAACTAGTACTTTGAACCATTCAGGAGCACCAGATCAGAAGGAGAACTCACAGTGATCTTCACTCACAAGAGATGTAATCCACATGCTAATTTACCCCTTCCAGTTCCCCAGGAAGCTTACCTTTCCTGGACTACAAAATGTTTCAGGAGGTTTGGGGGGCAGGGGGGGAGAAACAAACTCCTCTAAAAACACTCCTAACATCCAGAGCCACTGGAAAACACACACACCAAAACAAAGCCTTACCCCACACCACTACTAGCAGCAACAACCTCCACATCAGAGCCTTAATCACACAAATGCAGAACTTTCAAAAACACAACTTGTAACTCGGGCATACTGGAGGAGATACATTAGGAAAATAATAGGCAGCATGCAGCAAGAGCCATAGAAAGACACCGGGGTAAAAAAAGTGACTTGGAGAATATGGAAATTAGGTTGGCAGAAGGAGAAACTAGAAAGCCAAAAAGTAAATTGAAAAATGGGAAAGTGTATTTTAGCCTGGGGCGGTAACAATCCTTGTCCCAGATTCCCCTTTGATTGTTTTCTAACTGAGGTAATGTTAATTCTATGTGATTGACCTTTTCCAGACATTCTTAATCAAGAAAAAAATACTTCTTTGAGACCGGTATACTTGTTTTTTTTTTCCAGTCATGAAAAAAGGTTGAGAAATAGTGCTCTACACACCTTTTCCAAATACATGTTCGTGTAATAGGTCATGTTTTTAATTGCAATAAAATAGCAGTTACCTTGGCTTCTTCATTGACATCCCAAGTAAACGACACTGCATTGTAAGCGATTTCTTCAATATTGCCAATTGTGTTGAAACTTTCTTTGTAGTCAGCTGTGAAAAGATTACAAAAAGGTTTATGTCAGGACCAAATTAATCTCATTTACTCTCTTTTTGTTTTATTGTGTACAGTGATGGTTTACTGTTTTTCTAAGTGATTTATTTTTTTTGTCCACCTTTAGAGGAAGTCATTATAATTTGCTTAATGCTTGTTGCCATGATGCTTGCTATTATCATGTTATCTGCTGGTTATTTTTACTATTTTTTGAATGCTACATTTTGGAACTACTAAAAAAATGTAAATAAAAAAAAGACTTCAGTCTTCCTTTAAAGGGGCACGCTCAGTATTTACTCAGAAGGTCGATGTTCAAGACCTTTACAGCAGGTGGTACTATCTGCTGTGGACTTGCTTTCAAAATTTAGGAGACTTTCTCTCCACAGTGTTGTTTTCTGATCAGCATCGATTTACTAAATATCAATTATGCATTTAAAACTCAATTTCATTTTGCGCAATTCTGATGCATTAAGTTGTTAAAATTCTTGTGTGTTTCCCTGTAATCACCAGCAACCAAATAATGACCAAATTGAGCCAAATTGATCCTTGTGATTTATAAAAATAAATAAACAAACAAACAAAACAAAAAAATTAGACAACCAGTTCTAGGTGCATATTCCCTGGTCTTGATCATGGGGAATGTAACAGAAAAATGAAGGCAGTCTGTGGGAAGCTAAATTACCCATATCATATGGAGATTCCACTGATTTCAACAGACAACTGAAACTGCAAGTTTAGATGAAAAATAATAATCATTTTTGCATAGGTGAATGGGTTAAAGGCATACTATAGTGGTAGGTATACAAATCCCTCCCTTGTGCTCCCCCATCCCCCAGTACATAAAGGATTAAAAAACAATTTACTCACCTAATTCCAGCACCAATGCCCCTACTCCTCATCAGACATCATACAACGGATTAGGCCCTCCCCTATGGGACTTAACTGATACTGGATGTCCTCATGCAGAGGGTGATGACGTCCAGCGTCAGTTAGGTAACCAAACGTCCGGTAAAATCCCAGAAGCGCCTCTAGCAGCTGTCTGGTAGACCTGCACTAGAGGCTATCTTCGTGCTGCAATGTAAACATTTTTCTCTAAAACTCATGATTTACATTGCAGGACAGAGTGTGACAGGGACACTGCACCCAGACCACTTCAATGTGTTAAAGTGGTCTGGGTGCCTGTAGTGTCCCTTTGAAGGAGCCAAATTGTGAGGATCACCAAAACATGCGGTCGGCTACTATTTGTCAGCCGTTCAGTGTTAAGTGTATAGACCTATCCTTGTTCAACAGTAATTTGTCAAGAAACACAAGCCAAAGACAAAGAGGTGGATTCCAGCTTCTGTAAGCGGACGTTATTTAATTTGCTAGTTATCATTATAATCTGTTAGTGATTGTGCCCCACTTGGTGAATATTAGAACTTCTATCAAACGCACGAACAAATACAGCTCTTCGTGTATTGCAACTCCATATATTGATCTGGAAATTTATTCTGACATTTCCGAAATCCTTGATTCACATCCAGTAATACATTTGAAAGTAATGTGGCTGAACTAGAATCACAGAGTTTCAGGTTCACAGACAGAAATACTACACTTCATGTGATGCAATGCAGTCCCATACCTTTACTTTGGTAGATAACTGCTTGCCATTAGGATTGCTGTATATACGTTTCTTTTTACAGTATCACGGTCTACACTGTGCTTTTTTCACAGCAACACAAACGGTCTGCTTCCTGGTTGATCAGACTGACCTTTCCATATAGACGCATTGTTCACTTTTGTCGGTGAGCTTGTTTACATCATTAATACTATGCTCAGTGAATTATCACTGGCTCATGCCCATCAAACAGTGAGTAAAATAACAGATATTGGTGTATTAGTGCCAGGGGATTTATGGAGGGGGGAGGTTGGCTCAGTAGGTGAGGACGTTAAACAGCCCTGGCACTGCCCAGTGTTCCTGCAGGTGAGCCCAGACATTTGAAGCACAAGTATTACGAGGAAGTATTTGTTTAATGCATATTTTCTGTAAATATTAGGAAATATCAAAGTGAACAAATGCACCTGTTGTAAATAAATGGGACGGAATCCAGATTAGTCGGTGTGGCACCAAAATAAAATTTATATTCTAAGGCTTATATTAAACATCGAAAGAAGCCCTTCTTGTACAAGACAAGACCCCCTATTTATTACCAAGTATGCATCGATCCAGTGAATCATTTCATTTATAAACAGGAAAAGCTCAGTAGTTTCTTTAAACAGATTTCCAAAACCAATGTTGGGAGAGCATGTACCTTCATGTCAAATTCCTGATTGATTTTTGTTTGATTGCAAGGTTTGAAATTTCCACTCCGAAACTAGCCATTTGCAAGTGACTACCCACAGATATGTAGAATCATCCTTGAATTAGCCTGAGAATCTGCTCTGGATGCCCTAACCAACAGAGCTATGTGAATAGCTGTAAATGCATTACATTACATTGGCCCATGTCTGAATTACTGATAATTTGGCTACAGAAGATGAAGGGAAAAAAATATATACTTATACACTTAATTTTAAATTTAAGAACAAAATAGCTAGACAAATGCAGTCAGCTATGCTTTTAGTTCATATTCTTTGGACTTGCTTTTAAAATTCACTTTGAATTGATTTTGAATTCCCGACAATTCACACATTTGTAAATAACCTTATTTTTCTCCTAAAATGTTCTGGATTATCCCAGTCCTTTGCCTACACCTCCAGCCACCCCACCCCCCTAAAATTAAAGCATCCCTCTTTGGCCATATGAAAGGTATATCAATTTGTGTGTGCTGCTCAAGAATACATACAGAGAACAACACTCACAACCATACTCTAAGTCAGCGTTTACCAATTGGTGTTCCAAAGGGTTCAAACAAAACTGGGGTTCCGCTGCAATTTGCCCATCGGGTAAAGCACTTAGTGCCAACCAATGGGTACTTTTGAACCTGTATGGATGCTGGGAGGAGATAACAGATGGTCACTTCCACCCAGACATAAAGAGGGCCGGCTGGATGGAGTGAGGCAGCAGCGGGGAGTGAGCTACAAAGACTTCACACACCAAACAAGACACCCTCCTGCAGAAAAAAAAGTAAGCTAAGTGGAGAGTGGCCGCAACTATAAATATTATGATCTGTGTGTGTGTGTGCGCATGTATGTATCACTGTGTGTCAGTGTGTGTATATGTGTGTCAGTCTGTGTATCTGTGTGTCAGTCTGTGTATCTGTGTGTCAGTCTGTGTATCTTCCAGTGTGTGTACCTGTATGTCACTCTGTGTATCTGTATTTGTATGTGGTAATTAAAAGGTTTGTGCTAAAGCGCAAACCTTTATCAGGGGTTCCACAATTACACTATGTCAAAGAGTTCCACTGGAAAAGTTTATTGTAAACCCCTGCTCGAAGTCATTGGCAAAAAAAAAGAGATGTGAAAACCTTGTAAAATAGCACATAAAAGGTGTGGCTTTATATTTTTGCTTTTCCTGCTATTGTCCTGGCCTTTGACACACATTACACGTTTGTGAGAACTCATTAAAGTAGCCTGCTTTTATAAGCAAATGTGCTTTGTTTGCTGAGCACGTCATTTAGCAACAGAGGTTTGTAAACACATCCAGGAGACAGACATTTTGAAATCTCTCATGTAAGTTTCACCTATTGAAAGTTATTTAAAGGTCGTTCAATCGAATTTAACTATTCAGGTTCCAGGCATTGCACAAGACTGGCATTCATGCGTTCACTAAACTATTCCCCAACAAGATTTTTTTACCTTTTCTTTCTTTTACTTCCTTTTTATGACACACAGACTAGGGAAATCACAGAACTGATAATGTTTTGTTCAGCAAAAACACAGTATCAGGAATTACTCAATATTCATCTCCCTCAACTCAGAGTTCAGCCAACTTCCTTATTGACAATGGACATTTCTTTCCTCTTAATAATGTGTCCCTGTTAGAGTGACAGGCAAAGTAGAGACTTCCTTATGTACTGGGCACAATAATAAAATGACGTTAGTTAGATTATGTTATGGGAGCAATACTTTTTTTTTTCTCCCCTTTCTTTTTTGATCATTATATGTTATATCATTTTTAATTTCTGAAGTTGTCATTGGATACACCCCTTTAACTACAATATATCTTTGTCCTACATTTGTGTTGGAGTTTTTAAGATTACCCTGACCTTATAAAATTAACCTTTCCACCTATCCATAGTTTTATCATTTTTAGTATATGCCCTTTTTTTTGTTTATAATTCAGCTCACATTTTATCTACTCAATAGCCACACACACAATATGTCCCTCAAACTCGCATCACAGCTGCAACTACACAAGGCCAAGAAAGCAAGGTTGGAGGTAATTATGAAGCCAATTAATATTCTTTAAAAGGACATTGACATAGTATTTTTTCCAGTAGAGCTCATCATGACACAGACAGGAGGAGAATACAAGAAGCAGAAGGTCAGTTTAATTGCTTTACCCACCTTGCTGCAGGGAGGAAAACTGGATATAACACAGTTATGTTATGATCAGTACACAGATTATAGCAAATCTTATAGACATTCCTCCACATGTACCTAATGTTCCATTGTTTTATTGAAGATAATCAGGGATTTCGTACTTTAGAAAAGAATTATTTGTTGCCCAGGTTTCACTGGCGATACTATACAACAAATTAATCCGGTTTCTTCCCAATAGGGCTTTTTTATTATTTTGCTTTTTTGGGAGGGGGATGGGGTCCTTTATTGTGTTTCGTTTTTCTATTCCGTGGTTTTTATTTATTTATTTTTTCAAAATTCTCATGATTTACGTTACTCTCTCCGTCTAGTGATCCTAAATTACATTATTAACAGATAACACCCACCCACACTGAGGAGTTTGATTGTTCTTCCTTTATTTTATAATTTACATTGTATAATTCTTTTTTAGTTTTCAATAAAATGAAATGATGCAGTGATGGTATAATCATGACTGGGATACAATAATAATTTACCTTAGTCATGTGAATAGAGAGAGAAGCGGAGATGCAGGAGTCTGGGCTAGAGGAGTCTAAGAAACTGGTTCTCTGGTAGCATCTAGAGTTTATTTAGAATAGATTAGATTAGCATGTTTATCCCTGACTGGGTTCTCTATGTTACATGTTTTAGATTGTGCTTGTATCAGAAAAGGATTAAATTCTCTACAAAGTTACCAGGTATGAGGCCATCTATTCAGTCTTCATATCTGGATGGTTTATAGGACCAATCAAATCATGTTTCCAGAAACTCTGACCAACTCCCGGGTCGTAGGCAGCTGCCCAAGGTCAGCTTATAGTAAATCCTACTCTGTTACCAAAAACTAATACAACACACTTACCAATGTCCAGAACCCGTTGTTTTGCCGTGTGCTGTCGAGAATGCCAGTACTTCCAATATTTTAACTGTTCATCACGGTTTTTATCTTCACTAAACACAACCATTATCACACTCTGTACATAGACAGTAGAGAAAGAAAAAGTTGGAAAATTATCTGAAAATAAATATTAAACAAACATTTGTATATTTATGGAATATATATTGTAAAAATAACTATCCAGTTTCATTGAGATCACAGAGGTAGAACTGAAAACCCTTTGCTGCACATTTATCTTCCCACCAAGTTACCTCCACAATAAAGAGATTACTAAACGGAATGTTAGTAAATAGAACGGAATCAACGTGTGTCACTGTCCAGGCACCTTCAAACATTTCAGCAATATGTTAACAAAACTAAATTAGACACTGGAAAAAGTTTTGTTTTGTTTTTTTAAAAAGAGAGAAATTAACTTTCCAAGACAGAAATATGTATGTATGCTGGAATATTGCATATGCAATAGTGCGGTTTTATTGAACAAAAACACAACAAACTGCAAAGCTATACTCTATCGGATTTGCTTATTCGTTACGTGTATAGTTGACAAATGGCATGTATTCTAGTTTTTGTTTGTTTATTTCAAAATTATCCTGAAAAAATAAAACAGAAGGATTTGTGGTGTCATTACACCACCCATCCCATCATTACACCGATTCGTGTACAAACTTGCCAATAACTTGGCATCAAATGGTTTCACAATTAATTTATTTTCCAGTTGACAACCACTCCCTAGCAAGAGGAATGCATGAAAGTCTATCAAACAGAACCTTAGGCTTAATGTTTCTCTTTTGGCTCTAAATACATTCGACCTGTGCTCATATATCTACCGATGCTTATGAAATCACCTGAGTTCATGTGCTTATTTACTGAAGACCTGCTCTGAGATTACCAAGGATCATTACTGGGATGCTGTGATCCAAGTAGCGCCAAGTCTGTTGGCACAAGAGAAGCAGCCGATTACGTACCCTAACTTTGCTGATTGGATGCCTGAAACACTTGTTGGCCCCGGTCTCACTCAGAGTGACGGCGTAAAACTGGCCTTTGTTTAAATAAGTCATTGGCCCCTCTCCTTGTTTTTGGCGCAAGGATTTTGTTGCTTCCAGAGTATACTGAAATGTACTATAGTAGAAAGAAAAGGATACAGAATTAGTATTCAACCTGAGAACTCTACAAGCATTCTAGTACATTATTTAACCTTTCACAATTGGCCTACAAAGAAATAGCACATTAATATTTAGTCTTGTGTCAATAAAAGGCGGTGATGTACAATGCAGTAAGATTCTTCCGTTATCAAAACCGTGTTTAAAAGGTACACGGTAGAGATAGAAGAGATAGACAGGGTCTTGGTGCGATGAACAAGACATGTATAATTTTTATTTAGCCCAAGCAAAACAGATCTGCAACAAAAAAAACAAAAAAAACAAAGAAAAACATGAGAGAGAGTGAGAGCATACATAAGCAATTTGGAATATACTCAAGCGCGTGTGCACACACACACACACACACACACACACACACACACACACACACACACACACACAGCATATATATTTTATAAATTGTATAAACTCACAAAAACAAATAATCTGTATTTTCAACTTAATAAATCAATTATAAGAAAATAAACATTTGCCTTGGCCTTTTTTTGTGTGTGCATATTTTGCCAGGAATCACATTATACTCTTGTGCCGCATATGTCAGAGGAACAAACAGCTATCTAAACCAGTGCTATGCCTCCCCATTAATTAACTGGAAGAATTAGGGAGCGTGCACATATTTCTGAAATCACTTGCACTCGTATTCACTAAGCAATCGTGGTGGAAATGGCAGTGGGGGTAGCATCATACTGCTATCACAGGGAACGCATCCAGTAAACAAAAAAATGAATGAAATATACACTTACACAAGCAAATGGTCTGGAAAAGTGAAAATTTTAAATTTATAGAAAATATAATTATTGTGTGACGTGATATTACATCAGTAAGATTTTTTTGAAAGATTGTTTTCAAATTAATTCTTTTATTTTAGATATCCATGTTCTTTTAACTATAGGGTCAGGAACACAAACATGTATAGCGTTAAAAATACCATTTAGCCTCCCTGGTATGCCCTTGCCCCACTGAATATAGCAAAATGGTGCTGGCTCTGCCCCTGAGCTGCCTCCTTGGCTGAAAATAATTAGAAGTGGTAACCTGAGTCAATCACAATGCTTTCCCATAGGAAAGCATTGGATTGGCTGAGCTCGTCAAGGAGGCAGATCAGGGGCAGAGCCAGCACAAGCCAAACAGCATAGAGATGCATTGAATCAATGAAGAAAGTTCAGTGTCTGCATGCAGAGGGCGGAGACACTGAATGGCAATGCTGCACAGTGTGCAGCACTGCCCCAGGAAGCATCTCTAGTAGCCATCTGAGGAGTGGCCAGTGGAGGGATCTCTAGGCTGTAATATAAACACTGTATTTTCTCTGAAAAAGAGACCTTATCAAAATGTCTGCAGGCACAAACTATACTCAGCGGAACAAATACAATAAGCTGTAGTTGTTCTGGTGACTATAGTGTCCCTTTAAGTTGTATAGACCATGTGGCGAAAGTATCCTCGCCACTTGTACTTGGAGGTGCCCGCTTGCCAGCCTCCTGCCCACAAACTATGGGCCCTGCAGAGAAACCTGTAAAAGACTACCAAATTAGACCGACTGTTAGCACTGATTTCCCTGGAATTGTTTTGGGCATAGGACCATGTGCATGGTCAGTCAAAACTATAACTTCCAGGAAATTCCTGAACCCCCTGCACCGATCTAGGTGATTTTTGAATATGTTGTTAACCCAGATCAGGGCTATCAGGTTATGCAACTTTTATGGGGTTTTATGTGTTTTTAAGGTACTTTTTGGGGTTTCATAAATTGTATGTTTTTCTGTGCTTGGGGATAATGGAGTTAGATTAGTACAGTTCCTGATTCAATTATCTCCCAAGCACAGAGGAGGTATTCTATTGTTTGTGTATGGAAGTGTCTCACTGTATGACCGTTTTTATTGGTTTCTTCACTTTGTGTCCATGTGCCCAACAAGGTCCACCTGGGTGTCACCCTCAGGACCGCCACCAGAAATTTTGGGGCCCTTGACACAGCACAAGGTCTGAGCCTCCCTGCCCCTCCCACCCGGCCCGCCCACAAGTCCGCTGCAAATGATGCAGGACTGAATGTGGTGTGTATAGTGGAAGTGAATTAGAATGTGTGTAATGGATGTAGTGTTTGTGTGTATTAGATACTGTTTGTGCAGTGAATGCAGAGTGTGTGTTTGTGTAGCGGATGCAGTGTGTATAGTGAACGCAGAGTGTGTTTGTGTAGTGGATGTAGTGTTTGTGTGTACTAGATGCAATGTGTTTAGTGGATGCAGTGTCTGTAGTGAATGTAGTGTGTGTATTAGACGCAGTGTCTCTGTATAGTGAATGCAGAGTGTTTGAATGTGTGGTGGATGTAGTGGGTGTACTGTGAATACAGGATGTCTGTGTAGTGGATGCTGTGTGTATTGTTAATGCAGAGTGTGTGTGTCAGTGTAGTGGATGCAGAGTGTGTGTCAATGTAATTAATGCAGAGTGTGTGTCAGTGTAGTGTATGCAGAGTGTGTGTGTGTGTTAGTGTAGTGAATGCAGAGTGTGTGTTAGTGTAGTGAATGCAGTGTGTGTTAGTGTAGTGAATGCAGTGTGTGTTAGTGAAGTGAATGCAGTGTGTGTGTTAGCGAAGTGTATGCAGTGTGTGTGTGTTAGTGGGGTGTATGCAGTGTGTGTGTTGGTGAGAGTGTGTGGTGTGTGTGTGTGTGTAGTGTAGTGAATGCAGGTGTGTGTTAGTGTAGTGAATGCAGTGTGTGTTAGTGTAGTGAATGCAGTGTGTGTTAGTGAAGTGAATGCAGTGTGTGTGTTAGCTTGAAGTGTATGCAGTGTGTGTGTTAGTGAAGTGTATGCAGTGTGTGTGTTAGTGAAGTGTATGCAGTGTGTGTGTGTGTGTTAGTGTAGTGAATGCAGAGTGTGTGTTAGTGTAGTGAATGCAGTGTGTGTTAGTGTAGTGAATGCAGTGTGTGTTAGTGAAGTGAATGCAGTGTGTGTGTTAGCGAAGTGTATGCAGTGTGTGTGTTAGTGAAGTGTATGCAGTGTGTGTGTTAGTGTAGTGAATGCAGTGTGTGTTAGTGAAGTGAATGCAGTGTGTATGTTAGTGAAGTGAATGCAGAGTGTGTGTTAGTGAAGTGTATGCAGTGTGTGTGTTAGTGTAGTGAATGCAGTGTGTATGTTAGTGAAGTGAATGCAGTGTGTATGTTAGTGAAGTGAATGCAGAGTGTGTGTTAGTGTAGTGAATGCAGTGTGTGTGTTAGTGTAGTGAATGCAGTGTGTTTGTTAGTGTAGTGATTGCAGTGTGTGTGTTAGTGTAGTGTATGCAGTGTGTGTGTTAGTGTAGTGTATGCAGTGTGTGTGTTAGTGTAGTGTATGCAGTGTGTGTGTTAGTGTAGTGTATGCATACACTGTAAATGGAGCATTCCAAAAATGTTATTCCCCCCTTCCTGTTTCTTACCTGGTTCAGGGAGGGGGGAGATACCATGATCCCTGGTGGTCCGGTGGCATTATGGGGCCCCCCGGCTCCCTATACTTGCCGAGGTGGCCCAGCGGACTGCAAGTGTACTTACAAGCTCTTCCCTCTCTGTAACTCCCGCGAGCACGGCGTGTGTGCCGCGCGGAGCGTTGCCATGGTAACCCATGGCAACGCTCTGACGGCCGCGGGTCTCGCGGGAGTTACAGAGAGGGAAGAGTTTGTAAGTACACTTGCAGTCCGCTGGGCCCCCTCTGCAAGTATAGGGAGCATGGGGCCCGCAGCTGCACATATATATAGCGATCATCGCTATATATATGTGCAGAGAGTAATTGTGGGGCCCTGGACTGCCAAAGCAGTCCAGGCCCCCCAGGACCGCCGGGCCCATGACAACCGTCATGGTTATCACCCCCTGATGGTGGCCTTGGTCACCCTTGTTGGGAAACTTGCATAAAAGGCCAGTGTGCCTCCATTAAAATTCTGTTCCTGCTTACCCTCAACATAGAGCCTCATCTCACGTGTGAGGGAAACAGCTGTATCTATCCTGGGGATTGCTATATCACTATACTGCACAGGAATTATAATCAATAGCTCTTATAAGAGCTGTTCCTGCTACGCTCTCTGGGAGTAGGAGAGGTCTGCCCACTGGAAGCTGGATCCTGGTCTTGTGTCCAGGGTGGGTGAAGAATGGCGAGACCCCAGAGCAGCTGCATCGCTGGAAGTGGGGTCTGCAGTGCTTATGGTATATGATGGAGTGCTGGAATTTCTCGGTGAGCACTGGGAGCATTGATTGGCAGAGGCACTCGGTCAGAGTGCCAGGCGGTCTGTCACAGACCATATTTAGTGCTTTAACTTGCCTGGTCAGTGAATTACATTCATTTTTTTATTCATATTCCAAGAAAGTTTACATATTTTTAAAAATGCTCCATATCTGCATATCTTAATTATAAATTGTGCAGAAACTTGTTACCTAACCATAGTAATTATTTTTCTATGATATATTGTGGGTCACATTCGAAATTTGGCTTTAACTTTAAATGAACCATTTTAATAGAAATATACATGCCTAGTCTGTGGAAATTCCCCGCACAAAAAAACAACAGCGCCTTTCACAATTTACCTTGATGTTTGATCATAGATAAATTCTTCAGCTCCTACTGATGAGCTACGGTATTTCTAAAAAAACAAACAAAAAAATAAATGTCACATCCAGAGAGAACTGGCAAGCAATTTTTATTTCAATATATAAATACAGTACTTAGATAGTTATTCTATATTTTAAAGTCACTTCCTAAATTGACATTTGCTTAATTCATTTAATTGTACCCAATAAACAGCAATAATTATTATTATTTTATTATTTATATAGCATCAACAAATTCCGTAACGCTGTACAATGGGTGGACTAACAGACACATAATTGAGATCAGACCACTGACGTACAGGAACAGAGAGGGTTGAGGACCTGCTCGATGAGCTTACATGCTAGAGGGAGTGGGATATTGTGGCACAAAGGGTTAAAGTAGGGGAATTACATAGTTTGTTACAGAAGGGTTCATTGAGTGCTTGGTAGGTCATTTGTTGACAGTTGCAGGAACGGAGTCATGGGGTGGGGGATGATAGCAATAGTAAGTAGGGGCAATATATGGAAGATAAGACTTAAAGCACACATGTTAACCTTTTATTTCCCAGGAAATGCTAAGTTTTCTTTTAAATGTATTTTAAAGATACAGCAAATGGCAAATGAAGAGGATAAATAGAAATATTGTTTATTTTTCCTGTTTCCTTTAAGCTTTCTCTATGTCGACGAGAGTTCATAACAATGATTGACTAAGTTGAGAAGGGGGCACCCAGTTGTAGAATAAAGAGGTGTAAATCAAATTTACAAAAAATGTAAAAAATAAGATAAGATGGAGGCACCCAGTTGCAGGATCTAGAGGTGTAAATCCATTTTTTTTTTTATAGAAAACTGTTTTCTTCTAAAGAAAGAAAAAAAAAATAAATATATATATATATATATATATAACAAAAACATATTTTGTTATATGTGAACATATAATAAATTTAGTTGGATGGAGTGAGATCAGATGTTGATGTGAAAGTTAATCTAGATTAAGACATTTAAACACATGTTCTAGAAGTAGATCTTACATCAGTGACTCCTTCTTTGAAGCTCTCATTATATGTACTGTCGGGAGTGCTGCGCTGGTCGTCCTTGAGGTAGTCCGTATGGCTATTAATATTATGTACTCCGTAGTGAGTTTGCTCAAATATCACAACCCTTGGTTCCTCACTGTCAGGTCTGTATGGCACAGCCGGGGGAATAAACACTGGTGTAAATTCTTCTGCTTTGACCACTGTGATCCCTGGTGCGGTGGTCGCCGGTGGACTTGCAGTTATGTTCCCACTGTATTCTCTCTTGGAAGACTCTAGTGGCTCAGTATTTAGGGAGCGATTGATAAGTGCGGTTTTTAAAACTTGTACCCGATTTTCTCCATTACTCTGGTTATTCGATGTTTCACTGGTTGGTAGACAATTTCTGCAAAATAAATCATGGACAAGGACACTCATGTTAACGAGCGTATAAGAAAAAGACTTTTTTTTTTTTTTTTAAATGGTGATTTTTTAATTTAAAATTCCAATAACACTCAATGTCACTGTGCTTAATACACATATTTTCTTTTTCTCCAGAAACTGGAAGATGAGAGAGGCAGCACATTTCAACTTAGAGCACTCCTTTAATGTAAAAAAAAATTAATGTAGAAGACAGCCTACCTAATAATATCTGATGCTTTTTATCTCTAAAAAAGATAAATGAATAGATGAAAAATAATAATAATCATCATACATATATACAGAAATATACCAAGGTTTCTCGCCCTTGCTGACATATCAAATATACACTGGGGAGTCAGACTCCGGATTAAAATTTCACTGAATTTCTTCTGCTTTATTACATATCAAAGCAAGTATACATTAAACCAACACTATAGGGTCAGGAAAACAAACATATTCTTTACCCTCTAGTGTTAAAACACCACCTAGCCTCACTCCCCCCTCCCCCACCTAAATATAGTAAAATCTTACCTTTATTCCAGTCTGATGCAGCTGGCTCTGCCCCTGATCTGCCTTCTTGGCTGACATAATCAGAAGTGTTGATCTGAGCTACTCACAATGCTTTCACATAGAAAAGCATTGGATTGGCTGAGAATGTCACTGAGGCAGATCAGGGGCAGGGCCCTCTTTCCGCATGGGCAAACTGGGCACTTCCCGGGCGCCCCACAAGCATAGCGGGCCCACAGCATTGCCCATGTGCCCAGGCCGAAAGGGGAGATCTTTTGATCACCACTGCTGGCCCACGGAGAGCCGGCCCTGCTTACTTGATTTAGGCCTTCTTGGGCTGGTGAGGAAACCAAAGATCTCCCTCACCAGCCCAAAGGCCCTACGTTAGTGAGAGGGAGGAGGGCATGCAGGTCTGAGCATTGCCGTGGCATGAAGATAGCCTGCAGCCGTAGGATCTACTACTCACTACCGAACCCACGACTGTCACCCATTCCTTCACCAAAAGGTAAGAAGAAGGGTGGGGGGACATCAAGGTTTTTTAAAATTAATTTTAAATAAAAATAACACAATTCCCTTATCCCTTTGCACCCCCTCCACACACACTGCACCCTTCACACACACACACTGCACCCCTCACCACTGTCTATGTGTGTGCTGAGCAATCAGCATATCCTCATAGTGATGCATTGAATCAATGCATCTCTATCAGGTAAGTACAGTGTCTCCAAGCAGAGGATGGAGACACTGAATGATGGAGACACTGTGCAGCACTCCCCCTGGAAGCACCTCTAATAGCCATCTGAGGAGGGGCCAGTGGAGGTATCCCTAGGCTGTAATGTAAATACTGCCTTTTCTCTGAAAAAAAACAACCAGTGTTTACAGCAAAAAGCCTGAAGGGAATGATTTTACTCACAAAAACAAATACAAAAAGCTGTAGTTGTTTTGGTGACTATAGTGTCCCTTTAAACAATGTTTCCGTTTATACTTATATAGTTACCAGATATACCATGTTTTCAGGAACACATATCACGTATACATATTGATGGACAGCACATGAAAAGGGTTACTCTGTAGTATGTAGCATTCAGAAAAAGGTGATTAGGCAAATTAAGAAATATACTCACTGCAGGGCAGCGCTTTTCATGCATTTTCATAAATTTGATAAAATGATGTGTCCCTGAAAACATGGTGGATCTGATAGACAGACAGAAAAAGAGCATGAGAGGAAAGAGCCAAGACACACTTCATGTCTAGTTATTTAGTTTAATCCATGTATGAACTAGTTCCTAATTATTTTACTAGTCTGCTTATCATCAGTGTAGTAAGATATAAAGGAAGACAGTGTCACTAAGATCTGCAGCGAGGAAAATAAGATGCATTAAAAAAAAAAAAAAAAATAGAACAGAACATGAAAAATGTGTTCTTTCAATATAAGGTTAGACTTGCGCTTCAGAGTTCAGGGTAAAGTCCAATAACAATTACAAGCAGCATTAACGCAATACATGCACACAGTCCTTTAAATCTAACCCCAGCACTGAGCAGAGAGACACAGAGAGACACAGAGAAACATATACTACAATGCACCAAACTCCAAATCGTGACATTATGTACAGAGTAAGTTTGGAATAATAAAAGGAAAACCTGCAGGATGGAAGAGAGGGACAGAAAAGATGGGTTTATGTAGCAAAACTATTTAGCTTTTTATTTTAAATTTTTTTGCTGCTGTTCTCAATCTTATTATTTTATAATAAATAGGACTAAGCATTATTAATTTAAACTCCAAAGGTCCAGGTTTTGTCAGTATCACCAAATGGAATAGAATTTGGAGACCTATAAATTCAGGACTGGTGCACCTTACGGGCTGGTCTAGTCTTCCCATTGCACCGACCGAGACCACCTACAAACATGTATTAAAGGGTTACTATAACCCTATTGAGAGGGGGAACCTTTCTGGCATATGGGACTACTGGGCACTATGGGGAAGGTCCCCCCTCTCAAAGTACAGAAAAAAAGAAAAAAGAAAAAAAAAAAGTTTTTACACACAACAAATCCAGCCCAGGGCAAAGCTCTATGCCCTCTTCAGCGTCACTTCTTCTAAGAAAGTACGGGAGGAGGGAGTCTATCTATACGTCTGTTGTCAACTTGCAGTGCGACAATAGACTTAATTTATGCACAGAACTGACGTTAGGCAGGAGTGCTGGGTGTGCAACTTGACCCTGGCAATAACTGCCAATAATTCAGTATTCAGTATGTGTAGAGCTTAAAGCTGAAACTCTGCCCATACTGACTCCTACCATCAGGACCACTTCAAAGCACTAAAGTGGTTATGGTGGTTGGAGTAACCCTTCACATAACCTAGATATACATTATTAAGAATGCCTGGATGCATTACCTTTTATCTTGTTCTTCATGGGCATCGTTTATTTTATTTAAAGACAATAACCTTTTCTCCCTGGGAACCTGAAAACAACCAAAAGAAAGAACAATTTCATTTTTTTCCCCCCCTTTTGTTTTTTACTACATGCTATATTTGTTTTTCTTAGAAAAAAATGGAATGCAAAAAAATAAAAAATAAAATACAGAAACAACGCCATAGGAAAAAATAAAAATAAAAATATTTGGATCACCATAACTGAAAAAGTTCAAGATTTTTGTAGATGATCCCAGATCTTAAAGGAATACTATAGGGTCAGGAGCACAATCATTAAGCTGTAGTTGTTCTGGTGTCTATAGTGTCCTTTAAAGCATATGTAAATGACAATAGAAAAAGTAAAATAATCATTAAAAAAAAAATCTATAAATGAAAGTTAAGTTCTCTTGATACAGTCTTTCCCTCAATATATTTTTTATGGTTTCTTTAAATGTAGTCACAATAATTAGAATGTGTGAGGCAGAAAAACAAATGAGAATTTAAATATTTTTAAGTACTTTAAAAGAAAAAACACATCATGCGTCAGTACATCCTAGTTTTATGCATATTACAGATAATTAATTTAAAATCACCAGAAATATATAATGATGAATATTCTGGATAAATTAGACTTTTTACTTTTGTATTATTATTATACTGCACAACTGTAAACTATTATTTTTTAAATTAAGGACCTTGTCACATTTTTTCTGCAAACATATATTTTATTTATAAGCTTTGCTTACTTACTGTTCAGCGCTGCAGTATAGGTTGCCACATATAGAAAGAAAATACTAACAAATTAAAGGATGGCGGGAGAGAAAAAACAAATTAAACCTTTCTGAACATCATGAAACACACCAAATGGTCGTCATACTGAGCCAGTTATAATAGAGCTAAAATTAACCCCTTAAGGACACATGACATGTGTGACATGTCATGATTCCCTTTTATTCCAGAAGTTTGGTCCTTAAGGGGTTAAAATTGTGGTCAGTGAAAACTACAGCAATGTATGGGATAAAATATCTAGACTGTTTGAAGCAAAAATTGTCATATTGCATAATGTACGTGTGTGTATGTATTTGTATGTACACATTCATACATACACAATGTCAGCAAAAAAGGCCGCACTCCAGGGACTTCAACAAGTAGACAAAAAATAAAACATAGCTTTTATTTTATTACATCATTTAAAAAGTTGATATTTTTAAGGATGTAATGAAATACAAGCAGAGTAATGTTTTTCTGTGCAGGTTCTGTGACTGTATCTACATATAAATAAGTGTTTTTAATTATTATTATTTTTTGCTAATGTCTGTTAAGTGATATATATATATATATATATATAAATAAAACAGAATTAACATTAGAGAGGAGAACATTCAAACAAACACACATCAAAAGATATTAAAGGGACTTAATGAAGCAGTTCTGTGTATAATCACTTTTAATTCAGTTTATGCAGCCTTAGCCACAACCCCCCAGGCTGTGACTCTCACAGTCTGCATAAAAAAAAAAAAAAAAAAAGTTTCCTTTTTCAATCAGATGTTAACTTGCTTCAGAAGTTTTTATCTACTGCTCTATAAATTGAACTTTAATCACACTCAGGAAGATCCAGCAAGGTCTAGCACGCTATTAACAGAGCAGAAGATAAAACATTCTAAATTAAACAGACTGTGCAATAAAGGAAGTGTAAACATTAGATCTCACTTGACAGGTAGTGTTTAGGAAGGCTGTGCGTGACTAGGGCTGCAAAAATAAAGTGGTTTAATTCCTAAATTGAGCAGTGAGACTGCAGGGGCATGACCTATGCACCGAAATAGTTACATTAAGTTTTGGTGACTATAGCGTCCCTTTAAAAATGAAAAATGTATATATATATATATATATATATATATATATATAAAATGAATAATAGCAACAATATTAACAATCATAAAACAGGTTACCTTATAATAATCATATAAGAGCCCAAGGGCAGCAGCGCTATCTTCATCTCCATTTATGCTCATCATCGCCTTTGTCGCTGCTGTCAATGGATTCTCCAGATAGGACTTCCATGCTTCATCCTCACTAGTATAGGCCCTTCGTGTATTAAAGGCTGCTTCATTGGGAACCACGACCACAAGCCTTTTACTAGAAGCAAAAAGACATTCACCCATTTATTTATATATACAGTGCAGGATTCCACCTAACAATATTTAGGCATTCCTGTGATATGGTTATTACCTTTTTTTGTTGTGCATGAGATAACAACAGTGCTTGCACAGCCACAATAGCTTTCACAAGTGCGGTTTTCGGTGCTTATAACAGAAATATGACATGTAGACAACTTGCACATTTTTGTAGGTATAACATAACATGCTAGGTTTGCTTTTAATCGAGCTAGGTGTGTTTGAACTTATATATGTATAGTGATGCATTGTTAAAGGAGAAAGCTTTGTATGATTAAGGCACTGGTTGCACGTTTCAAAGATTACATATAGACCATTTTTGTTTTCACTGCTAGTGTTCGCTTAAATTGCCATTTTAGATAGGGTTAGCTATTCATACAATGTGTAAGCTTTTAAGGTAAACTTATGTACACTTAAGCAGTTAAAAACTCTGTGAGGGGTGAGATAACGACAGCACACAAACTGTAACTTTACGGTTAGTTAGTTTACATGAAGCAGTTCCTGCATTAAGGGGTATGTTAGTAACGTCCAGCTAGAACAATCTGTGTCTGGCTGACTCTGGTCTGCTACTTGTACTCATCCGATTCCAGCTGGGTGCCAGACGCCGTCCTCGTGGGCTCTCATCGCCTGAAGTGTCAGATGCTTTTGCGTGGTTGAGTGCCAGGCATCCCACGACTGTGCAGGTCGGTGTGGTGTTTCGTGCCCCTGGTTTTTGGTCTCGTTCTGTGGGGCCGGTCAGTCCCATGGATAGTGGTTGTGGTAAGTACTGGAGGTCTTCGGCGGTGGGCAAAGGTAGGGCTCTGATGTGTCAGGCTTTGCTTTTGCTTGTGCTGAGGCGAAACCTGGGGCCTGGGCAGCCTTCTCTGCGTGATCCTCTTTCCTGCCGGAGCTGCGGGTATGTTCTGTGTGCGTGGGAGGTGCCGTTTAGGTAAGAGACTGCTTGCCTGCTGTGGGGCATGTTGCAGTGCCCTGTTCTCCAGCTTCAACCAGAATGCTGCCATGATAGCCTCTAGTTTGGTCTGTAGCTTGGTCTCAGTGCTGAGATCTTAATTGCGAGGGAGGCACGAGGTGTCCGCCATTGGGGGTAAGTTGGAAAGTTAGGTGAGTCGCTTGTCTGCTGGCCTTCACCTCCCCCCTGTGGGGTGTAGTTCTCCCGTGTTGGACTGTGTTTACCCCCACGGTCCCGGGGGGGGGGGTAACGAGGCCTCTGCCTCTCCGTAGCGGTCGCTGGGTATCCTCGAAGCGGGAGAGCGGCCGCCTCTCCCGCCCGGTGCATACAAGGCCGCATGTCGTCTCGCGTGTGGTTATTTGTTTTTTACCGGGTCACCGACCCCTACAACCGGGCCCTGCAGTGTCAAGTGTCGGAGTGGGCTCCAGGTGGTCCTGGAATCAAACTTTGTGAGGCTGCTTGTTGCTTTTGTTAGCAAGATTGTGGAGGAGCTTCAGTGGAACACGTCTGTCCTCCATGACAGTTAGGCCCTGCCCCGGTTATTACCTTTTGTTAATCATCAAAGTTCTAGAACTTTTGGCTGAAGGAACGTGTGAAATGTAGCTGTAAAGTTTGAGGAGTTTTAAAACGAGCATGTTTTTGCTGGAATGTCTCAAATCATTCTTAAATACTAGACTGCTGTAATCTACTACATGTTATTAAACAAGAGAATGTTCAATAATGTAACAATATATGACTTATTTCTAACTTTTATATGCCAATTTCCCCTTTCCAGTTAGAGACAGACACAGACATTATATCCATGGCCTTTCTTGATTGGTGGTGACTTATTTCTTTCCCTAGCCTGGAGGCCAATTTAAAGCCAATCAGCCATTCTTTATTTCTTTGAATTGCAAGTTTACCTGAAAAAAATGGCTCCTACCACAATATAAAGGTAATCTAATAAGTCAATCCATTAGCGACCTAAGGTCAATAACCTGACCAGTCGAGGTCATTAGAGAGAGTCAGAATGGAACAGATTCACAACAGTGAGCTTTACTACCTTTTTTTAGTAGATTAGAGAATGATTGCCTATTCAGGTCACCCAATACCCTATGCCTGGCTGTGTATATGACCTGGCTGGGACCAATAGGTCAAGGTATCTAAAACACAAAAGTACACTTGAGGCAAAAAAAAAAAAAAGACAAAAAAAAACACCTACAATTTTTTGAAAAACAAGTTGTATAGCTAGACTCACACAGAGTGAAGTGGAGTCTTAATATAAGCGGTGACAGCCAAAATACACAAAATAAAACAGACACATACTAAGACAGACTTCATTTAGACAGAGAGACAGTTACTAAAACCGGTGACCCAAGATGGTCTCGGCATACAGATGCCGAGACGGTTTTGGCCAGAAAGGCACACTGACTAGGACAGACAGATGCCAAGGTAGTCAGACGTTAAGAGTCTCACATTAACTGGAATAGCCAGACACTAAGACATGCACTGATAGAAAACACCCCTTGTAGAAATAATGCAGGTACCTTTAATTGAATTTCAGTAATTGTTCAGGAAGAGCTGTTACTGCCAAAGACAACCTAACCCTTGAACAATGTCAGCACAGGTAAAATCTAAACATTCTAGACAAGCTGCTCTCAATGAACCTTTGTTTATCTAACATATTCTGTTGCCCTTTAACAGATCATCAAAAAACTGGATGGAGTTCCCCATATTGATTGGTGATAACCAGTTTCTACTTCATGATGGGTACTCCACCTTCCCAAGTTCCCTCCAAAGACTGCAATTAAGTTGCAAACTGTATTCAAACCAACACAGAATTCAGAGTACACTTAGAGAATATATGAATAAACAAAAAACTAATAGCAATAGTTTTGCTAAAGTTGACACCATTAGCACGGTGAATTATTTTGTATATGGCCGTAACTTTCCCTAAATGTGTTTTAACAGAATATATGAACTATTTTCAGGTAGGAAGGGCCTATATCGTCTACATTCCCACTACAAACAGTCCCTCTGTTTCCCATATGCCCATTGAACCAAAGGCAGTGACTCCTTGCACCCATTCAGCTTGCGTGTGAATATTAATATTTATACACTTGACATTTCCTATTTTTAAGCAAACATGGGGATGGTTTTATAAAATTTTAGGTTTTAGAAATTCTGATCTCAGAATTTCCAGCTCCTGACTAAAGATTCCACCGTTAAACATGGCTTTAAAGGACAACTGTAACTTAATTAAAAAATATATATATTAGCTTTAATGAAATTTGGTCTTTTTTTTTTTTTTTACTGATTTTGAAAATAAATAAATCACTTTTTATCTGTCTGAGCAGCCATGTTGGGTGACACGATCTGACCAACTGCTGCTCAAACTAACTTGCCTCCAGTTGCAGTTGAACATAAAGCAAACATAGCAGCAAGTTCGAAAACAAAAATCAATATACATCAATATATCATTAAAAAAAAAAAATTACATTTAAAAATTATATATATATATAATATATACACACACACATATATATATATATATATATATATATATACACACATATATATATATATATATATATATATATATATATATATATATATATATAAATATATATATATATATATATAAATTAAGTTTAAATTTAATAAACTTTAAAAAAAAAAAAAAACAAGACATGAAAATGTGATGACATCTGTCCTTTTAATAGAGCCCAAACTGTTAAATGGTAGACCTTCATTCACTTGCTGATGCAATGCTGATGAGAATGCAAGTTTGGTAGGTGATCGGTTTTTGGTATCGATGGTCTGTAATTATGATGGACCAATGGTCCATTAAGAGTACTTCCTCATGTTCTTTAGAGTGTTGTATTGGGTATATAAAATAATTTATTTTGCATTTGCACATCAATAAGAATTGCACTTAGTCTGTCAGAGTCAAAGACCAATCGATGAAAATCCTAACTAAGGTATGTAATCAGACCAAAAGAAAGTGGTGTTTAACAAGTTTTGAGAATACAAAAAAAAAAAGCCTTTTTCATTTGTTAAAATCTTGCAGGTAATATGTTACTGTTAAATGAAGAATATTAACATAATTTTGAAAATGTATGGGATTTTTTTATTGAATAGATTCTTATTTCTATTATAACGCTCATCACTACTTGAAAAGGTCTATTAAAAAAAGGTCTTCACAGTGGACATTCTTCTTTAAAAAAAAAAAAAAGTGTATTTCATTGCAATAATATCCAACATTTTAACCCACAATGCAACTTTATAATGCACGAGAAAGATAGGATATGGGACAATTAAGATAATGTGACAATAAGGTGATATGATAGCTCGTGAAAAGAAATATGGAGAGATTATCTGCTTTGTGTTTTATCAGCTGTAATAAAAAAAAACCCCAAAAAAAACCCACGAGTTTGAAAAATAGATCTGGCAACATGCCCACTCCTGTTTGGGTACACGTGCAGAGAAGAGCAAGATTGTGATAAATTACAGAGAGTTTAGGTTTAAATTATTATTATTTTTTTTAATATATATCTTTACAGCTCAGTATAGGCTGCCGCAGAGAAGAAACAGCCATTACGTACAATGCAAAAATATATTTTAAGAAGCTGAACATGAGTGCAGTAACTGGAGGTGGAGCACACACAGAGGGCAGGTAAGAGGCAGAGGTTAGCAGGTGGAGCTCGTCAACTGGGGGCATGGTATTGGAAAGAGGGGAGAGGGGCAGAGAGATGAAGGAAGAGGGCGGCAGTGTTACAATATTGTGAGGCTGGAAGGAAGTAGAATTTGGACACTGTGGTTAGAACTTCTTGGGCAGGGGTGGAGTTACAATTGTGACTATAGGCAGTGTTCCAGATACCTGCCTGTAAGAAGAGCTGCAGTGGCATAGGCAGAGGGGACAATACCTTCCTGGGAGTAGAGAGCTGCAAGGCAATAGGCAGAGGTGATGATCCCTGCATGGATGAATGGCTGCAGCAGAATAGGCACAGTGGATGATATCTGCCTAAAAAGGAGAGCCCCTGAGAGACCCCAGTCAAGCTTTGCCAACTGGGCTGGATGCGTTCCAGGGTCCCTGCAAGCGGCTAGGAAGCGGATTGGGCTGAGGTACTCGGTCGGAGTACAGGAGCTCCGTCACATTTGGTGGCAGAAGTGGGATGGCTTCCTAGCGAATGAGAAAACATCCCTGGGATCCTTGCATGCTTTCAGGAAGCAAGTGCCCGCAGAGTTGGACGAAATGGACAATCTCCCTCCCCAGCAGCAGTGTGAGTTATAGGGAGAGGAAACGGTCGGTCTCTCTTCCCAGCGGCAGTGTTTGTTACAGGGAGAGGGGACAGCCGGTCTCTCTGCCCAGAGGCTGGCAGAGTTAATGGGAGTGGAGACAGCCTCCCCAGCAGCAGCAGTCAGAATTACCAGGAGCAGAGTATACAGATCCTCCTCCACAGTCGCAGGGTGAGTTACAGGGAGTGGGGACAGCAGGTCTCTTTCTCCAGCTGCAGCTTGGGTTGCCAGGAGTTAAGATTGTCAGACTCCCTCTCCAACGAGACAATGAACTTATAGGATGAAACTGTGTTCAGGAGAGCTGTAGTGTGGTTAGGAAGAAGAGCTCCTGAGAGACCATAATCAATCGTTCCAGGGTCCTTGCAAGCAGCTAGGAAGCGGGTTGGGCGTAGGTACTCGATCAGGGTACAGGAGTTTCGTCACGACAATGTTGTGAGGCTGGGAGGAGGCTTAATTCAGTTGGGACTTCATGGGCAGGTGTGGAGTTACAATATTGTGGTACTGGAGCACGGTGTAATTCAGACACTGTGGGGTGGGTTAGAACTTCATGGGCAGGGCTGGAGTAACAATGTTGCGAGGCTGGGGAGGCGGAATTCAGACACCGTGCTGGTGGGTTAATACTTTATGAGCAGGGGTGGAGTTACAATGTTCCAGGGCTGGGGGGAGGCAGAATTCAGACACTGGGGGAGGGTTAGGACTTTATGTGTAGGGGTAGAGTTATAATGTTATAGAGCTGCTAGGCAAGCAGAGTTACACTGCCGTGAGGCTGGAATATGACAGTTAAAAGGCTGTGGGGGTGTTATGATGTTATGGGCAGTGCAGTTACAGTGACTGACCAATCACATGACACTCCATTAGATGGAGAATTCAACCAAAGGAGCAGCAAGATGGGAGCCAGTTATGGGTCTGAGATAGGTTTGGACTGTTTTTTTCACAGAATGTCCGGTATACTTGGTTTAGAAATTTTCATAGTATGTTTCAAAATTCAGGAGAAGGATTTCTTTTCTATAAATTAGTTTTTTTGGTGACAGTTGTCCTTTAAAAACAAGACTCCTAGCCATTCCGAGATTAGGAAGCTTTACTTATCCACACAAACTGCAAAATGGCATTGTGAAGTCTGTGCAGCTACCCCGAAGAGATATATGAAAATGAACTCACTAAGTTCAGATAATGTAGATGGACACCAGCAAAACCGATGCAATTTCGTCTTTCCCCATGGGCACGCTGGGCAGTTGCCCGGGGGCTCCACAGGCATGGGGGCCCCACCGCACTGCCCAGCATGCCCAGGCTGAAAGGGGAGATCCTTTGATCCCTGGTTTCTGGCAGTGGGCCCTCTCGGGCCAGTGAGGGAGATCAGAGAGGGCAGGAGGACCTGGAAGAAGGGAGGAAGAACCTGCAAGGCAGATGGCTCCTCCTGCGAGCAGGCTGTGTGGAGCATTGCTGCACGTTACCATGGCAATGCTCCACACAGCATTCTGCGCGCAGGAGGACAGGAGACAGCCTGCAGTCAGACGAGTTGCAGGCTATACAGAACTCACCATTACCGGACCACCAGGGCTGGCTGTCTCCCCCCCTATTCACCAAACATGAGGACGGAGGGGGATGAAGATTTCATTAATGTATAGCATTATTAACAACAGCAAAAAAAAACATTTGGTACCTGCACCCCTCAAACTTTGCAACACACACATACACAGCACCTCTCACCCCCCCCCCCCACACACAGCACCATAGGTGTGCACACGGGTGTGACGGGTGTGCCTGGTCATACCCTAATCAAGCCTCAAAATTGAGGCTCCGTGCTGCACTGCTGCAGGGGGGTGCAAAAATCCAAATCCTCTGCCTGTGCCTGGGGACTCAAATTTTTTTCCTGTGTGTCTCCCTCTACAGCCCCTGCCTCCAAACAAACCTTGTCCGAATTGAGCATACCCTATCCCCCACCACAGCCCCTGACCCCCTTCTAGAGCTCCTGTGCCCCCATCTACAGCCCCTTTCCACCAGGAATAAGGTGGTCTCACCCTGTGGTTTGTTTTTTGGGAGTGGGGGGGCAAAATGCTACTTTGCCTGTGTAGCTAAATATTTGTTTATATTGATATTTATATGAGTGCGGGTCTGTTTATGTATGTATGCAAGAGTGTGTGTTTGTGCTTTAGGTTGCACACCCTAATGCAATAGGCTGTGCACCCCTATGCAGCGCACCCTCCCCCCACACAAACGCTGTGTTTTTGTGCTTTATCTTGCCTTTCCACATCTATGCAATTTGAAATACTGCCTTGTATGTTTAAATGTTTATTCAGATGAACAATCAAGTTTCTTGGAATCTTCACTGCATTGGTAATTGATACTAGTCGAGTGTAGCTCCAACTTTTTGTATTGAGCTTTTTTTTCACCACATCTCATACAAAACGTGCATGACAAACACCTTCATTAGTTTCAGTTTTTCCATTTCCAAAAATCACAAATCAAAACACAATTAGGCACACCGAATTCGCATTACAACTAGGGAACAATTTTTGCATCCACTGGGTTTGTGCTTCTTACATTGGTACTCTAACAAGGTACTTTACTGTCTAAATGTTTTGAAGAAAAAAAAAGAAAGAATAACTCGCCAGAAGATGGTATATGCCTTCCCCAGGAAATGAATGCAAGTGGCATTCAAGCAATGCAATGAGCATTACTTATCTCTATATTCCCAAGGAAATTGTGGGTTAAGGTTACAGAGAAACTATAGGCAGAGAATAGCAGATCTACTGCACCATAGATCAATTAGACTCCTGTTAGGAGAATGTCTAGAATTTAAGAATCCAAAACAATTCACAGAGAGAAAGTGGTTTATCTCTGCCGCTCTTCATAGAAGATGGAAATTTACTTTCTGAAACTTAGAACTGATGAGCCCTGCCTTCTTCTAAAGTATTACGATATCATAGGAGACAATGTGTACAGTAAATGGTCTCCTTTTATGCTAGGTATTCACTCTCAGGCAAGGGTTGGAAATAAGTGGATGTCATAGTGATCTACCGCATTGTCTAAACACAGAATATATTTATAAGAACAAAACCACCAAATTATCTCTTTACATTACATTTATTATTGTTGGATAGGGCAAAGTGTACTCCTCAACTATGCCTAATGTTCCACAGTACCAGGTCAGACAAATTACTTCTTGCATCCTAAAGAATTTTATTTTACAATAGATTATCCTATTGGAAAGCGAATGCTGTGGTTAAGAAAATTAATTCAACTTTCTTCCATCTCTGACTGGATGTCTGCCCGCTTTCTGAAACTCAATCTCTCTAAAACTGAGCTCCTTGTCTTTCCTCCGCCTAATACTGATCCTCCTCTCTCGCTCTCCCTTCATGCTAGTGGTATCAACATCAGTCCATCCTTGCAAGCACACTGTCTTGGCCTCATACTTGATTCTGGCCTCACTTTTGAGCCTCACATCCAGTATGTTGCCAGATCCTGTAGATTCCATCTTAAAAACATAGCCCGCATTCGCCCCTTTCTAACGTAAGATGCTACCAAGGAGCTTGTCCATGCTCTAGTAATTTTCCACATGGATTTTTGTAACCCTCTCCTAATTGGTCTTCCCAATAGCTGTATTGCCCCGCTACAGTCTGTAATGAATGCTGCCGCCAGACTGATTTTCCTCGCTAGTCGGTCCTCTCACACCTCACCCCTCTATCAGTCTTTACATTGGCTTCCTGTATCCTACAGGAGTCAATTCATAGTGCTAAGCCATACCTATAAAGCACTGAACAATTCTAGCCCCTCTTATATCTCCTCACAGATCCATAGGTATGCCCCTTCTCGGTCTCTCAGCTCTGTCCGTGACCGTCTCCTGTCCGTTGCTCGCACCTGTACGGCCAACTCAAGCTTGCAGAACTTCTCATGGGCTGCTCCCTTCCTATGGAATAGCCTGCCTACCGCCATCAGACTCTCCCCTAGTCTTGCATCTTTTAAGAAGTGCCTTAAAATCCATCTCTTTAGGAAAGCTTATGGCCTCCCAGAGTAACCTCTACCTCACATACCTGTCTCTTGCTCTCTCATATAGGGCAGTGCTTTACTCTTTTCTCCAGCTCTGCTTCACTCCCACCTTATTTGATTGCTATTTCCTATCCTATTGTGTTTTATACCCCACCTCCTATAGACTGTAAGCTCGTTTGAACAGGGTGCTCTTCAACCTATCGTTCCTGTAAGCTTTCTTGTAATTGTCCTATTTATATAGTGACATCCCCCTCTCATAATATTGTAAAGCGCTACGGAATCTGTTGGCGCTATATAAAGGTTAATAATAATAATAATAATAATAATAATAACTACTGAATTCAACTTTTGAGTGCAATTAGAATGCCTTATTGTTTATACTTGAGACAAAATTGTTTGAGCCAGTTTACCTGAATCAAATGTCTGTTAATCCACACCCAACTTAAATGATTCATCTAGGATTTACCTGTCGAGTCCTATTCATTGACTAAAACTCCACTGGAAAAAGCTAGATGGATTGATTTGTTTGGGAGTGAATTAAAAGTAATTTAGACAAACAAATATTTCTCAGTCTAATATTTACATTTAATAAGTTAGGGTATAACGCTCAACTAAAAGACAGTATTTTATGTGGAGTTAACAATTAACAGTTTTTAGTGCTTGAATTACAATTCAGTTCCACTTTAAAATAGACTCAATTAATGGTGTACTCTCATAATTAATCACGCTGTTTAAGCCTTGATTTTTCTCACCTATTAGAATTTTCATCCATTTTGAGGAAGCCAGTAATTCTAGGATCAGATACAAGATTCCTGGAGTGCTCACAAGGTATGACACCACAAAGCTGTAAAAGTATACGGTCATGCCCATTTTTTCAACAGAACCTCAGACTACACTATTACTTATAGTGAGGAAATATATTAAAAGCAATCTTGTTCTAATACTTAAAAGGCACACTATAGTCACCACAACTACTGCAGTTCAATGTAGTTGTTTAGTGAATATAGAATGTACCTGCAGTTTTTTTGCTGTAAACACAGTTTTCAGAGAAAACACTGTGTTTACATTACAGCCTAGGAACACCTCCAGTGGCCACTCCTCATGGAAATGCTATGAGGAAATGCTAACTGGCTAGTCCGGCGTTTAGCCATGCCCCCACATCCTTGACAATCTCAGCCAATCCAATGCTTTTCCAGAGGAAAAACATTAAATTGGTGAAATCATGAATTCTGATTATGTCAGCCAAGGCGGCGGATCGGGGGCAGGACCAGCACCGGCAAACCCGCGCAACACTAGAAATAAGGGGAGTTTTATTACCTGTTAAGGGGGGCAAGCCAACTAAATGGTGATTTTAACACTATAGGGTCAGGAATACCACTTTGTTCCTGACCCTATAGTGTTCCATTAATAAAAAGATGAATCTTCATCGACTGCTCGCAAAGGAAAAACGTTACTCTAACCACAATGACCAGTTAAATGGGATAATGGCATTTTATGCTGCACATACATATTATTGGACATACACATATATCTACCTATATAGCCAATGAGTGTACTGCAGGATCGGCATCCAGTTTCTGTTTATTTGCCCACATATGCACAGTCATGTACATGTTCATTTATCAACGCTTTATCAATTTGGAATTTGTGAGTGCATAAAAATCATATTATTTTATAGTATAAAACAATATTTGCACTATGTTTTATCCTCTATTGCAGGTACATTAGCAGAATCCCTAAATTTCCTATCATCTATACAGTCTTGTTATATGGTTATTAGCTGGGAAATAAGTTAAGTTTTTTATACGTTGTTTACACAGATCACTTTGTTCACGGGTGGATGTGTGTATCTACACCTTTTTGTTGTATTCCCAGTATTGTAATACATATCCATATTGTGCTTCAGATTACGAATAATGGCAGACAGTAGTAGCTATTTACAAAGGATTCAGAAAGCAAGATCACAAAAGTTTGAGGGAGGGATTAGAGAAGTTCTTTAACCCCTTAAGGACACATGACATGTGTGACATGTCATGATTCCCTTTTATTCCAGAAGTTTGGTCCTTAAGGGGTTAAACAGAAAGAGAAATTGCTGAATTTGGAAACAAAAAAATGGTGGGAAATTGCTTTTCTGGAGAGTTACCTAAAAGAGGGTCTCATTCCAAGGGGACTCCGTATAGATAAAACTCCAGCTTTTGGTTTAGACAATAAAAAATGTTTTAATAAGTGGGATGATATTTTGTTTAATTGTTCTTGTCAATTAAGGACATTATTACTGCATTTTTCCAAAGCAAGCAAAACAAAGGCTGAAGAAGATTTAGACATTTTAGACAAGACAGAGGTTGGAAACAGGGAGGATTCAGAATTTAAAGAGAAAGAGGAAATTTAAAAGATTAAAATATCTAGATGAAAAAAATTGGTTATATTACTCTCTGTACTATATTTTGACAGGAACAAATCTGCTAATTTATTATTATAGATTTGGATAGTACACGTCCCCTCCCCTTCCCTTTAATTTTTATTTATTTTTGATCATTATCTTTTTCACCTTCCCTTCTTATTTCTACTCATTTCTATTGTTAAATGTTGATTTGTTTATATACCAATTTAATGTGAAATATGTTTTTTTTTTTAAATACTGTTCAATAAAAATAGTTTGAAAAGAAAATACTTTTTTCTTAATCTTCATGTTTCAGTTAATAGACAAGTCCCTAATTTGCTGTCCTTATGAAAAAGAACGAATACCAACATTTTAGGATAAATTTGTTTCTAAATCTTTCATTTTTGGTCATTTTGGATGATGCAGAATTCAGAAGCTTCCAAATATAGGTAGAAATTCAGACGAAATTCGATTCGTCCGAATCTGAATGCACGTGTCTAATTCTCATTGTCACAATGCACCTGCAAAGCATCTAAGGTATTTCGGATCATTAGTAGCCCAACGTGGAAGTAACACCCACTTGCTAGTATCCTCATCAATATCCGCAATCCGATATTACATTACATAAAACAATTTTTGGAAATTAATTCAGCTTTAAAGTGCAGAATAGCAATATCTAGGTTCAAAAACATGTCCTTTACAAAATAAGTAAATAAAATGTCAGGGCGTCATTATTTGGAAAATTGGAATTCACTTCTTGTTTCTAGGACAGAGCAATCTTTCACATATTAACAATAGAATTTATGCTTTGTATGAGGACGCCCAACATCTTCGAAATCCCCGTAGGAAAGCACAGATTCATTGGGGAAGCTCTAATTCGTTCAGCACTCGCATTAGGTTTCCCCACCAGCATGATGTTGCTGGAGGAGATTGGAAAGTGGCAAGTGTAAAATGGGTTTTTAACCCTTTACTCACAGAGGGTGTAGCTCTATAGTAATAGGCAGAGGGAAACTATAGCATTAGGAATAACACGCTATAGCGTTCCTCTGAGACCATTAAAAGACCTATAATTAAATCCTTTTTAAATGCTTTAGCCCACCTTATTCTTTGCCATTTAAGAATAAGCATGTGTGTGAAGCCAGCCAGAAGCCTTTTTGTCAGAATATTGATATAACTTCTTCTAAATATTGTTTTGCAGCAGAGCATGCTAGGAAGTCTAGATACACTGAGTTCTGTGTACAGTCGGGCCAGTCCAAGAAATTCAATCTGTGAAAGGACAGCATTACATAATCAGTGTAAATAAAGGCTAGAATTATTATAAAAGCCAGTGGCTTAAAATTAACTCAGGTTCAGATCTTACCTCCTATGAGAAGTATCAAATGACAAAGGGGTGTTACGAAGATTTTTTTTTTTATGGGATGTGTTAAGATGTTTGGTTAATGTATTGCTGAAAAGACTTTCGTGACATTTTAACAATTTAACCGTAGTATTTATGTCCCCAAATTAATTTCAAACAACATTTAGTATAGTTAGAACCATAGAAACATAGAATGTGACGGCAGATAAGAATCATTCGGCCCATCTAGTCTGCCCAATTTTCTAAATACTTTCATTAGTCCCTAGTCTTATCTTATAGTTAGGATAGCCTTATGCCTATCCCACGCATGCCTAAACTCCCTCACTGGGTTAACCTCTACCACTTCAGCTGAAAGGCTATTCCATGCACCCACTACCCTCTCAGTAAAGTAATACTTCCTGATATTATTTTTAAACCTTTGTCCCTCTAATTTAAGACTATGTCCTCTTGTTGTGGTAGTTTTTCTTCTTTTAAATATAGTCTCCTCCTTTACTGTGTAGATTCCCTTTATATATTTAAATGTTTCTATCATATCCCCCCTGTCTCGTCTTTCCTCCAAGCTATACATGTTAAGATCCTTTAACCTTTCCTGGTAAGTTTTATCCCGCAATCCATGAACCAGTTTAGTAGCCCTTCTCTGAACCCTCTCTAAGGTATCAATATCCTTCTGGAGATACAGTCTCCAGTACTGTGTACAATACTCCAAGTGAGGTCTCACTAGTTGAAGCACACATTATTTTGAATGTTGTTCAAAGCTCTAGAATACATTCAAAACACACAATGTACCAATACATGTTATAGTTGTGATACTTTAACACATCTGAGCATGCAAAAATAGGTAGATGATATAGTATACGTCCTTTAAAAAATGATATATGGGGATATGGAGAAGTCTAACTTTGGTTCCGCAGATGGGAAACCATTATTTTTATCAAACAAAAGATGTTTCTTTAGTCACACAAACAACAATTTGTACCTTCCTCATATCAGATAAAATCACATGACCGAAAATGAAACAGCAGTAAAACATTAAAAAAGTAGCAGTAGGGATCAAGGTTGGACACCACCTATTTTGTTATATGTGTAAATAGATTATCATAATATAATTATTATGTAGAAACATAGAATGTGACGGCTGATAAGAACCATTCGGCCCATCTAGTCTGCTCAATTTTTAAAATAATTTCATTAGTTCCTGGCCTTATCTTATAGTTAGGATAGCCTTATGCACATCCAACGCATGCTTAAACTCCTTTACTGTGTTCACCTCTACCACTTCAGCTGGAAGGCTATTCCATGCGTCCACTACCCTCTTAGTAACGTAATACTTCCAGATATTATTTTTAAGCACAAATAATCCTTGCATAATCAGACGCTTAACACAAGGCAAAAGTGATGCTCAAAATCAAGTGTTGATATATGATATATATCTTATGAATTTTGGATGGAATTGTATGAATTATCAACTGAAAGCCAGCTTAATGTAGTTGGTCTGGTGGGTATAGCCAGCTCCTGCTTGTTATTTAATGTAAACCCTGCCTTCTCAGAGAAAAGGCAGGGTTTACATTACTCCCTAGGAACACCTCCAGTGGCCACTCCTTATATGGCTACTAAAGGTGCTTCCTGGGTCAGTGCTACACAGTTTGACTGACAGTAAGTTTCTCCACCCTCTGCATGGAGACACTGAACTTTACTCATAGAGATGCATTGATTCAATGTAATGTTTGCATTGCAGGGTTAAGTCCACCTGTAGTGGCTATCTCCCTCTACAGCTACTAAACACACCACCTCCTCCAGGAATACACGTTTGTGTTCCTGACACTATAGTGCCCCTTTAATTCTCAAAATTACTTTTCAGATCACACCACCACCACCAGTGCAGGTCTCCTTGTCAGACAACGACCCACATCTAAGTGCCCTATATACAGAGGTTATGATACATTATCTCCTAACCAAATACAACCTACCCATCACCCCTTTTTCACAACAAAGAATTCAACACTATGCAAAGAGCTCTAGGGTGACGTAATAACTGCTTGTCTATAATGTTTACTGATTGATAGAACCCAACACTTACTGTGTTCTGCTTCATGTGTCACGATTCGGGGAACCAAACACGCCAACACACACACACACACAAAGTGCCGTACCGGACCTTAGAGTGGCCGGGCTAAGCACACAAAGAATAGTCAGAAAACAAGCCGAGTAAGGGGAACCAGAAGACAGAATAACGTGAAACAAGCCGAGGTCAAAGGGTAGGAGAAAGTCACAGAGTCGGATAACAAGCCAGAGAGTACGTAACCAGAAGCACAAGTTCAGAATCAATACTAACAAGCAAAGACCACAACAGGGCGAAGAGGAACAGGAAAGGTAAGTATATAAATCCAAAGGTTAATTCTGATTGGATAATTTCCAATCAGAATTAACAATCACACGTGGGAGATATCTAAACCTCCCACTGTGATTGAGGCACTGTGCCTTTAACGCCGGGTCAGGTGACTGACCCCGGCGTTGGTTAAAGTGGGCGGTCTCCCAGCGTGCAGCGTCATGCATGCTGCCGCTGGGAGACACAGAGGAAGAGGCGGACGGCACCCGTGGGAGAGAGGGTGCCGCCCGCCGAGCACACGGCTGAAGGGGGACCGCGGACGGCTGGAGGGTGAGTGCCGCGAGCGGACTGCAACCTCCCCTCGCAGCCGCCCGCGGGACCCTGACAGTACCCCCCCCTCGAAGACCGCCCAGAGGGCGGGAAGCAGAAGGCTTCAAAGGAAACCGGGCATGAAAGGAGCGGACTAAAGAGGGGGCGTGCAAATCAGAGCTCGAAACCCAAGACCGCTCCTCAGGGCCGTAACCCTTCCAATCCACCAGGTATTGCAGCCGACCCCTAGAAACACGAGAGTCGAGAAGGGCAGCTACTTCGAACACGTCACTAGAGACAGCACGAGGGGAAACGGGCCGTCCGAGAGGACGAGAGAACCGGTTACACAGCAAGGGCTTCAAAAGTGAAACGTGAAACGTGTGCGGAATACGCATGGAAGGAGGCAAGTCCAGGGAGTAGGAAACGGGGTTGACCCTACGTAACACTTTGTAGGGACCAAGAAACCTGGGAGCAAATTTCATGGAGGGGACCCTGAGACGGAGGTTCTTGGAGGACAACCACACCCTATCACCCGGAGCATAAGAAGGGGTCGCTCCCCTATGGCGATCAGCGAACTTCTTCTGAGCAGCTGCTGAACGAGACAGCGCAATATGGACCTGATCCCACGTCTTCCGTAAAGAGGCGAGGTGCTGGTCCAAGGCGGGCATTCCCTTGTCAGAGAACGCTCCGGGAAGGACAGAAGGCCGAAACCCATAAGCAACCTCAAAAGGACTTAAGCCAGTAGACGAATGAGACACCGCATTCCTGGCAAATTCAGCCCACGGAAGAAGGCGAGACCAGTCGTCCTGGTGCGCATTAGTGAAGCAGCGCAAATACAATTCCACAGACTGATTAGCACGTTCGGCTGCACCATTAGATTGCGGGTGATAGGAGGAAGTGAACGACAAGGAGACCCCCATCTCAGCACAAAAGCCCCTCCAAAACCGAGAGACAAATTGCGGGCCCCTGTCAGAAACAATATCCTGAGGTACCCCATGCAAGCGGAACACTTCCTTGGCAAACACCTGGGCAAGCTGAATCGCAGAGGGTAGTTTCTTAAGTGGAATAAAGTGGGCCATTTTAGAGAACCTATCCGTCACAGTTAATATCACCGTCTGACCATCAGAAGGAGGAAGGTCTACAATAAAATCCATGGACAAGTGGGTCCATGGTTTCTTGGGTATAGATAGAGGCATCAGTAGGCCTTGGGGTCTCATATTAGGAGACTTACACTGCGTACAGACCCGACAAGCCTGAACAAAATCCACTACGTCTCGCCTGAGTGAAGGCCACCAGAACTGTTGAAGGAGGCTCTTATAAGTCTTGGTAACCCCCGGATGACCAGCAGTTTTGGCGGTGTGAAATAATGTTAATAACTTTTTTCTGTCACTTACTTTCACGTATAGTTTACCAACAGGCTTCTCCTGAGGCGCTTGGGTTTGGTATGTCTTAATATTCTCAAGGAAGGGAGATGAAACAACCAAACGGGTAGCAGCTATGATCTGAGAAGCTGGTACAATAGGTTCAGGGGTTGGGTTAACAAATTCTAAAGGTTCATACTGTCGAGAGATAGCGTCAGCTTTGGCATTACGGCAACCAGGTCTATAGGTAATAATGTATTGGAATCGCGAAAGGAATAGAGACCATCTAGCCTGTCGGGCGGACAACCTTCTAGCATCGGTTATATAGGAGAGGTTCTTATGATCTGTCAGAACCATAATTTTGTGTCTAGAACCCTCTAATAAGTACCTCCATTCCTTAAAAGCTAACACAATAGCTAATAGTTCTCTGTTCCCAACATCGTAATTCTTTTCTGGATCAGACAACCTTTTAGAAAAGAAACAACAGGGATGGAGGGGTTCGTCATACGATAACCTTTGTGATAGTACTGCTCCCACCCCCGATTCAGAAGCATCTACTTCCATAACAAAGGGAAGAGAAGGATTAGGGTGGTGTAGTACTGGAGCAGAGGCAAATGCTTTCTTGAGAGTTTCAAAGGCTTTAAGGGCTTCAGGAGTCCAAACCCTAGGGTGTAGACCTTTTTTAGTCAGCTTTGTGATAGGAGAGATAAGTGGTGAGAAGTTTTTATAAATTTTCTATAATAGTTAGCAAAACCTATAAAACGCTGGATAGCCTTAAGTCCTTGGGGAAGTGGCCAGGACAGTATAGCTTCCAATTTAGCAGGATCCATACTAAAACCCTGTTCAGAAATTATATATCCCAGGAATTGCACAGAGGTCTGATCGAACAGACATTTTTCTAACTTACAATAAAGTCCGCTCTGTAATAATTTTTTAAGCACCATCCTAACATGTTTATGATGTGACTTCAAATCAGGAGAATATACAAGTATGTCGTCAAGGTACACCACGGCACAGACATGCAATAGATCCCTAAGGACATCGTTTATGAGATCCTGAAACACAGCAGGAGCATTACACAGTCCAAAAGGCATGACCAGGTATTCATAATGCCCACTACGCGTATTGAACGCTGTCTTCCACTCATCATTCTCCTTTATACGGATAAGGTTATAAGCTCCCCTGAGGTCTAGTTTAGTAAAGTACTTAGAACCTTTAACGCGGTCAAACAACTCAGTGATGAGGGGGATAGGGTAGGCGTTTTTAACCGTTATATTGTTCAGACCCCTGTAGTCTATACACGGCCTCAAATCGCCCTCCTTCTTTGCCACAAAAAAGAAACCAGCACCAGCAGGAGAGGAGGACCTTCTAATAAAACCTTTCCTTAAGGATTCTCGTATGTACTCCTCCATGACCTGGTTTTCTTTCTCAGAAAGAGGGTAGACCTTACCCCTAGGGGGCATAGTGCCCGGTAAAAGGTTTATGGCACAGTCATAGTCACGATGTGGAGGTAGCTTATCTGCCTCCCTCTTTTCAAAAACCAATGCAAGATCAGCATATACAGAAGGGACAGAAACAGAGAGTGGTTTAGCCGTGGGCACGTTGAGTAAACAAACAGGACGTACTGAGCCATACAGTCTCGTTGACAGGATTCCCCCCAGGATAGTATATCCAAGCAACCCCAATCGAGAACAGGGTTGTGTTTCACTAACCAGGGAAAACCCAGAACGATGGAAGCAGTAGGGGAGTCAATTATTTGGAAGGTTAACCTTTCCTTATGCAAAACACCTACAGACATCACTATTTCTTGGGTCTCATGGGTCACCAGAGGTTTCTCAAGTGGTCTACCATCTATGGCCTCAACGACCAAGGGTGTGGCCTTTTGGATCAAAGTTAAGGCTGCGGTTTTAGCAAAGTTCTCATCCATAAGGTTGTCTGCCGCACCTGAATCGATCAAGGCTTTGGTGGTTATGGTGGTTTTATTGACCAAAAGAGAAACCGTAATAAACGGTCTGGAGATGGACACATGAGGGGACAAAGTCATAACACCCGAGGCCGACCCCTCTCTAGGCCTTAGGTGCTGTAGTTTCCCTGTAACTTAGGGCAGGCATTACAGTGGTGCCCCCTCTTTCCACAATAAAGGCATAACCCCTCCCTTCTACGATATGCTCTTTCAGCCTCAGTTAGCCCCGTAGCACCCAATTGCATGGGTTCGGGGGTTGGTTGACTAGGAGCGGGTAGTGCTAGTAAAGCAGTAGAGGGGGGAGCAGGTAATGCCCGTGTATCCATCCGTCTTTGACTACGCCTCTCTCTAATACGGTTATCAATAAGAATGACATAATCTATGACATCATCTAGAAGAACAGGCAATTCCCTGGATGCTATTTCATCCAGTATGTAGGCGGCCAAACCCTCCTGAAAGGCTGTTACGAGGGCATCATTATTCCAAACCACTTCAGCTGCTAGCGTGCGGAATTCGATAGTATAATCCGCTACAGATCTATTACCCTGTCGTACCCTAAGCAGAGCTTTGCCAGCAGAGGCAACCCTACCGGGTTGATCAAACGTACGTTTGAAAGCTGTCAAGAACTCTACAAAGGACATAGGAGATGTATTCTCCCACATGGGGTTAGCCCATGCTAAAGCTTTCCCGGACAGGTGATTAATCAAAAAGGCAATTTTGGATCTGTCAGTGGGATAGGAACGTGGATTCATCACCAAATGGATGTCAATTTGGTTAAGGAAACCACGACACAATGCTGGGTCACCGCTGTAGCGTTGTGGCGGTGTCATGTGAACAACATGAGCAGGAACGGGTACCGGAGTGGGAATGGGTTCGGGCACAGCAGCAGCAGCCTCCTGGACGGCAGGTTGCAAGTGTGCAGTACGAGCCAGTATGGTTTGTAAAGCTTGGGCAAACTGGTCCATACGGTGGTCCAAGCCATCCATTCTAGCCTCCTGATTAACTAGGAGCTGTGGTATGTCAGCAGGTTCCATTATGGCCCTGTTGTAATGTCACGATTCGGGGAACCAAACACGCCAACACACACACACACACAAAGTGCCGTACCGGACCTTAGAGTGGCCGGGCTAAGCACACAAAGAATAGTCAGAAAACAAGCCGAGTAAGGGGAACCAGAAGACAGAATAACGTGAAACAAGCCGAGGTCAAAGGGTAGGAGAAAGTCACAGAGTCGGATAACAAGCCAGAGAGTACGTAACCAGAAGCACAAGTTCAGAATCAATACTAACAAGCAAAGACCACAACAGGGCGAAGAGGAACAGGAAAGGTAAGTATATAAATCCAAAGGTTAATTCTGATTGGATAATTTCCAATCAGAATTAACAATCACACGTGGGAGATATCTAAACCTCCCACTGTGATTGAGGCACTGTGCCTTTAACGCCGGGTCAGGTGACTGACCCCGGCGTTGGTTAAAGTGGGCGGTCTCCCAGCGTGCAGCGTCATGCATGCTGCCGCTGGGAGACACAGAGGAAGAGGCGGACGGCACCCGTGGGAGAGAGGGTGCCGCCCGCCGAGCACACGGCTGAAGGGGGACCGCGGACGGCTGGAGGGTGAGTGCCGCGAGCGGACTGCAACCTCCCCTCGCAGCCGCCCGCGGGACCCTGACATCATGGAATGAGACAATGACTAGAAGACTTATTTGCTAAGCAATAAAAATCCTTTGGCAATTAACAAGCCACAATTGGCCTCACAGACCCCAGAGAGAATATAAATTTTGTTTTCTGCCATTTAAAGTCAGTTAGACAACCTATCTAATGCAAATATTCAATCCTAGACCTTCAACTTACTTGACTCCACATGCAGTCTATAAACTGCAGACATAGGTTGGATATTTACATCAATGATTTAGCTCTACAATTCCCTTAGAAATCGGTGTCCAGTGTAGTTACTATGAATTGATTCAATGCATTTAGTGGAATGGTGTACATGTCTTAATAATGGTCAGACAAGACATTTCAACAGCTTTACCCATTCATTCTTCATGTTACATATATAGTGTTCAAGTAGAGAATTTTATCTGTTTTTTACATCTATATATATGTACACACTTCAAAATTTCCACTAGCCATTGGCGAGTGATAATTTAGCCCTTTATCTCCTGGCGATTTAGATTTGTATAACATTATTTTGAGGGCATTAAACCACAAGATCTTAAAGTGATCCCATTGTTTTATACAGTTTGTAGATAATGCATTAAAGAATATATAAATAAATATTAGGGAGCGTGTTCACTCATCTCAGTGGACATACAGTGCTATCAACATACATGACTGCATTATTAGATCACATGCACCTCATTTCGACACCCCTGTATTACAAGCCACATGTACACATTTTGGCATAGATTGAGCGATTTCTAGATTTTAAAGGGACACTTCTAGCACCTTGATCATTATTATTATAGTGGTTATCGTATAAGCAGCCTGTGAGTCCATACAGTTTTTGTCAAACTGTTTATGTGGATTGAAAAAAATACAAAAAATTTTTTCGAAGTGTCTATCCATAACACACAGCAGCCCGCTCAATTTCTGCATGGAATGTATAAAAACTGTAGTGATCGTGGTGTTTGTAGATTCCTTTTAAAATCAGTCCTGTAGAGAATATTGGAAATGCAACTAAATCAAAGGGTAGAAGGAGGTTAATATTATGCTTCTCTGATACAGATCTAGTTTGGGATCACAGGCTGATGGCATTCTAAGCTTGTTCTATTAACAATGTTCTGGAATTTAAATGAAATAGGCCTCCAGTAGGAATTTGAAAGTTAAGCGTGGGTCTCTATGCTATGAAGCAAAACAATTTGAATCATAAATCCGATCATTTGCATAATACAAAAAAAAACTCATTATGGCAGAGAGCTTAAGGTTTGGAAAGTTGTCTCTGACATTATTTCAGATGTACCAACATTTCAAATAGACAAAAAGGAGCACTTTAATTATTGAGGTGTGAGTGGGTGTGTGGCTAGGGGTGTGAGTGAAGGTGTGGCCAGGGTCGAGGCTGTTCTGAGAAGTTTAAATGCTTACTAATAATTTATACAACTAAAATGTTTTTTAAAACAAGAACAAAGTATTTTATTTACACAGACTGATTTCTAAACAAATGTATTGTAATGTAAAGATTCAGACACATAAACAATATGGAACTCCTAGTAAAGAGAAACATAGGGATTTGAACCCAAAATAGGGACTGTTTCTCCTAAATAGAGACACTTGGGAGGTATGTTATTTTACCATTATATCTGCTTAGCACATTATGTCTAGAAATTCCAATCCTTTTTGTTTTTCCATCTTTTTACTATGGAAGCTCATGCTTTTCTCTTGGGACACGTGGGTGAGAGTTGCTCATTTAACCTTACATAGCAAAAGTATTGTTCAGTTACAATATACCACCATATACTGTGGAACTCTGCAAGATAGCATAGAATCAAGCAATGCTGGAAAAATCGCTAAGTGGATTTGCTATTTACTTAGCATGGTGTGATTAACAGGGTTATTTATTAAAGTGAGAATTGTCCGGCATTCAAAACGCAATCAAAGCGAATTGCAAATTTAAGGCCAAAGTAGACGATTTAGAAACATTTGTATTTCAACTCAGCAATGCATGAATATTGGCCTAAAATGTATACCTCACTTTGAGTTGCAACAAGTCTCACTTTAGTGAATAAACCTTTAAACTGGATTAGAAGTCAACATTCAAATTCAAACCAATAGGTACTCAGCGGGTTTAGGGCAGTATTTATTAGAGATGTTTAAAATACAACATTATAATGGTGAGAAAACACACACACTTTAATAACTGCCAACTTTTCTCTATTTTAGAAGATATTCATCCATAATCAGGCTGCATTAGGCAACAAGGTCTATACACAATTGTCACTCCATGAGGCTAAATAAACCACAGTCAAACCAGATCTAGACAAAGATGAAAGCGCTGTAATTTGCATTAAATCTATCTAATCCCGCCCTCCAGAAAAACCATTTCCAAGTATTTCAAATACGTTAATGAGGAACGGTCACGTAATTCAAGGCGTATCCCAACAGAAAACTAAAACTATAGAAATTGGGTTTTCATTTGATGGTATTTATTCAAACTACAATGGAACGAAGGGGCGTTTAAAGTAATCAGGGGGGGCTCATAAGTTCAGTATATGGGAACAGGATAGACATGCAATAAAGAAAGATAGACTATGGTAATACCTGCTACAGTATCCATTTAATGGATGCCTGTTTTTACTTTGCTCCTTTACCAAGAAACACTAGAAGGTACCCAAACCATTTCATCTCAATTGGTCTGGGTGCAGTGTAAGTGGTCGAGGTGCAATGTAAAACATTGCTGTGTTTTTTTTAGAAACTGCAATGTTTACATTCCAGGGTTAAATCCACCTCTAGTGACTGCTGCACCGAGTAATACCTGTACTTGGACCCATTCTCTTTAATATTTTTATTAGTGATATTGCAGAAGGTCTTGATGGTAATGTATGTCCAAGGTATTTTTGCTGATGATACTAAGATATGTAACAGGGTTGATGTTCCAGGAGGGATAAGCCAAATGGCAAATGATTTAGGTAAACTGGAAAAATGGTCAGAATTGTAGCAACTGACATTTAATGTGGAAAAGTGCAAGATAATGCATCTTGGACGTAAAAACCCAAGGGCAGAGTACAGAATATTTGATAGAGTCCTAACCTCAACATCTGTAGAAAGGGATTTATGGGTGATTATTTCTGATGACCTAAAGGTAGGCAGAAAATGTAATAGAGCAGCAGGAAATGCTAGCAGAATGCTTGGTTGTATAGGGAGAGGTATTAGCAGTAGAAAGAGGGAAGTGCTCATGCCATTGCAAAGAAAACTGGTGAGCTCTCACTTGGAGTATTGTACGCAGTACTGGAGACCGTATCTTCAGAAGGATATTGATACCTTAGAGAGGGTTCAGAGAAGGGCTACTAAACTGGTTCATGGATTGCAGGATAAAAATTACCAGAAAAGGTTAAAGGATCTTAACATGTATAGCTTGGAGGAAAGACGAGACAGGGGGGATATGATAGAAACATTTAAATACATAAAGGGAATCAACACAGTAAAGGAGGAGACTATATATAAAAGAAGAAAAACTACCACAACAAGAGGACATAGTCTTAAATTAGAGGGACAAAGGTTTAAAAATAATATCAGGAAGTATTACATTACTGAGAGGGTAGTGGATGCATGGAATAGCCTTCCAGCTCAAGTGGTAGAGGTTAACACAGTAAAGGAGTTTACCGTGTTTCTCCGAAAATAAGACCGGGTCTTATATTAATTTTAGTCACAAAAAACACACTAGGGCTTATTTTCAGGGTAGGGCTTAGAGCCAGTCTGTCAGCCGGTGTCCGCGCTGTGTAACCCCCCTAGAGACCCTCACCTCCCCCTCCCTGTAATATTCTCCCCTCCCTCCCTGTAATACTCTCCTCCCCTCCCTCCCTGTAATATTATCTCCCCCCTCCCTCCCTGTAATACTCTCCCCTCCCTCCCTGTAATATTATCTCCCCCTCCCTCCCTGTAATATTCTCCCTCCCTCCCTGTAATACTCCCTCCCTGTAATACTCTCTCCCCCCCCTCTCCTGTAATACCCCTGTAATATTATCCCTCCCTCCTGTAATACTCTCCCCCCTCCCTCCCTGTATTATCCCTCCCTCCCTCCCTCCCTGTAATATTCTCCCCTCCCTCCCTGTAATATTCTCCCCTCCCTCCCTGTAATATTCTCCCCCCCCCCAACCTCCAATCTTCTCTGCACCTCCCCTGTAGCGTGGCCGAGCTCCTGTCCGGTCTGTGACCCGGTCGGACTGACAGGAAGTGCACACCCAGTGTGCACTTCCTGTCAGTCCGGGCGGGTCGCGGACCGGAGAGGAGCTCGGCCATGCTACAGGGAAGGGGAGGTGAGGCAGCGCGGCAGCCATCTGAGTACTCTCTATAGAGCGCTCAGGCGGCTGAGACATTTAAAGGGCCGGCAGCTGCCGGCCCTGCCTAGGTCTTATTTTCGGGGTAGGGCTTATATTGCAGCCCACCCCGATAATCCAGCTAGGGCTTATTTTCGGGGTAGGGCTTATTTTCGGAGAAACACGGTAAGCATGTATGGGATATGCATAAGGCTATCCTAACTATAAGATAAGGCTAGGGACTAATGAAAGTATTTTAATAAATTGGGCAGATTAGATGGGCCGAATGGTTCTTATCTGCCGTCACATTCTATGTTTCTATACCTGGGCACGTGACACGGAAACCAATAGAACGAAGAAGCTTGGATGCATGTGGCATTAGGTCCCAAACTCTCCCTTTATGAGGAGCATTGGATTGGACCACCACGGAGTAGGCCATGCCTCTTCGATGATGTTGCAGGAGGTGGAGAGGAGACAGGAGCACAATAACGTTAGGAACATAGGTTTGCTACAAATCCATTATATAAACTACTAGATTTGCTTTTGTTTTAAACAAAAAGAAAAGTCTGAATTTATATTTCTGCTCATAGTTGGATAGATTGTTAGATTATTAGGGACTAAACCAATGGCTGGCACGGCACTGTTGATTATGCTATATCCCCCACACCCACCAATTCATCATTACTAGAAAATAGTGCTATGCGATTTGTAGGTGAATCTTGCTTTTGAAGAAGGGGAGGGAGGGGTGGATCATGCTGTAACTTGTTCTAGAGACAAATTCTAGGAAGGCACATCAGTGACATTAATCTGCTCCTTAGAATTAAGGAGTGGAATAAAAATGGACCAGTGAGCCGATATGTTAAAAGGTTCTTCACATGCTGTTAGGATTGCTAAGAGCAAGTAAAAAATTAAATTGCTCAATTAGAATCTGAGCGTTTGTGGCATAAGATCTACAGAGACATGGTGATCACTAAAATCTAACATATAAAGGTCACATCAGATCAGATCACCGATATGTCACAAAAAAAGACCGACAGGGAATATTAAATCTACCTAGGGAGTCAAAAAGTTGATTTACTAAAAGGGGTGATGGGAAATGAGGCTAAGGACTAGGATGGGAGAAAGGTTTGATAAAGGAATTAGTGATTCAACAATGGAAAGTCATATAATATATATATATATATATATATATATATATACACATACATACATATATATATATCTCAATAAATTAATAGTTACAAATACCTTTTCTTTCTATAGGCCAGAAGGAATATATAAAATTATAGAAAGAAAAGGTATTTGCAATTATTAATTGAAGTGAGAAAAAAAAAAAAGGAAAAAAGTGTTTCCGTATTGAGTCACTGAGAAAGTTAGTAAAGGTTACCTTTTAAAAAGCATCAACGTGTTACTTTTGGAAATAAATAAGAGTGTGTACGGTGTAGTAGATGATGCATACAATGTATCAGGTTACAACAGCTATTCTTTCCAATCAATTCCATTCTTCGATACCACAGCCCTGGGTCTCTACTGCTGTACCTGGACACGCTTGCTCTCTATATGTTGGAGATCTATATTGAGCAAGTTGCCATCCTCCTCAGCTTTCCAACTACCCTAAAAACCTTCCAGTGAAGCTCTATACTAATAAACTGAAACGGTTTTAACTTGGTATATTTTCTGCCGCGTAAAAACAAGCTACCTACTATGTGCCTTCAAAATAAATACAATTACATTAGAAATCTAAACAAACACACAGCATTCAAAAAAACATTCAAACTCCTACATTTTAATTCTGAAGTTTGAAAACTTTGCAAATGTATTAAATGGACAATGACACTAAGCACACAACTAAGACAACACAAGAGTGTTGTAAGGACAAATCTTTGACAATCCTTGAGTGATCCAGCCAGAGCCTGGACTTCAATCAAACATTTCTGAAGAGAATCTCTGAAGTGGCTGTCCCATCCAATCTGACAGAGATTAAGAGGATCATCTGCAGAGGTGAATGGTAGAAACGACACAACGGAGTATGTACGTCAATGTGCTATTTCAGTTTAATACATTTGCAATGGTGTCATATATATATATATATATATATATATATATATATATATATATATATATATATATATTTTTTTTTTTTTTTTTTGGCTTAATCATTAAGGGTTATGGAGTGTAGATTGTTGAGAAGAAAAATATTTAAATAACTGAAGCATAAGGCTAAAACACTAAAAATGTGAAAGAATGAAGGAGTCTAAATACTTTCTGAATGCTCTATGTATATAAACGTCTTACATTTGTGTGTGGGGGGAGGGGGGAGGAGGAGTGAGAGAACTCTATCATCTCCAAATAATAAAAAAAAAAAAAACATTGAAAATAAGTTGCTATTGTGTGATCAGGCACCATCAGTTAATTTATTTATAAACAAAGTTACAAAGACAGAGCCTGTCAGTTCTCCCCCTGGTTTCTGGTGATGTTGGAGGATTCAATGACGAAGTCTCGAATGGAGCACCAATTTGCCTGGTGCTGGATTAAGGTAAATATTAGAGGATTTTTACTGGGTTTACATGGGGGACCCCATAAGTAATGCGCCACATGACTTTTTTATTACCAGGGTTGGAGTAAAGATCACAAATGCTCATCAGTGGCTTGTTTAGGACAGGTAGCATCATAGTATTTCAGTAAACAGGGGTACAAAGAGATGAAAGGGCTCGGATAAGTGAAAATAATTTGTTTAGAAGTATTTTTACCAGATTAGGTATGCAAAAATACAACTGCAACTTTTTTACTCCTAATCCATTCAAAGACAAGCATTTTTAATAGAATATGGCTTAATTTATATAATGATTAGAGCCATGTACAGTCCTGTCCCCCTTTCGAATACCATCTTTAGTAAATAGCTTCTTTAATTCTGACATAAATTATGTATCATTATGAAGTAATCCCAGTAATACTGGTGTCAATCATTTTCCTTTATTAGAACAATGCTTCAGAGGTGTATGGTTAAATTAGGTTTAGTACTTATTACAACACATTAACATATAACATTTTGTGCCGATGCAAGCTTGATTACCTTACAGCTATTAATATTTAGGGGTAAGCAAATCACAGTTCTTAGACGGCTTTGCAAAAGAAAAATAAAGTAAAAAAAAAACTAAAAATAAATAAATTACAAATAAAATTATTAAACATCATATAAAAAAATATAGGATCATAGTTATGATACTGGGCGCCATAGGCCTATATCTCAAGGTTAAAAGAACTTTAAAGTGTTAGGAATACAAACCTGTATTTTTAGCGCTTCAGTGACCCTGTCGCTAGGTAGATTGGGCCCTCTTTCTGTGTGTACAAAAAATAAACATAAAATAAAGCTTTTTTTCTTACCATTTTTAAGTGTTGATGCTCCCTCAGTGCTGCTTAACATTCTGGCTTCTGCACAATGGTCCATTCCAATGCTCCTCAAAGCATCCAAGCTTGCCCATAGTAAAGCTAAAGGACCACAGCACCGAGGGCACTTCAGAGAGATGAAGTGGCCAGGGTGACTTTAATGGTCCTTTACAGGGCAAGAAAGAAAGAAAAAAAAAGGGTCGGTCTTTACAACTACACTGCCACATCCATAATGATGCTATATGGTGACCGTTATGTCATTAACCTGTTATGTTCCACATGGATACTGGGGTGTATTTTTGTTTCTTTCAGATACCTCAGACATTTTAGGTACCGCACGTGTATTTATTACGTTATCAGGTTTTCTAGTTATATTTTAGTTACTGTGTTCTTGTTCTTTGGATTTTGTTTTGTCCTTAATTGGCACACATGGAGTTGATATGGAATTAGCTAAACATTGCTAGTTATCTTTGTCTCTATGTCTATTGTGTCTGTGTTTGTGGTGTTCATCATGCTCATGTGCAAACACTAATCCAATAATAGTCATGGTCATGTTAGAAAGTATTGGAATGTTGGTATTGTTTTATGATGACATTGTTAATAGTTCATTGTAAGCTATTAACATGTTGATAAATAGCAAATACACAAACAGTTTCCCTGTATGATAAAAAAGCAGACTTTTGTCCTTTGTCCATAAACATTTTAGCCCCCAAATTTGTCATTTTGATAAATAAATGTAACATCAAAGCACTGACTGGTCTATTCTTTGTGGGGGGTTTTCTTGTATAGAATTTTGAAATGACATAAATCAAGGGTCTAAACAAAACAAAAACAACAACAAATATAAAATAAAAATAATAAATAATAATTATATATATATATAAAACACAAAATAATAATAATAATAATGATGATATAGTATTTACCTTTGGACTCTGACTGTACCATTTACATTACTATGCTAAAAACCACAATAGCTCCTTTGGATTAGTGAAAACTGATTTGTGTCACCATTGAGGAATTTTTGGGATTTGGGGGTGGGGAATGCAGCATAGCACAGTCAAACACCATCAGTTGAATGTTTATTGGAAGTAATCTATACTTCAGGAACGTAATGTGTGAAGATAATATAAGTATTGATAAACAGAAGTGTTTGAAAAAGGTAAGCTTTTCCATAGTAACAGTATCCTTTATACACTACAAAAGGGTGTTATTTGAGACACTGATATAAAGTAGGTTTCAATATAGTGCAATAATGAATGCATGAATAAGAGGATTGGTCACATCTTTAGTTTGAATCCAGAATAAAAGCTAGAATTGTATAGAGCATGCCCAGGTGACCTATTCATACGCCTCACTACTTCTACACATTCTGCAAACCACCTTTTATTTCATACATGAAGACTCTGGGATTGCTCCTAATTTTCTCTTCATCTTAACCAGTTCTCAGCCTGAACCTATTCCATAGAATAATATAGAAAGATACGGTTCTTTATTTTGCCATCTCTAGAAGAGGGAACGAGTTCTCTAGGAATATTTAGAATCCAATTCAATGGCTTGTCAAAACAAGATATTTTGAACTGCAGTTCCAAATTCTAAATGCAGTAGTGTGAACCAGAACACATATCGAGATGCCAACTAAATACTACAAGCTACTGATATAATACCAGAATAATTATAAGCAGTACTGTGGACTTATCTGCATAAAAATCAAGTCACATTAAAGAAGCGACTAGGCAAATCTATTGAGTGTACCACCATCCTAGACCATCTCAAAGTATTTTTTGGTCAATTATTAAACCCCAGGCTGCTGTTAATTTAATTTAATTTATACTATAACCATTTATATTGAATTGGTTTTAGTGCCTGGTGCCCCCTGACACTGTCCCTCTATTCACTGTTAAACCATTTTCGAGCAGTTTAACATCGAATGAGCTTCCCTGACAGTCCACAGCACAGCCGACACTGATAATAAGTTTAAGGGAGAGATTACATTTTTCTTTAGCCATACCAAGTCATACCTGCAACTAGCATGCTATGATAGGTTGAAAACAGTACTCTGTTCATTGGTATAGCCAAGTACATCTTTTCAAATGTACCCCACTATTCAATAACAGGAAGAGCAAAACTTAAACAGCAATATTTTTGTTACCTACATAAAGAGAAATTGCCAAAGGAAGATTCATTTTCAATGAAGGAGAAATTTGAAGTTTTGAAAAAATTAATTTAAAAAGGAATCCACAGTAAGACAGATTAAAACGCAATTAGTGACACAAGACAAGGAAACAGGAGAGAAATTAGGCAAGAAGTAAAAAGATTTCTGTTATTCACTAATGTGAGAATTCATAGTGAATGCAAAGTGAATTTCAAATTCAAGGTCAGAATAGTCAAAGTGGAAAAACTCTTAAAGTCCGTTATCCCTTTTGGCTACTCTGCCTTAAATTTGAAATTCACTTTGAACTCTCGTTTTAATAAATAACTATTTGATTGTTGTCAGGATATAGGTGTGACTGTAACACAAATCAATATGTAAGGTAGAGAAGTTACTCAGAGCTATAACAGAAAGGGACAGTTACATCAACCGTAGATTACCCCAGATTAAATAAATTATTGGTAACAAGACACGCTTGCACTTCAAATCCTATGGATTTGGACATTGTACGAACGTATCCATATGTGATGGCAAGTAATATTTACAGCTGGTTAGGGACATAGGACAAGACATGTTGAGCCCTTTCTATGTTTAACGACTTTAAATGTATCGTGACGCTTACAAACACTAGGAAAGCTTTAAACATTAGCCAAAGCTCTAATTAAATAAAAAGTATTTTAATACTTGCATGAGTAATTATATTTTTGAACCACGGACTCTTAGATATACAATAGTCTTTAGACCAATCAAATACTTTCTTGATACTTTGTCTAAAACTTCCTCCTGCCCTGTGCTTCCACCACATCCCCTGGCATTCCTTTCATGCATAGCTCTGATCTCGATTAATGCTGGCAATTATGCATAATGGCCAAAACGAACCAGATTTGACATGTTTGAAGACTCTGTAGCTAAAAGGATCAAGATAAAACATGTTTAATGACTCACGGGAGATTAGATTGGTAGATTCCATTATATGGCATACAGATTAAAGCATGTTACTCTGCTTTAACGAGCATACATAACTCGGGTTTATTTTATTTAGAAAGTGTTTTATCACCACCATACCTTGAGATTTCTATTGTTTTCAACTATTTCCTGGTTTTATAATAAATATATAGCACAAATAACTCTGCAAAAGCAAGCATATATATATACCCAGTCAGCAACTTGTGAAAAAAAACAAGATGCAATATAACTTGTATACACAGATTTTATTTTTAATAAAGTGACACTACAGTCACCAGAACCACTAAAGTTCAATATAGTGGTTGTTATATCTATACCCTGTCCCTGTAGGCTCAGCAATTTAAACGCTGCCTTGTCAGACACAGAAATGTGTCTCTAAAGCTTGAAATCAGTCTGTGTCAATAAGATACATTGTTCTTAATTACATTTTAGTCGTATAAATTATCAGTAAGATATCTCAGAACAGCACCTCCTCTGACCACAACCTCACCTACTCCCCTAAAATTAAATGTATTTCTGTGTCCATTTGAGATGTTGGGAGATAGGCTCTCACCCTCCATTCCTGCCCCTCTTTCATGATGCAGACATTCTGGCTTTACTGCTAACATATTGACATCAGAACTCTTTTCCTATATTCCCTACCAAGAAACACCCTTCCTGGGGGAATATGTCTGGTGGACAGGGGAACAGCCTTCAAGGGGTTCTCCCACTCTTCCCTGGAATTAAATTGTCTATGCCAACAAATGAATCTCGGGTCTATGATAACTTGATAAAGACCCTGAAGGGTCAAAACGTTGATGTATAGCTGGTGAATATCTTTTGAAATATATTTAAAAAACCAAGAGAGGGCTCCTATTTGACTTTGTTTATATATAAAAAATCTAAAGTGTATTTATAAATAAAAAATCATCTTATTTTATTAATTGCAATTTGAGGGACCTGCCTGTTAACCTAGGCAGAAAACTTCTGCGAATTTGCATGCCCTATATTTGACAGTGTAACTTTGTCAAAACCCCATAAAATCTGTACATGGGGTACTGTTGTACTTGTGAGACATTGTTGAACACAAATATGAGTGTTTTAGACTAGTAACCCCTATAATGATGATGATATCATCAGTGAAAGTGCAGTTTTTGTGTAACAAAATGAAAAAACAAAACAAAATACAAACATTAACTTGGCCAGGTTTTTTAAATGCAAAAAAGACTGGACCTACCCCATTTTTTAATACCCTGGGTTGTCTACTTTTGCAAATAGTATGCCATGATGAGGGTAATTCTCATTCCAATCTGGCAAATTTCAATATGTAAAAACTGAAAAGGACAAGCTCTTTATTTGACTCTGTAACTTTCCAAAACACCATCCATATGTGTATTTTATTGCAGTAAACGCTAACTGTATTATGGCATTCACAGCTAAATGCCATGCAGAACTTAGAAAATAAAATGTCTTAATTTCTCACAATTGTAGATTTTATTCATATTAAGTTATGTTTAGATATATTTATATGATGTAATATGAAAGCCTTGTTTCTCTTTAACAACACGATATATTAAGTTTGGGTGTACTTAATATGAAAGAGGTAAATTATGGGTGATCATACATAGAGCTCAAATTTTACGTTTTGTTTTGGTTCAGAACTTGGAGTGCCTCAAATGGGTCTAGATTATGGTTTGTGTAGTGTCATTTTTTGAAACATTGTCTGTACTGTTAATGGAACACTTTAATTTTAGAGACAACATAAATTCTGAAAATCCTTAGTGTTAAAATAGTGACTTGCTCTTTGTAAAATGTGATTTGCAGCTGCCATAAGGCCCAGCTATGTTTATGATAAACATACCCATGGGTCACATGACCCATTATTCATGACAAGTTTAAAAACTATTTTACTTTTAAAGGACCACTATAGGCACCCAGACCCCTTCAGCTTAATGAAGTGTCTGGGTGCCAGGTCCATCTAGAATTAACCCTTTCTGCTGTAAACATAGCAGTTTCAGAGAAACTGCTATGTTTACAAATGGATTAAACCAGCCTCTAGTGGCTCTCATTGACAGCCGCTAGAGGCACTTCTCACTGTGATTGTCACAGTGAGAAGACGCCAGCGTCCATAGGAAAGCATTGAGAATGCTTTCCTATGAGACTGAATGCGCGTGCGGCTCATACCACGCATGCGCATTCAGCCAATGACAGGAAAGGAGGAGAGTCCCCAGCGCAGAGGAAGCCCGGCGCTGGAAAAAAAGTAAGGAATTAATCCCTTCATCACCCTAGAGCCCGGCGGGAGGGAGACCCTGAGGGTGAGGGGGGCCCAAGGACCCTATAGAGCCATGAAAACGAGTATGTTTTCCTGGCACTATAGTGGTCTTTTAACTGTTGCAACAAATGGTCTACAGATCATGGCTGCTTCAACCTGTCGGAACGTTTCCTACAAACTATCTGGTAAAATAGGACACTATGACAAATTATTGTATGTAGAATTTATAACACTGACTATTCTAATAAAAACACTACGACAGAAAATAAATATTTTTTTTTTTAAAAAGGAGAATCATTCACCCTTGTATTATATCATATCTTATATGTATGAGAATTCATATGTTTTTTTTACTTGTCTTCTGTGGAGTCAACCATAACCTTTCGCCACCATATAATATGAATCTTCGTGAACACTAACACTGCACCACAATCACAGCTATTGACTAAAGTGAGAATTGTTGGGAATTAAAAAGTGAATTTCAAATTGAAGACCATAGTAATCAAACTCCTATGAAAGATGACTTGGAGAATGTTTCTACATCGGCTATTTTTACCTTAAATTTGATTTGAATTCCTGACAGTTCTCACTTAAGCGAATAGCTCTGCATATATTTGGAGAGAATTGACTTAATCCAGAAAATGTCCTCCTCCTGCACATTTGTTAAAATATTTCAGTTATGGGAAGCCTCTTTTTTCTCTTAAAAAGTCAGTCAAATTTTACCCATACTAGAGCTGTCCTGACTATGTGAGAAACTGAACTCTTAATTCCGAAAAAAAAAAAATCCTCTTTTTTCAGTTAAACACTCACTACGAAGGTTCTAAAATGCCTCACATAAGTAGGCTCAGTCCAATAACTGTTCCACTGGAAGTTTAAAAAATGGGTTTCCCAGCCAAACAGCTATGCATAGACTTCTAATCATAAATAAGAATTGTACAGTATCTAGAGCCTTTAAAGCAAAAAACACATGGGTGTGTTTAAGAAAAAAGGGATACAAAACAAATGATAAAAATCACTATCTGTGGCTTCAATGCTATGTCTGTCATTTACAAAGTATAATCAAGTCGGCCAGTGAGCTTACAATCAATATGAGATTGTAACGAGTAGGGTGCTGTAACGCTCATCACCATGATGCTAAAACCGTGTAACATGTTCACTGGAGTGGGTGTGGTGTGTGTGTGTGTGTGTGTGTGTGTGTGCGCGCGTCTTTCAGTATCTTTGAAACCATTCCAGTAACAATTCCTTGAACCTTCTCCAGTATATTTATGCCGCAGGATAAATGTCTCCAGAAATGTATTCCAAGTAAGCCTGACCTGGGAGATATTTTTGACAGATCAAAATGGCAACCACTCTTCAGTTTATGCAATTGTTGACTTAAAAAAGGATTACCTTCAGTAAAATCAAGGTTTAAAAATAATAGCTTCTAAGACAACTTTCCCATATTGAGAAGGTCAGCTTGTTTTGAAAGATCACAACAAGAAGTTCAGATAGGATCGTAACAGTTATTGGACTTGCTTACGAGATACTGTTTTGCTGTATAGAATGCTGCAATAGACTACAAGCAGTTAGTACTGTGGAGAGATACAAGAGAAATGTTAAAGACCCCAACGAGAAAATATCAGAATACAGTCAGAATTCACGCGATGGTCACTATCAAGAAAATGCACATTTTACAACAACAAGTAGCAGTACAAATCTCCTTTATAATGACGTCTACCTGCATCATTTCAAAGGTATTAAGAAGTTCTATACATAGTTACATTAAAATGAAGTTGAAGAATGATTGGCTAGATACATCTGACACACACACACACACACACACACACCTTTTAAACCAAAAAGATGCTGTTTCTAAAGGCAGAGCTCAAACATTTGTAAATAGTAGGATTTTATTGCCAGATATAATAATATTTCTACAAAGATTAATACATTCCTGTTTCCTTCATTCTAAATCTGATGACAAGAGAGTCGCCATTGGTAAACAAAGCTGTGTCTGCTTGGGGTGTCCATGAAAAGAAAGCACAATAATGGGGGAACATGCTACCATTGCACTGAACTATCTGTATGTCACGTCTTGCATAATTCTGAAGTCGTGGCAGACTCCAATGTTAGAGAACTACTTAATCTCTCGGTTATTGTGTTGCTCAGAAAGAGGGCTACACAAAAACAAACAAAAATTTCATTATTGGGGCCCCTGCAGAATAGGTTATAACAGAGCCACAGGTGTTACGGAGCAAAAGGATTGGATGCCCTAACAATAAGTTTGGATTAAATTCATCCCATTGTACAGTGCTACGGAATCTGATGGCGCTATATAAATAATAAAATAATACTAATAATGAAGCATACGGTGGGAATATAAATCTCTGTAGCAAGAACAGTCTATCCCCTGCCAAACATTCTTAATCTTAAAATGGATTGCCGAGGTTTTCACCTATGAATATTTATAAAGCATGCTACTGGAGACCTGATTTCAGAGCCAAAATCCATTCACCCCACAGTCAAAAACCTGGCAGATTTTCCTAGTACCACTGTAATTCAGATTTCTGTGTTAACCTGTCCCAGCTTGTTGCATTAAATATCAGTCATATCAGAAACGTGTCTGTTGATGCTGGAAGCATTTTATAGCACAAACGGGTGGACTCCAGAAAGACTAAAACTGCAATAACATTTCCAGGGAGGTATTGTATACACGAAAATAATAGATATGTTGATTTAAGATTAGGTAGGGTTACCATATCCACCACGTTTTCAGGGACAAATATCACGCATACATATTGATGGTCAGCAATGGAAAGGGTTGCCCTGCAGTATGTAGAATTCAGAAGGTGTATAAGATTAAGTAATTGGGCAATGACAAATCATGTAGAATATGCATTATATATACTGCAAGGCAACCCTTTTCACACTTTTTTTATAGATATGACAAAATCAAGTGTGTCGCTAAAAACATGCTGGATTTGGTAACCCTAAGACTAGGTCAACAAACATGTGGAGATGTTGTGGCTCATTGAACATTCCAAGGCAGGTGTCCACCAAGAGCTGGTGGGTCATCTTGCATTCCCTTGGCGGAGGACAATAGCTGGGAAAATAAAGCAAGGATGAAATAAAGCAGATGAAAGACAGAAAGCCTCTGGAGACTCAATGTCTTGACTTGTCTTCAAGTCCTAAGACTTCAGCCTGGGGCATTGAATCAGATTACAGAAATCTTCACAGTGCTAGTCCAACTAAGTGATGGATGACTTGCTGCAACTGGCAAAGGAAGCACATTCCCAAAAGATTTGGAATATTGATGATTTGTGGGGGTTTCAAAGAAATCGATGGCAATGGGTCCAAAGTGGGCTCATCTTGACTCATGCTTTTATCTAGTAATAACTCTAATGCTAAACTGTGTCTGGCCATAAATTGTCCAACAAATCAAAGCATTACGATCAAGTATTACAAATATAAATTCATTGTATCAAATAAAACTGATAGAACATAGCTCAGAGAAGGCTTCCACAAAAGTTTAAATTCCAAAATAGAGTATCATATAAACATGATTTATTATTTGGTTTGAAGTTACATAGTCAATATAATTAATTTGCTATCCAATAAATCAAAATTTAGTTAAAAAACACAGAACAACGTTATAGAGTTTAAATTTTAATATGCACAAACCTTAGCGCCAACCATAAATGATATATTTGGCAAACTTTCAGATGTTGGCATTTCTTATTGCCTTTGAGAATTCTAGCCCATCAAACCCCTAACAAAAAGCACTAAAATATGAAATCACCAATACGTTTACTCATCTGCCTTATTGAATACTATCATATACTCATCCTCCGAACACAAAGCAAGTTCAAATGAAAAATAAAAATATAAAAAACGAAAAGAAAAAAAAAAAGTATTAATATTCACATTGTGGGAATAAAAATATGATTTTTTTTTTTTAAAGTAGTAGTAATAGTTTATGCTATATTTCCCTGTGGCCACAACCTCATGTTGCTTCATAAAATACAAAAAGTGACCTATTTCTGGCAATTCTGTTTAATAAGTAAATACACAGTCCTCTTTATCTCATCCTCCAGCCCACCTGTTCAGGAGACTGACACAGATCTTAGAATATGGCCGTTTCTACAGCTAAATAAAAAGCCCTTTGTTGCAATGCAAGACAAAAGCCAAACTCTCCTTTCCCCAGCAGATCATAGCAGGCCAGCCTCTGTAAAAACACCTCAGGCAGAACAGTCCCATGCAAAAACATATATCTGCATTTTCACTTCAGTGAGATGGGGTGAGGGGGGATCCCTGAGTTTGGCTCTCATCAGATTAAGTCCAACAGCAGGAGAGAATGATTCAACTGCTTTCCAGCTTCAGCCACCAGATCCCAAAACCAGTATGATCACTTACTTGTCCGTTTCTTGTGACATGTTTGATCCAATGAACTTTCCCTTTATCTTCTAACTCGCTGGAGAAACTGGACTTTCAGGTCTGTGCAGGTAAAGGTGTGTGAAGTGTGGAAGGGAAAAGAGATGGCAGAACTAGAGCTACTGGAAATTCTTCTTTTTTTTTTTTTGGTTCCACCCCTCCCCCCCTTAAGATTTTTTTTTTTTTTTTCCTAGCCCAGCCAGAAAGGTAAGAGGCAGGTAAGGCAGCCACACCTTCTCTCCTCCTCCTGTCCCTCCTTCCTGTCCCCTCCTCAGGTTATAGAGAGCTGTAAAGGTGAGCACTCTCCCCTGCTCTGCGATCACTGTGGGTTCTAGAACATTGGGGTGACTTGGGGCTAATTCAGGTAATAGAACGCTTCACCTGTACTGATACATTCTTTCACTGAATGATAACGATGGTGCAATGCTGCAAGCTGATTGGCCGAGAGGAGAGCTTCTCCTATTGGCTGACTTAGCTCAGGTAAGTTCCTCCTCAGACCGGATTTTCAGTTTAGCAGCAAAGTTAGCAGTTCCTGCAACACATGGGATACCTGGCTGACATCATTTCTCATTTTAACACTATACTTATTATTACTTCACACTATAGAAATGTGTATTTACTTTTTATTAGAATAGTGAATACTGGTGTTTGTTTAAGCCAGCAATGTGTTTTTGTTTTTGCCAAAAGCCATATTTATTTCAGAGATAAAGGGACATTTGTAGGTGCTCTGGATTGCCCATTCAGCCATTCTCTGGACTGATAACTGTCCCTGCAATGTTACTGTATGTCAGAGAATTAGTGTGAAACTCTGAATTACAGAATTTATTGGGCTACAAAGTAAGTTTCATTCACTAAACTCCGAACTGCACTAAACTGAAATCCAGATTGCACCATTTTTAGGCTAGAAAGCTGGATATATTTTGAAGCTCCGATATAGTCAGAGCTTGGATATTTTACCCTGTTTTTTTATTTGTTGCTTGCTTGTTAATAAATGGTGTTTGCAATAGTGGTTACAAACTAAAATAAGTGCAGGTTGACGAGTAAATTTAGGTGAGAAATACATAGCGTATTTCAATAAAAACTGCAAAACATTATTCAAAACCAGCTTAAGAGCTTATGATAAAAATATCAACATGTCATTTGATTGAATGGCTGTAGCGATTGGAGATGTACTTTGGATATTTAAATTTTTCTACTAGTTAATAAAACAGACATACAGATTCCAGTTTACCAGTATTGATTGATTGCTGTTATGGTTCCATGGATGTAAATTGCCTGGCTATGTTGGTATTTAAAGAAACAAAGTGGTAGGAGAACAAACGTGCATTCCAAACACCATATTGTCCTAGTCACCATTTAGGAGACTAGGCCCACCCCAGCGAGAGTTAAACGTTAACTTCCTTTTTATCCTGCGCTGCTCTGTCTGTGGCTGGTCCAACCTCCATGGCTCGGCAAATCCAATGCTTTCCTGTAGAAAAATCATTGAGAGCTTAGTGCTCATGAGCGACAAAACACCACGCTGTGCCAATCACAGGTCTCTCTGAGACCATATGATGCAAATAGTGGAGATTTACGCCACTGTTTCCTGGAAGTGTGTCCAGTGGCTGTCTGAGTGACCGCCACTAGAGTCAAGGTAACTCTTCATAGAAAACTTTGCCATTCTGCAGGAATTTTCTGCTGCAGTGTTAATACGGGGTGACATGGCACTCAGACTACTTAATTGAGATGAAGTGGTCATGGTGCTGATAGTGTTCATTGAAATAAAGTTTATGTTTTTAAACATTTTATTTATGCTTTTTTTTTTTTTGTTTGTTTGTTTCCATTTAGGGTCTTACTTATTAAATGATGCGTTAATAACCAACTAGCAAAATCAAAATGAAGACCAATATACAATGTTGAAAAGAAATCCATTTCAACATCGCTTAGTGGCCTGAGTCTGTTTTTTCACTGTTTAGTGAATAGACCCCTATCTATTTTATCATTTCTAGCAGTTTTTTTGTCATGGGCAGTAGTACATGTTATCTCTGTTTACTATCCAGATTAGTGGAAGAAAGAACTGAAGTATAACAAAGTGTCACAATACAGAAATAATTGTGTAATACGATTCCAATCCGTTCAATTGTACAGAGTGCATTATGTTCCCGGAATATCTACTATGTGAGCTGAAATACAATCTTTCATTACTTGTAATGAGACACTATACCTTTAAAAACATAACACCGCATTATGTCAGCCTAGCATGCTTGCCCTCCCCCAACATGTAATCCTAGTACACACCCATCATTCCTTGGGGCTGTCCTGTTTGCTAGTGATTTCTACAGACAGTTTACCTGACAGTAAAAGGTAGAAGGAACTTTGTCAGTATGCACTCTGTAATGCAATCAGTCTTGGCCCAACTTGTGTGAGAACAGCAAACAGGATTAATAACTAGCTCCGGCTACCTCCTGCTGGCACTAGTAAACTCCTTATTCACTTTTGCGTTTTGTTACCAATAGCTATAAGTGAATACTCTGTTAATCTCTATTAGAAATTCCTGATTTATACGCCAAAGGACACAGGCACAGAAGGCACGTTGGTTTTGAGGGCTGACATCTTGGATCACAGTTTTAATAACATGTTTTTTTGTTTTTGTTTTTGGCACATTTAGTAAATGAGATTGGGCCACCAGGTTAGAAAGCTGGAATGTATGAATTCCAAAAAGGGAGTTTTCAAAGTATTACATTAACCATAAAATGTGCGTCATATATAAAACAAAATTAGCATCAGATAAGCAGATATAGTAGGGGTTTCAAGGTTGGTAAAACTGTATAACCTATTTAATATTTCTTTTAAAATACAAATAGAAATTACTTATCCCCATCTGCTAGTGAGTCCAAAATATTGAGCCATTGTTATAGCAAGACTAATACACCTATGCTTATAAGGAAAACTGTGCAATTACAGCCATGTTTAAAATGCTTGTTGTCCTTAAAGTATACAATGCTTTCAGTTTTTCTCAATGGATTCCTTTGACCAGGAATTTATTTTTTATTATTTGTTTTGTTAAAGGGAAACTCCAAGTACTTTAGTCAATAAAGACTGAGTAGTGAGTGCTTGGAGGTTATAGCTGAAGTCCTTGAAATTATTTTCAAGTGGTTTAACCAAATTTGAGTATTCCCCAGCACCGTCAGCCAACACTCAGCAAGAGACATCATAAAGAGAAAGTTCTTATTATCGGTCAAACATATTTGTATAGTGTGGACACTGTGGAACTGGAGAATTAGGCCTTCAACGTTAATCATTTTAATGGAGATTCATCCATGTAACAGCCTTCCATTGCATGGTGTGAACATACAAATTCTAGGACCAATACTGGGAAGTGAAAAGTCTCCTGATGACATCTTAAGGTGAGAGGGCTGGGTCTAAAGTAACAAAACGTAAACACACTACTACACCTAGTTCTGGTAAAGTAAGGTTTAGCTACAAATAAAGCTCTCTGTATAGTGATAAATCCCAAACAAATCATTGGATTACTTATCTGATGACGTTTCCATATTTCATAAAACGTATCTTCTATATTTGGCTTAGAAAATAATTACATTTCCACAAGAAGATGCAAAAATATCCATTGAAAGACGGAAATATACAACTAGGAGATTATGGGCCCAAACTGGAAGATTTAAACCAGGTCTAAACATTTGGAGTCAGATACGGATTGCGACTTTTGATTTTGACTGTTGTCCCTGATACTTTTGTTTATTAATATTTTTTTCATGTGTGTATTTTCTGCTTACAACCTGAGACTCTGATTTGTGTGAAGATCTAGTAGTTATGGTGATGTGCCTGAATACATTTTTAATCCTGTAAGTGCAACAAATGTTTGGTGTCATTTTATTTTGAAAAGATCCAATGTGTCTTTTTCATTTCTCTTCATATATGGTTTACGAATTTATAAAAAAGAAGAGTACCCACATTCATGATTTAAAGGAACACTATAGGGTCAGGAGCACAAACATGTCCCCCTCGCCCCTGAATATAGTAAAACCTTAACTTTATTCTAGTCTGCTGGTGCTGTCTTGGCCCCTGATCTGTCTCCTTGGCTGACATCATCAGAATTGATAATCTCAGCCAATCGCATCAATGCATCTCTATGTGTTAAGTTCAGTGTCTGAATGCAGAGGGTGGAGACACTGAATGTCCCAGGAAGCACCTCAAGTAGCCATCTGAGAAGTGGCCACTGGAAGTATCCATAGGCTGTAATGTAAATACTGCCTTTTCTCTGAAAAGACAAGTGTTTACTGCAAAAATCCTGCAGGACTGATTATACTCACCAGAACAAATGCATTAAGCTGCAGTTGTTCTGGTGACTATTGTGTCCCTTTAAGGGCTTCAAACAAATATGTTTGTGAGTGAATATTAAACCATTCCCTTTCTTTTATGATTTTATACAGTATTACACTATTATAATTTTTGTTTGTAGATTTTGGTGTATTTGCTATTTTCTGAAGACTGGGAGGTGTCTCTTTAGCTACAATTTTAAGCAAAAGGGCAATTATATTATAGTATTTACCCCTTTATCTTTTTACTGTTGTTTTTAAGCATTGGGTGTATATAGTGTGTTTATTCTGTACAGTGACAGTGTATTATTTTGACTATAGAAAACTGCATTGTAACGGAACGCCTGGCACCCCGACTGGGTACCTTCCGTTGATGGATGCTCCAAGCACTCAACCAGACACCATAACCACCGCAGACCCTACGAACTGCCGCAGATTGGTTGGGGTCTCGCCTTCTCCTATCCACCCTGGACCTAGGACAAGGCTCCATGTTTCAGTGGGTGAACTTCTCTTTTCCCAGAGAGTGAAGCAGGAACAAGCTCTTACAAGAGCTTAGTGATTATTCAAGGGAGTATGAAGAGCATAGCAATCCCTTGTAGCAGATTCCCCCAATAAGAGACAGGACTTTAAATTGAGGGTGAAGTAGAACTGGTTTAATGAGCACAAAGGCATTTCCTTTATATACAGTTTTACCCACAAGGTTACCACCCACGTGGACCTTGTGGAGGACAGGACACAAAGTCACAACAGCCAATCAACACAGTATTGTAAAGTTAGACACTCCCAGCTAATGTACACAAACCCTCCACTCTGCCTGTGATACAATTACCAAACACAATGGATTAACTCAATTACCACAGGCAGAAAATATAAATTTTTACCCAAAGTCCAGAAACACCCCAAAACAACAACATATCCCCACAAATCCTGCATCGCTGGATACCCCTGATCTGGGTGAATAACATATCCAAAAATCAAAAGTTTTATGGAAGTCACATTTGACCGACCGCAAGCATGGCTTTCATGCCCAAAATAGTTCCACAGATTTAGACTGTGCGGCCGGTCTATCTTCTCCTCTGTCCTGAAGATAATTGGCTTAACTGGCTTAACCTAATCTCCAGGTACAGGAAATATCTCTAAATCAGAAACTGTTACAAAAAAACATAAAAATACATAACTTATATAATACAATATTTAACCTATATGTCCAACATATCCCCAGATAGCTTGGATCTGAGCGTTTAATATGTCCAATGTTAAAATCCAATATACCCAAATAAAGCCTTTAAAGGGTAATACATCCCAGGGGCCATAGTCACAGGGCAAGAGGCTGGCAAGCAGGACTCTCCAAATCTTCCTGTAGGCAGCTGCTCAAGGCTTCTGCCCTTTCTTGCAGGTAAGTGCTATATATGTCTTCTTTGGTTGTTTTAGCATACATTAGGCAGTGTAGGACCTGCCGAATATGGGGTACATTGGCATTGTGGCAGGCTTATGCAATGTATGTTCATATAATGTAACTAAATCCCCATACTTTTCATATATAGTGCTTAGTTATGTCTCCTCTTGTTTTACCTTGTATCTCTTGTCTTGTTTTATTTTGTCTTGTATTCCCAGTTCATGTACAGTCCTGTCCTGCCCTGTTCTTGTTTTCCTCATGTCTTGTGTACATGGTCTGGGTTCTGCTTTCTGTCCTGCTCCCGTTCTGGGTTCTATTAGTTTTGTCTTGTTTTCTTGTATGGTGCCTATCTCTAGTCTTGCCTTGCTTCTGTACTGGATACACTCTCTTGCTGCAGAGCCTCCTTATTCAGCTCTGGGAGGTCTGCTTAATTTCTGCTCCTAGTTCCTGGGATCCGCTGTAGCTGCATCAGCATTTTGGCTGCACAAACGCTGGTGCTCAACACCAGGGGGCGTGCGGTTACCCAGCACCAGCCCCTGACCTATCCACTCTCATGCTAAAGACTCCCACTTAGCAACAGGCATACTGGGTCCCGGTCCTCGCACCGCCGCCTGGACAGTGTCTGGGTCCCGGGCACCGGACCGCCACCCTGACAGATGGAACATGGACAATTAAACATTCCATGATCACCCACATTTCATGAGTCCAGAAGAAGCCTGTGTTAGGTTATACATGACAGAACATGGATTAATTATCCATATATAGTAGAATTCCATGTGCACCGTTTCTCTCTGGATAGAACACTCTTTTTGCAGGATAGACCTGCAGCCGTCACGAAATGGGAGGACTCTGAACTACCGAATCTGATAAAATCCTTTGAGCTCAGCAGACACAGTCCGGATAATGGAAATGACAATAAGTTGCAGAGTTAGTGGAGAACCATAACTATCTCTGCTTCTATGTTATTTATTGTACACGTTTACAGTTAGGATATGGTTTTGACACTTTATAACGTAGACAAATTATGTGCTATCTGGTGGCAACTGGAAAAACCATCTTGCAAAAAACAGTCTAGTAGACTGCAATTATTAAGCTATACCACTCCCATCTGTAGGCAACGCTAGTAAGCCCCAAACAAAATCTTTTATACATATGAATATAAGCAATTTAATTGGTAAAAATGGTAAAACAATGCAGAGAAGAACATTGTGCATGAAAATATTGACCTCTTCATTCATTCTTATTCTTAAAATAGATAAATTACATTACCCTGAAAGTGCAGGTACAATTGTTCATTTGTTACGCACAGTTTCTGCTCAGTCTATTTGTGGGTCTAAGCGAATCTAGTAGTTTGATTTTTAATCACAGAATATTTGGCCCTAGTTCAGGATAGTTTCAGTCTGTTTGGGGCTTCAGGGTAAATATGGAGAGACTTCAGTTTAGTGCTAATTCGGATATATTTAAGAGATGGGAATGATGAATTTTGAACGTTTAGTGTATGTTTGAGTTCCACTAATGCAGAACAGCTCTGAATTAGTCATGTAGAACATAGTAAATTATTATTAAACTGACAACAAAATTTTTGGAGCCGCTATTTCTAAAACTCCTGTTATTCACCAAAAGTAAGTAAGGATAACACAGTGGAAGCAAACAAATGTTGTGGCTGAACAAGCAGTAACTGACAATTAAAGCCTCAAGAGCTGACCCTTGTGCCTTCACCAGTAAATTTATGACACTCTATGTAAGAGCCGCCTGTATCAAGATGCTTCCTTGAATTACTTTTTAACAAAGTGTCAAAGCTTGTAGGCACTTAACATGATGGTTTCAATGCAGTAGGCATGCTAATAGACTTCTGATTACACTCACTGCATCTAATTGCTTTGTGGGTGATTTGTTCAGGTTAAATAAAGTTTGCTATTGGTTCCATATGTATGCATATGTCTGCTGTTTGTACCTGTTCTCACATTTCAATTGAAAATGTTTACTCATAAGATCGTAGATTTACATACTTTTCATTTTGAATGTATTTCTCTTTTATATCTCAATCATTCTAAATTGAGAAATGGCTCTGTCTATCTACACTGAACAAAATTGTAAACGCAACACTTTTGTTTCCCCCCATTTTTCATGAGCTGAACTCAAAGATCTAAGACTTTTTTTTTTTTTCTATGTACACAAAAGGCCTATTTCTCTCAAATCTGTCTAAATCTGTGACAGTGAGCACTTCTCCTTTGCCGAGATAATCCATCCACCTCACAGGTGTGGCATATCAAGATGCTGATTAGACAGCATGATTATTGCACAGGTGTGCCTTAGGCTGGGCACAATAAAAGGCCACTCTAAATGTGCAGTTTTATCACACAGAACAATGCCACAGATGTTGCAAGTTTTGAGGGAGTGTGCAATTGGCATGCTGACTGCAGGAATGTCCACCTGACATAGATATATCCCGGTTTTCACTGTACAGGGCAGATGGTAGACAGCGTGTATGGCGTTGTGTGGGTGAGCGGTTTGCTGATGTCAACGTTGTGAGACAAGTGGCCCATGGTACGGTTATGGTATGGGCAGGTGTCCGTTATGGACAACGAACACAGCTGCATTTTATTGATGGCATTTTGAATGCACAGAGACACTGTGAAGAGATCCTGATGCCCATTGTTGTTCCATTCATCCACGACCATCACCTCATGTTGCAGCATAATGCACGGCCCCATGTTGAATGTACACAATTCCTGGAAGCTGAAAACATCCCAGTTCTTGCATGGCCAGCATACTCACTGGACATGTCACCCATTGAGCATGTTTGGGATGCTTTGGATCGGCGTATACGACAGCGTGAGCCAAGTCCTGCCAATATCCAGCAATTTCGCACAGCCATTGAAGTGGCGTGGATCAACATTCCACAGGCCACAATAAACAACCTGTGAAGGAGATGTGTTGCACTGCGTGAGGCAAACCAGATACTCACCAGATACTGAAAGGCTTTTGGACCCAACTCCCCCTCCCCCCCCGCATTCCCCCAATACAGTAAAACTGCACATTTTATAGTGGCCTTTTATTGTGGCCAGCTTAAGGCACACCTGTGCAATAATCATGCTGTCTAATCCGCATCTTGATATGCCACACCTGTGAGGTGGATGGATTATCTCGACAAAGGAGAAGTGCTCACTAACACAGATTTAGACAGATTTGTGAACAATATTTGAGAAATAGGCCTTTTGTGTACATAGAAAAAGTCTTAGATCTTTGAGTTCAGCTCATGAAAAATGGGGGCAAAAACAAAAGTGTTGCGTTTATAATTTTGTTCAGTGTATGTATCTATCAGTATGAAGTCTTATGATGAGAAAAATCTGTACCAAGTAATCTATTACTATCTAAAACACCTTAATTTACAAAGTGTTTTTTTTTTTTTTTAAACTTTGCATAAATGTAGATTAATGAACCAGTTTTGTGGTATAGATCATGTCCCTGCAGTTTCACTGCTCAATTCTCTGCCATTTAGGAGTTAAATAACTTTCTATATACAGCCATAGCCACACCTCTCTTCATGTAAGTGCACAGCCTTCCTAAACACTTCCTGTAAAGTGAGATCTAATGTTCACACTTTCTTTATTGCAAGTTCTGTTTAAATTAGAATTTCTTATATCCTGCACTGTTAGTAGCTTGCTAGACCATACAGGAGCCTCTGTATGTGACTTAAGTTAAATTTACAGAGCAGGAGATAATGTGTGATTGAAAATGAAACCATTTTTCCATGCAGGCTGTGTCAGTCACAGCCAAAGGAGGTGTACCTAGGAGTGCATAAACAGAAACAAAGGTGATTAAACTCCTAAATGGCAGAGAATTGAGCAGTGAGACTTGAGAAGCATGAGCTATATACTAAAACTGCTTCATTAAGGTACATTTGTTTTGTTGACTATAGTGTCCCTTTAAGGTACAACCTCTTAAAGAATTTATAATTCAGACTAGGTTGTCAAATTTAAGAAGTTAGGGTTATATATATTCCAGAACTCTGGTTTTAATAGATACTCTGCCGCTGCTGCCCAATGCTGAAACATCTTTGCTGTACGATAAGTAATAAGTTAAAGATGACTGCGAGGGTCATCACAGTCTTCTCATGGATTACGTGCATGTTCCTTTAATGGCCCTTTGTAGTGGTGCTGTGGACAGGGAATCCTAATAACAAGCAGATCCATCACTTCGGGAGATAGGATAGGAGATAGGAAGAGAAAAGTTTTATTTATTTATTTATTTTCTTACCTCCACCCTCCTTTAACCCCTTAAGGACCAAACTTGTGGAATAAAAGGGAATCATAACATGTCACACATGTCATGTGTCCTTAAGGAGTTAAAGGCTTTACTGCCTATTATTATTCTTATTATTATTTTTTTTATGATATTGTGGTTGGCTTTCTCACTATATTCTTCCTCATTCCCATTTGCAGTTCTGCAGATGACCGGGTATATTACAGCAAGCACTTTGTCAGAGGTTACCTCTCCTTACCGGACTAAATCTGGATTCAGCCACCTTTATCTGATTGTTTCTCCTATAAACTCCATTTAGTTTTTTCGGGCTCAGTCTGTTACCTTTGTTCAATCTTGTTTTTCACACATTTAAGTCACTGAGTCCTCTCTAACACATTTATTTGTTGAAATAAAAATTCAATGTGAATTCAAAGTGAATTTCAAATTTAAGGTCAAAACATCCGAACTAGAACAATTCTGTAACACATCTATGCTTTCTCTCTGATTGCTTTGGTGTTTAAAGGAACACTATAGTGTCAGGAATAGAAATCTGTGTAGCTGTAATAACATATTTTAGGTGATCAGCACTCCTGTAATTGATTCCACCCTTCTGTGACGTCATTTACATCATGACGTCACTGTGTATGCCTCACGTCATAAAAGGGGGTGAAGTTACAGCACCCTGCGTCCAAAAAGCTGGTAAAAGAATCAGAGGTGCAGGGAAGATTGGTACCTCCCGCCAATGTTACATGGGTGCCCAGAGGAGACCGCACAAGAGATACCCTATCACACACCCCACAATCTCATAAAAACGATGACCATTATTGCAAATTAAATTTGTTTAAACAAATCCAAGAAAATGAGGTCTGCGCAACCAGATTAGGTGTGCACACCATGGCGCTACCAATCTTGTATTGAAGGACAGCGTTATGTAGTAAACATTTCGGGTACAAGTCCTTTGTCAATGCATGTGTTCCTTTAAGGGCCTTATGGGAGTAACCGTGCTGCTGGTTACATTTGTTTAATACGGAATACATTTCTAGCTGTCCTGTTGTAGATGCTTCTTTACATAATTTGAGGAATAGAGCTCATTTTATTTTGTGAGCATGTAACATATCAATTTTGTTCTTTCTAGATCTGGTTACTTCCTTTTTACAATATGCTCCGTCACTTCCCCATGATGTGTATTTTTTTTTTTTTTTTTTTAAAGGACTACGTGGAATCAAAAACACAGAACTCTATTAAAATTCTCTAAAGGAGAGACAAAACATTTCTGCAAACAACAATGTAGCACACCTTGTTAATCAATATCAGTAATACAAAATGTGTTCGCTGTTATTCGAGTTACTATATGAATAGTTGGCAATCAATCATGTGGATAAAAATAATACATTTGTAAAATATTAACACAAGAATCCAGCCACCGAAAACATGGTAACATATATCGTGATAGATTTAAAGGGACACTCTCTAAAGACTATCATTACAGCTTTGTGTCTGCTTATCATTAACATTTTATTGTGATTCGTGGACTGTGGTTGTTATGGTGCTTAGAGTATGCTTTTCATTCTTTTTTTTTGTTTGTTTTTTCATTTAACAAAGTTTGAGTGGGAAAAAAAGTGCATTCATGTTAAATGGCCGTGAGAGATGGATTGTTTTTTTTATTGGAGAGTAGAGTTACTGGTGGTGGGCTTAGCAGTTGCTCCTCTCAGTTACAGGCAAAATCTTTTGGTTTGCCCATAACAATGTATTTTTTTTTATACATCCTTTGATCATTTGGGGATGAGATGTGGGAAGAGCCTGAACATTTTAAATTTTTATTTTTTATTTTTTTGGCTAAATCAACCTCTGATTCTAATACATTCTATCTATATTAGTTCTAAGTATAGCAATATACTGTGGTAGAGGCATTAAGAGCAATGTCCCATCAGATAAGTCCTGCTAGGCTCTTTATTGTATTAGCAAACACCGTTTGTAGTCTCTGAGAATATTTTTGATGAGACTGAAGTTATTCCTTTTCTCGGTTTTTGTGTATTTAAATTTTTTTTTTTTTCCCCCTCTATTACAATGTGTGTTTTATTTTATTCCTACGCTTCTGCAATGTAACAGTTTTATTGGTTTTGTACTTTGTTATACTTGTAAAAAAATATTGTAAATAAAGAGCTTTTAAAAAAAACTTTGGCAATATGTCTTTAAGTGAAAACTTGTGTTCATAAGAGAGGCAGATCGAAAATAGACACTTCTGTGTGAGCTACTGAGCATTTCAGCGTTTATGGTTATTTTGGTAAAACACCCAGTCTGAGAATTTCATGGTTTTTAAAAGTTGGCTAATTTTTAAAGTTGCAGTTTACACATGCTCAGTGTGATCCTTGAGCTGATGTGTGATGTCAGCCATTCGCGTATACTTGTTATGTTGAATCTTGGAGACCAAAGTATGGAGCAAGTTCAGTAGCTCTCTACATCAACATCCTTCTCCCGTCTACATCAGACTGAGTGGCTCTGAAACGTCATCCTTTTATTTTATGGTGTTGAACAGGGTTACATGGGCAGAATTCAACCAGGCAGAGGTGAGATTTATAGTAATCTAAATTCACTTAAGCAGCACTCAAACCCTTTTCTTCCTATGTACCCAACTCATTTTGTTACAAATACATGTCTGTTAGTCCTCCTGTTGTACAACGTTGGAGAATTTGTTGGAGCTTTATAAATAATAATAATAATAATAATAGCAACAGATTATGCACTAGGAGGTGACTCTTGAAAATTTCACAGGTCACTACAGATGGTAAATACTAATGCAACTAAATTCCAAAAGGTGTGGCAGGCAAGCAATGCAAGTTAAAATGATCATTTTAGATTTAGCATCTCTGGAAGAAGACACAAAAAAGCAATAAGAACATTTACAGTGTTGGAGCCTTGTCAATCAATGACATTCAGTAAAGGTCTAAGTTAGTTCTCTTCAAGTACTCAAGACTAGAGATGTCGCGAGCTGTTCGCGGCGAACTCCGGTCAGCTGACACGTCCCGGCCAATCTCCAGCAGACCCTCCCTCCCAGACCCTCCTACTTCCTGGACAGCATCCATGTTGAAACATTATCTCCAGCATGTTGAAACATGGATGCTGTCCAGGAAGTAGGAGGGTCTGCTGGAGATTGGCCGGGACGTGTCAGCTGACCGCAGTTCGCCGCGAACAGCTCGTGGCGAACCGCGGCGAACCGTTCGCGAGAAGTTCGCGGACGGTTCGCGACATCTCTACTCAAGACTCTCTTTGTGATTTTCTACATATTTGATGGGAAATCATGCTGCCACTGCCATTTTGTGAGATCGTCCAAAAAAGTCCGTTTTGTATTCCCAAGCATATGCAAGGTACAACAAGCAGACATACACTAGAATTCAGAAGACACATGAATTTAAATGATCATATTTTTACCCTGGGCTTTCTTACTCAACATATTTGTTACTTATACAAAAAATATGTTTAAAAAAACAAACCAAAAAAACCCCAAATCTTTGCATTCCATCAGTATGCTATTTAACCAGATGGTCTGTAACTATATAACAAAGAAATGCTGAGTAACACGTAATCTGAATAAACAAATATTTTGTTTTGGTTTTTATCCTTCAGATAATTTGGTTAGAAGCCGCAATGCCATCCATTATCATCATTTCTCTTAGAATCTTGAATACTCCAACCAAAGCTATTGGAAGACGCAGGCTGAAAAAGGGCATCTGCACACTGTTTGCAAATATACAAATTGAAGCATTCACAGCACCACAATTTGCTTATCTCAGCCATCTGTCCCTGGAGGATGATAACAATTGGAGAATAATGGGACATTCTAAGAAAGCTACTGTTGGGTTATGTTATCATGTAGCTGGTTCAAAATTCTGTGCATTAAAGCGACACTCCAGGCACCCAGACCACTTCTGCCCATTGAAGTGGTCTGGGTGCCAACTCCCACTACCCTTAACCCTGCAACTGTAATTATTGCAGTTTTTTATAAACTGCAATAATTACATTGCAGGGTTAACTCCACCTCTAGTGGCTGTCTACTAGACAGCCACTAGAGGGCACTTCCTGGATTATAGCACAGATTTGTGCTAGAGCGTCCTCACGCTGTGTGAGGACCTCCAGCGTTGCTCAATTCCTCATAGGAAAGCATTGAAAAACATTTTCAATGCTTTCCTATGGAGAGCTCTAATGCACATGTGCGGCATTACCGCGCATGCTTATTAGGTCTCCCTGGCCGGCTGGCAGGATCAGTCTCGCCCACCGACCGACGTAATGAAGAGGAGGAGCGGCAGCGGAGGAAAAAGCAGCGACGTGGGACATGTCGCTGCCTCTGGTAAGTGACTGAAGGGGTTTTTACCCCTTCAGCAACCGGGGTTTGGGAGGTGGGAGGGAGAGGGTACCTGCAGTGCCAGGAAAACGGATTGTTTTCCTGGCACTGGAGAGTCCCTTTAAATGACACTAGAATTTAAATTTTTTTTTTATAACAAGCGGTGCATAAAGATAGAGATATATGTAGGATCAGAGCTGTATTAAGCACTGACTTGTAATGTAAGTTTACTCAGTGCTGGTGCAAGGATTTTTGCCGTCCTAGGCAAAGCCTTATTTTGCCACCCCCATTTGTTCAGTCCCCTCCTGTAGTGTGTGTGTGTGTGTGTGTAGTGGGATGCAGGAGAGTGTGTATAGTGGATGAGGTGTACGTGTATAGAGGATGTAGTGTGTTTAATGGATATAGAGTGTTTGTTTAAATCAGTGGTAGTCAACCTTTTTCTACCTACCGCCCACTAATGCATCTTTCTTGATGGAAAAATGTCCTTACCGCCCACCAGTTTTTGTGCAAGTGCAGAATATTTTTTAGAAAGGAGGGTGTTTAAAAAAAAATGTACGTACATTTATCTTTTTATTTCTACTTTATGCATGTTTATAATGTTTTTAACTTTATGAAGTTTAATGAGAAAACAAAGTAAATTGAAATTACCTTTAACTAGTGATTAATGAGATCCTTGAGGTTGATGCTGCGAGACTAAATATTTGATATCTGGTTCGATTTTCCTAAGGAACAAATGAAGGTCTCCTCTTTCGTTGATATTCAGAAGATTTCTCTGTTTGCTCATAATATGATTTCTCATCTGTGCATCAGCTCCCCTCCTCTCCCTCCTCAATTCCCCTCCCCACCTTTTTTTCTCCCTTTTTTCTATTTTTTAACCATCCTTATAGCAATGCCCAGTAGGATGGCTGAGCTAGGTAGCCCACTTACTATTATTAGCCAACAACAATTCTCTCATTTTCCTTTTCCTTCTTTCTCCTTTTTTACAAGTACTCTACTCTTTCTTTCTCCTTTTTACAAGTACTCTGCTCCTTCTTTCTAATTTTTACAAATACTCTGCTCCTTCTTTCTTCTATTCTACAAGTACTCTGCTCACAGACAAACACATACACACACTCACACATACACTTAGACACACACACATACACTTACAGACACACACACTCACAGAGAAACACATACACACAGACAAACATACACATACACTTACAGATACACACATACACATACAGTTACAGACACACACACTCACAGACACACACATACACTTACAGACACACACTCACAGAGAAACACATACACACAGACAAACATACATATACACTTACAGATACACACTCACACATACAGTTACAGACACACACACTCACAGACACACACATACACTTACAGACACACACACTCACAGAGAAACACATACACTTACAGACACATACACACAAACATACACACACTCACACACTTACAGACACACACACATATACTTACAGACACACACATACACACTCACACATACACTTACAGACACACAAATTATTAATATTAAATGTCCACCCAGTCTCCCTACCTGGAGAGCTGGTGTGGAAGTGTCCATGAGGTCCAGTGGGGCTTCACTGCGGCGTGCGGTATGTTGAATGCAGATTGTATGTTTGTGTAATGGATGCAGTGTGTGTAGCGTTTGTGCGTAGTGGATGTAGTGTGAAGTGGATAAAGTGTGTAAAGTGCAAGGTGGCAGTGTGTAAAGTAGCAGTATGTATAGTGTAAAGTGGCAGGGTGTACAGTGGAAGGTAGCAGTGTGTAAAGTGGCAGTGTGTATAGTGCAAGGTGGTAGAGTGACGTGAGCAGTGGCAGTGTGTATAGTGTAATGAGGTACCTGGTTATGAGTCAGGATGAAATGGATGAGCTGAGAGGAAGCGGTATAGCATGTGGTGAGAAGGGGCCCAGTCAGTACCATCTTGTCTCTCCAGCTGCTTCTTACTGCAACTCTTGCGAGAATGGCTTGCGTGCCGTGCAGAGCATTGCCTGATTAACCTGTGGCAATGCTCTGAGGGCTGTGGGGCTTGGGTTGTTTGGAGTGATGAGCAGCTGGAAAGAGAAGATAGCGTTTACTGGGCCCCCTGTTGTCACCCCCTGATGGTGGCCCTGATTGGGGACATCAGTTATTATATTATGAGTTTATGGGGACAGCATCAACTTTATTAAACCATCAACAAAATAAAATTAATGCTGTCCCCATAACCTCATAATAAAATAATTGATGTGCCCTAATCTCAGGTCCTGAGATTAGGGGACATCATATATTTGATTATGAAGTCAGCATCAACTAATTTTTGAGGTTAGGCCATAACGAAGTTTATGCAGCCCCCCCACAACTCTAAATAAAGTTGATTGTGTCTCCTAGCCTGTAGTTACAAGGGGCATGTATGTTAATTAAATAAATAAATAGGTACAGTACCTTGTTCACCCAGCCAATACTCCTGATCCCTTCCTTACTGGGCTTGTTCAGGGTTGGGTCAGCAACAGGGCAGGGAGGGTCTGCACTCCCCCTCCTCTTCCTCCTCTTCTTTCCATTCTAACAGATGGAGATGGGAGAAGCAATGGGAGGGGGGCGGAGTCATGTGCATTGAAAGACAGGGCACCCAGCTAAATTAAATTCCAGCTCCTCCTTGCAAGATGGAGGAGCTAGAGTGAGTGGCACCACCAAGGTTTAAAATGCAGCCACCTGGCATGCAAACTTGGCGCTGCAATTAGATTTCTGACACTCTCTTGAATCCTATTTTCAGAGCAGTGCCCGCACTCCCCTCTTCATAGTGCTGCGTGCAGCTTGCTAGCGATGAGGGATATGTACAAACGCCGTGCGCAGGGGTGCAGTCAGGCGGCCGTGTCGCACCTTCCAAATGTGCGCCATAGGCCGGCGCCTAATTTGCCTATAGGTGACGCCGACCCTGAGTTTACTCATGTGAGGACATTGAGAATAATTGACTTAAATGATTTGACCACATTTTTAGTCAAGACACATCTATATATGTATAACAAGTCTCTTTCATTTTAACCAAAACAGTTTATCTGACCATGCTGTTGGAGTTGGTTTGAAACAAAATGTGTCCAACTGTTCGGAGAGAGCCATTTTGTCAAACCTGGCGGACCACTCAGTACCAAGCTGGTGTGCAAATGATACAGGACAATGTGTAGAGTTTTGATATAAAATTCAGAAGAGTAAACAAAGGATATGAATGATAAATAAACTTTTAAGGTACTACCCCCAGGGCCGGATTAACATAGGGGCTGATGGATTTGCAGCTCCAGGCCCATGGAATAGGCCCATTGATTTTTATTTTTTTTACACACTACTATTAGGGTTGCCACCTGGCCGGTATTAATTTGAGGCTGCAGTAATACCGGTAATATAAATGTCGATATTTTTCTCTGTATAACGGAGATTACTCTGCAATACCAGCACCGGCCAGTAGGGGTGGCTGTGTGAGTGCTGAGAGGCAGAGATAGGAAGTTACAGCGTATTTCTGCATCTCTGTCCCCAAGTGTCTGTTTCTCTATGTCTCCCAGCCAGTGTCCCTGGTGTTTCAGTGTTCTCATGTCTCTCAGTGTCCCTAGTGTTTCAGTGTTCCCATGTCTCCCAGTGTCCCTAGTGTCTCAGTGTGCACATGTCTCTCAGTGTCCCCATGTCTCTCAGTGTCCCCTAGTGATATGGGGACACTGAGAGACATGGGGACACAGACACTAAGGGATACCGGGACACTAGGAGACAGGGAGACACTGGGAGCAATCCATCTATACATCAGAATCAAACTGTAAGTAGTTTTTTGGTGATTTTACAGAATTTTCTCTTGTCACTCCTTAAGAGGAATGTATGGGAACAAAACTTGTGTGGACTGGCTGACAATGATATTAGTAATGGTAATGCTGACTTTGGTCTCTCTAACACTGTGGCATGTTCACTTTCTTCTACACACACTACATCCACCTTTTCTCTGTCTCAGACTGTTTACCAGGAGCTTCTACCTGCTAGTAAGAAGGTAAGGAGACAAGTGGACATGTGAGTGCTAAGGGACAGTCCTTAGAAAGCACGGAACAAGTGCATCATTAGACGCATTTATGCCAAGCTCAAGATGCTGTTGGCCAGCATGCATGATTGGCAGGCAGCCTGACATGCATTCATGCCAGGCTAGCCTTCCAATTATTTGGGCAGACATGCCCCCTTTTTGGGCATGTTCGTCCTTTTCCGGCTTTCTGGTTACAAGATCCGTGTCAGTGGCCCATCCTTTTACACCGCCTACTGACTTCCTGCTTCACTGGACACTGCTGTTATGGGATATGGATTTACTTAAAAGATGAAAGCATGAATTAGAGAGAGATTAGCATATTTTAAGAGAATCTGAGTTTTCTTATAGCTGCATCCTGTGAGTTTCCCTCTGGCAACATCTCCACCAGATACATAACGCTTGGGAGGTATGACTGTTTTAGTGTATTTGGTCGATAAGATTCTGTACTTAGGCCCCTCATAATTGTCAGCACCAGACTCACTGGGCTCTTAATCTGGCCCTGACTACCCCAACACTTAAGCAAGAGGCTACTAAAACATAAATATATAAAACATGTATTACTGTGCCTTACAGTGGCCAGGTATAATGTAAGGATGACAGAATGTAGTACTGAAAGAAAATAAGGATAATTAGAAACCTGCCAAAGTCAAGGATAGGAGAAGGTAATAAATGTGTACACAAAACCAAGGTCATGGATTCCAGAGATGAGTAGTCAAATAAAATAGCCAAGCCAAAACCAGAAAACACATTGCATACTAGAACGCACTCTCAGGCTACTAAGGCCATGACGGGGCAAGGAAGTGATGTCCATGAATGATTTATATAGGCTCATGTGTGTATTAATTGTTTTTGGAATAATTAGGATGATTGACAATAAGTGGATAAAGGTATATAGCCCACATCCATTTTGGACTATTCTGTAACTTTTAACTAGGGTGGAACCAAACATTCCACAGCATAGATTCGTCCTACGTCAACCCGCACTCATTCGATGTTGCCCGAATGCTGGGATATGGTGCATAGAAAATCAGCCGAAAGAAGAGGAATGCTCTTACATGTGCTGCATTGGCCAAACGAAGGGTGTAGCAAGAGCCTAGTGGAGGTATGAAGATATTAGCATTAATCAGCATAGTTTTATGAAACATAGGTCATGTCAAACTAACCTAATTGCATTCTACGAAGAAGTAAGTAGAAGTATAGATCAGGGTGTTGCAGTGGATGTGATCTACTCGTGTCATGGAGTAACACTTCCGGGTTCGGCACTCAACTGTGAGGAGCCGGACCCTGCCCCCCTCTGACACAGCTCTGACGGTATTTAGGGAGACTGGGCCAGAGAGAGGGTGCTTGGTGATTGTGTGTGAGCTAATGTGTGTGAGCTGCCACCGCGGGCTCCACAGGCTCTTCCACCAGTCTTACCTCTCCACAAGCTCAGACAAGCCGTTCCAGCCTTTGAGCCAATGCAAGGATTGCTGCATGCCATAAAGGATTACTGGAGAACGGATACTTTGCTACTTTATAAGTGGACCATATCTCTGAACTATTGGAGGACTACACATATTAACCTTAAGTATATCTTTTAGCTATTTGTCTACAATATCATTTAATAATGAACTAATGCTTGCTTACTCAAATCTTCACTGCTTCAAGCTACTAATTATATGGAGGACAACTCCCATCATGTTTATTCACTATGAACTGTTTCTTGCTTTGCAAAGACACTCAATGCGTCAAGCTACTAATTATATGGGGGACAACTCCCATCATGCTTATTTACTATGAGCTGTTTCTTGCTTTGCAAAGACACTCAATGCTTCAAGCTACTAATTATATGGAGGACAACTCCCATCATGCTTATTCACTATGAACTGTTTCTTGCTCTGCAAATATTCTCAGCTACTTGCTTATTGTTTCATTGAAGATTATTCTCATGAACGTATAGAATGTTACTTAATGCATCTCTGAGGAAATACTTATTAATGAACTTTGTGTTGATTATTTGCACGTCTTCTTATTGGATTATTGCCTAAATGCAATTCATTTAAGTTTAACACTTATTAAAACTTCGGTTGAACCAAGTTACCAGTGATTCTCTCTTTTCTTAAAGCTACAGTATTGATACTTTAAAGATTCTCCGTTTCTTCACTATTGTAATTAGGGAGTTTTACAAGCTGCAGTTGAGTTCCAATCCAAATCACCCCAAGTAGCGTAACAGAATCACCAAGCCTAAAAATGGAACCAGCAGAAGTGAATTCCCAAATTACCTCTTTAACCCATAGAGTTGAAATACTCACACAAGGCATGCAGGAATTGCAAATTGCTAATTAGAGACTTCTTTCTTATATTAGAGAAATGCAAAATAAAGTTACACATTTTTCAAGTGACCCTGCTGTCTGCAACCCTGAAAAATTTTATGGAGATCGCTCTAAATATAGAGAATTTTTGAATTCATGCAAATTGTTGTTTACTCTGAAACCCAGGGCTTATCCCACAGACAGGAATAAGGTCTGTTTAATGATTTCCTGTTTAAGAGGTGAACCCATGTCCTGGGCACATTCACTTCTGGAAAATGAAGATCCTATTTTGGATTCTTTAGATAATTTTATTGAAGCAAATTCACTACTTTATGAGGACCCTAATAAACAAGCTACAGCTGATCTTACTATTAGATTATTACAACAAAGAAATCGTCCTGTTGAAGATTATATAGCTGAATTTAAAAGATGGGCTTCAGAAACCCAACGGATTGATATAGTTCTACGTAATCAGTTCCGTTTAGGATTGTCTGAAACAGTTAAAGATGAACTATCTAGAACTAACCTTCCTCCTACGCTTGATACATTAATTCAACTCTCTATCAGTATAGATAGAAGAATCAGAGAACGTAAAGCTTAAAAGGCTCTCTATAATTCATTTTGGAGAAAACCTAATCAACCTTTGCGCATGCCTAATAAACCCTTGCAACCAAGTGAACCTATGAAAGTTGGGTTTATTAGGGGACCTTTGTCTATTGATGAAAAAACAAGAAGAAGAAATTTAAATCTCTGTATGTACTGCGCTTCTAAGGAACATCTTTTACAAGAATGTCCTCTACTAAAACGCGCTAAGGGAGGAAAGCTTAAAATGAATACCTCAATTCTGAAAATTCTTCCCTCTTCCTGCTCTCATCAGTTTCCTGTACCTTTAATTCTACAGTGGGACAAAGAAAGAATCAAGACTGAAGCTATTATTGACTCTGGAGCTACGGGGATATTCATAGATTCTTCGTTTGTTGAAACCAATAAAATTCCATTCATGAAAAAAGCATCTTTTATCTCCATCAGAGTTATTGATGGATCTTTAATCCCCTCTGGTTCTATAAAACATGAAACTATTCCTATCAGGACAATTGTCAATAATAACAATTCAGCATTTCTTGTTTTTGATATAATAAAATCTCCTCTTTTTCCAATCATCTTGGGTATCAACTGGTTACAAACTCATAACCCCTTCATTCGTTGGGCTCCCTTCTCTCTCACCTTTGACTCAGAATATTGTAAGGAAAATTGTCTCCCACAGATTCCTATATTTCAATTAAGTCAAGAAACCTCAATACCAGAACAATATTCAGATTATTCCGATGTGTTTAGTAAAAAAGAAGCTGAAACTCTCCCTCCTCATAGAATTTATGATTGTCCTATTGATCTTATTCCTGGTGCTCCTATTCCCTTTGGTCACATCTATCCACTTTCTGAAAAAGAATTGGGAACTCTTAAAGAGTACCTTGATGAAAATCTCCGTAAAGGATTCATACGTCCTTCTACATCTCCTGTTGCCTCAGGGATCTTTTTTGTAAGAATCAAAGATCAAACTATACGTCCTATAATTGATTACCGTGCTTTAAATAAAATTACATTAAAAACCGCTACTCTCGACCTTTGATTTCTGAATTAATTGAAAGATTACGCACGGCAACTATTTTTACTAAACTTGATCTCCGAGGAGCTTATAACCTAATTAGGATCAAAAAGGATGATGAATGGAAGACTGCTTTCCGTACCAGATATGGCCTGTTTGAATATTTGGTTATGCCATTTGGACTCTGTAATGCTCCGGCTACTTTCCAACACTTTATTAATGATATTTTCAGAGACCTCTTGGACACTTGTGTCATTATCTGTCTAGATGATATATTAATTTATTATGATAACCTTAAAGATCATAGGAAACATGTATGCTCGGTGTTATCCCGATTAAGAATTCACAAACTATATGCCAAACCAGAAAAAATTTTATTTGAAGTTAAAGAACTCAGTTTTCTTGGTTATATTATTTCGCCTCACTCAATAAGAATGGATGATTCCAAAATAAAATGCATTCTCGACTGGCCTCCACCTTCATCCATCAAAGATGTCCAGAGATTTCTTGCTTTTGCAATTTTTTACAGGACGTTTATCAAGAATTTCTCTGAAGTAGCCCATTCTCTCCATGCCCTTACCGGAAACAAACATCCCTTTAAGTGGAATAACCATGCACAAGACGCTTTTGATAATTAAAAAAACAGATTTACCGTGTTTCTCCGAAAATAAGACCGGGTCTTATATTAATTTTAGTCACAAAAAACACACTAGGGCTTATTTTCAGGGTAGGGCTTAGAGCCAGTCTGTCAGCCGGTGTCCGCGGTGTGTAACCCCCCCAGAGACCCTCCCCCTCCCTGTAATATTCACCCCTCCCTCCCTCCCTGTAATACTCTCCCCCCTCCCTGTAATACTCTCCCCCCTCCCTGTAATATTACCCCCCCTCCCTCCCTGTAATACTCTCCCCCCTCCCTCCTTGTAATATTATCCCCCCTCCCTCCTGTAATACTCTCCCCTCCCTCCCTGTAATATTATCCCCCTCCCTGTAATACTCCCCCACCCTCCCTCCAATCTTCTCCTCACCTCCTGTAGCGTGGCCGAGCTCCTCTCCGGTCCGCGACCCGGCCGGACTGACAGGAAGTGCACACCCATTGCCGGCCCTGCCTAGGTCTTATTTTCGGGGTAGGGCTTATATTGCAGCCCACCCCGATAATCCAGCTAGGGCTTATTTTTGGGGTAGGGCTTATTTTCGGGGAAACACGGTACAACTGCTCCTGTTCTACACCTTCCAAATCCTTCATATCCTTATGTCCTAGAAGAACATGCATCTGAAAATGCTATTGGAACAGTTCTTTCTCAGCAAAAGACACCTCAAGATTCTCTCCATCCTGTCGCTTTTCTCTCAAGATCCTTAACCTCAGCAGAAAAGAACTATCCTGTTGGAGAAAAAGAATTGTTAGGCATTAAAGTAGCTTTTGAGAATTGGCGTCAACTTCTAGAAGGAAATGAAATTCATATCATTGTTTACACCGACCACAGGAATCTTGAATACCTGCATTCAAATAAAACGTTGTCTTCCAGACAAATAAGATGGAACCTTTTCTTTGATTGGTTCAATTTTCAAATAGTTTATAGACCTGGATCTCGTAACAAAAAAGCTGATGCTCTCTCCAGAATTCCTTTAATCCTGCTTCAGAAAAGAAAACCTTTTCAATATTATCAAACAATAAAATAATTGGACTTACAACTACTATATTGGATGAACTGAAACAATTATCTCACAAGGAACGTGAACTACCTTCTACTCCTAAATTGTTCAAAAAAGATGGAATCTTTTATTTCAAAAATAGAATCTACATTCCTCCAAAACTCAGAAAAAAACTCTTAAAATTAATTCATGATTCTCCCCTTGCTGGACATCCCGGAATAAAAAAGACACTTGAACGCTCTACTGGACAATATTGGTGGCCTTGTCAAGACAAAGCCATTGAATCCTATGTGAAGTCTTGCCCAGTATGTCAAAGGTCCAAAGTGGAACGTCACCTTCCTTCATTGTTTAATCAATCAAAGAAAAACCTTGAAAGTTCTATGTCCTTATATAAAAGGAAATATGATATTAAAAGGAGAGCTCCTCCTAAATATAAAATTGGTGACACTGTTTGGTTGTCTTCAAAAAATATTTCTACTAACAGTCCTTCAAAGAAACTAAGTCCTCTTTTCCTTGGACCTTTTCAAATTGAATCCATTATTAATGAAAATGCTGTGAAATTTAAACTTCCTCCTTCACTTAAACTTCATCCTGTTTTTCATGTTTAACTCCTAAAGTCTTTTCTTCCAGACCCCTTCCAAAGGGAGCAATTGTGGAAGCCTGACCCCATTGAAGTACAAGGAGAATTGGAATATGAAAAGATTCTTGACTCCAGACTTCATAGAGGTAACTTAAATACCTTATCAAATGGAAGGGTTATGGAGAAGAAGATAACAGTTGGGAGAATTCCTCTGAAATACATGCATCGAAGTTGATTACTGCCTTTCACAGGAGATACCCTCATAAACCGAGGTAATAGCACCTGGAGAGTGCTCCTTAGGTGGGGGGTCCTGTCATGGAGTAACACTTCCGGGTTCGGCACTCAGCTGTGAGGAGCCGGACCCCGCCCCCCTCTGACACAGCTCTGACGGTATTTAGGGAGACTGGGCCAGAGAGAGGGTGCTTGGTGATTGTGTGTGAGCTAATGTGTGTGAGCTGCCACCGCGGGCTCCACAGGCTCTTCCACCAGTCTTACCTCTCCACAAGCTCAGACAAGCCGTTCCAGCCTTTGAGCCAATGCAAGGATTGCTGCATGCCATAAAGGATTACTGGAGAACGGATACTTTGCTACTTTACAAGTGGACCATATCTCTGAACTATTGGAGGACTACACATATTAACCTTAAGTATATCTTTCAGCTATTTGTCTACAATATCATTTAATAATGAACTAATGCTTGCTTACTCAAATCTTCACTGCTTCAAGCTACTAATTATATGGAGGACAACTCCCATCATGGTTATTCACTATGAACTGTTTCTTGCTCTGCAAATATTCTTAGCTACTTGCTTATTGTTTCATTGAAGATTATTCTCATGAACGTATAGAATGTTACTTAATTCATCTCTGAAGAAATACTTATTAATGAACTTTGTGTTGATTACTTGCACTTCTTCTTATTGGATTATTGCCTAAATGCAATTCATTTAAGTTTAGCACTTATTAAAATTTCGGCTGAACCAAGTTACCAGTGATTCTCTCTTTTCTTAAAGCTACAGTATTGATACTTTAAAGATTCTCCGTTTCTTCACTATTGTAATTAGGGAGTTTTACAAGCTGTAGTTGAGTTCCAATCCAAATCACCCCAAGTAGCGTAACAACTCGGAGAGTTTGCCAAGGCATTTGATATGGTTCCTCACAATAGGTCAGTTTTCAAACTAAAATAAATTGGTCTAGATGAATATTCTTGTTCTTGGGTAGAACATTGGCTTAAGGATAGAGTACAACGAGTTGTCATTAATGGTAAATTTTCATGCTGGACAAAAGTGGTAAGTGGTGTCCTTCAGGGTTCTGTTTTGGAACCACTTCTATTTAACATTTTTATAAATGATCTTGAAATAGGCATTGAAAGCCATGTTTCAGTGTTTGCAGATGACACAACTTTGTAAAGTAATAAAATGTGAGCAGGATATTGCTTTGCTGCAGAGGGATTTGGATAGATTGGTGGACTGGGCACTAAAATGGCAGATGAAATTTAATGTAGAGAAATGCGAAGTTATGCACTTTGAGGTCAAAAAGTCACAAGCAACTTACACCCTAAATGATAGTGAATTAGGGATAACTACACACGGGAAGGATTTGGGAATTGTTATAGACAACAAATTAAGCAGCAACATGCAAAGTCAATCTGCAGTTGCTAAGGCCAGTAAGGTTTTGTCATGTATAAATAGGGGCATAAATTCTCGGGATGAAAATATAATTTTGCCTCTTTATAAATCGCTGGTAAGACCACACCTTGAATATGCTGTGCAATTTTGGTCACCTGTTCTAAAGAAGGATATCATGGTACTAGAAAAAGTGCAGAGACGAGTTACAAAATTGATAAAAGGAATGGAGCACACGGAGCCAAATGGTCGCCATTCACCACGGCACCCTACACTCGAAGGCTAATACGCAAAAAAACAATGGCGCAGGTGACCATCGACCCATGAGTCAGACTGCCACAGCAACCGGGCATAGAGGAATACCCACCGATGCCCTTCTTGTATTGACAAGCGGGCAAGAAAACCCGCCGCAAATCTTGGGCATATCTCGCCCTCCCTGCAGTACCGAACCTACCAGCGGAATTCTTCCCGGGGCTTGAAGACTGGGTCCAGCAGCCGGAAGACCCACAGCGACCCCCCCAGCACCAATATGGGGAAACATACACAGAAGCCACAGACAGGTACACCCAGGGATTCCTGAGATATAGGGGCCCTGCTGTAACGCACCACAAGCCAAAAGATGGCGGCCAAACAGGATCCTGAAACAGGCTCCACATGCTCAGAGCAGCAGTTGGAAGGATACAGGGCAGAACAGTGACCCAAGTCACCCAGCAGCCAGTGAGCAGAAAGGGATGACTCAGCCCCAGCCACAAAAGGGGATATCAGGCAGCTACTGCAGGAAATGAAGCAGATGTTTGATGCTGACACGATCCTGGTAAGAACAGAAATGCAGGCAGTGACAGCACGGGTGCAGGCCTCCGAAGAGGACATATTAGACCTCAGATAAGAAGTGAAGAGCATGGGAGACACCCTGGGACACATACAGTCTGCAAACACAGTATTTCAAAACAGATGCCATAAAAGACTGAAGTAGGCACACACATCAAAATTCGAGGAATCCCAGACACAATTGGGCCAACCGAATTATCACAGTTCCTCAGAAGCCTAACAGCAGCACTCCTGCAGCACACCCAGGTGAAGAAGCTTGAGTTCGATGGCCATTTCCGCATAAACAAGGCCAAACAGGCACCCACAACGGCACCAAGAGAGATCATAGTCCGCTGCCACTCCACGTCCAACAAACGCTGCATCCTGGCAGCAGGAAGGGGCAAGAGGCCATTAGACTTTGAATCATCGCAACTCACCTTCTACCAAGACATTACCCGGAACACCGTACTCCGGAGAAAGTCCTTTGGAGATGTGACTGCACGACTACGGCAAGGTAGAATACAGATGGCTACTGGCAGTTATCAGAGGTGACGATGTCCTTAAAATCTCCACTCTCTCAGAGGCCCCAGTCTTCCTCCAAAAACTGGGACTATCACTGCACACCCCAATGCTGGAGACACTATCAACCTTCCATGAAAGGGATCCAGACAGAACAGTTCCATTCATCCCCAGGAGTAAAAGGATGCAGGAGGCAGTGACCTGAACGCGCCACAGAATGCATACTATTTGTTTCCATGTTCTTTTGTTCTCCTCTCTAAGCTAACCCTGATGTTTTACTCCAAGTTTAGCTACTGTTTCCCCTTGACTGACCGCTGAGTGATACGACCAGTAAAACAGGCCGTGACGAAACTCTTAGGTTAGGAGTTGACACTACACCACTCACCACTCCACGCACTGCAAACCTGTCACACAACCTCTGCTAAAATTCTAGCAAAGACCCTAGACCTCAAATGTGGCACGAAAGACAATTTATAATGGGACAACCGACAAAGCCTACTTTACACTCTAAGCCCTCATCCCCCAATTATCAGAGCAGTATGAAACACCAAACAACCCGCAGGTACACAAGACTGAACACACACTCGCCTCACTCATTACAACTCGGACCCCCCCCCATGGGTACCCATAGCACGGGCAGACTCACCTCACTTGAAATGGAAAAGGTGCACACACACTTCCACTGTTTTATTCCTGACTGACATAATACATGCTGTTTCTTTCTAACATTGGGCATTCAACCTAGCAGGTGGACAGTCATACTACGCTTGTTTCCTATCACTTAGTTCTACTCTTTATTAATGTGTACAATGCATAAACAAGCCACGACCTAAGCCACTGTAATCGCTTATGAATGTCCTGGCTATGCTGTTGTAGAATCATCATCATAAGTTTGCATGTTCCAACATAAATGCACGGAAAAATAAAGAATTAAAAAACAAGAAAAAAAAGGAATGCAGCATTTTAGTTACGAAGAAAGGTTAAAAAATTTAAATTTCTTTTAGTTTGGAAAAACGGCGCCTCAGAGGGGATATGATAAAATTATACAAATATATTCGGGGCCAGTACAAACCATTAACTGGAAATCTATTCTTAAGCAGGGCTATACATAGGACACAAGATCAGCATTTAGGCTGGAAGAAAGGAGATTTCATCTAATGCAAAGAAAAGGTTTTTTTACAGTAAGAACAATAAGGATATGGAATTATCTGCCTGAAGAGGTGGTTTTGTCAGAGTCTATACAGATGTTTAAGCTGCAATTGGATAAATACCTGCAAAAACATAACATACAGGGATATCATTACTAATTAGTGGGGTAATAGCTGCTTGATCCAAGGAGACATCTGACTGCTATTTTGGGGTCAAGAAGGAATTTTTTCCTAGTTTGTTGCAAAATTGGAAGCGCTTCAGACTGGGTGTTTAGCCTTATTTTGGATCAGCAGCAAAATCATATGTGAGACAAATATACTGGATGAGAAAATGCTAGTAGTGTTTACAATTAGCGACCATCATTTTAGCGATAACTGACTTGCTAATAAATAACAATATGGAAACAAGCCTATCGTGGGGGAAACACAACATTGGATTGAGAGACACAGCAGAAGAGAAAG